GAAAGAGGGATAGTCAGAGTGAAAGAAAAGCCAGTAAACCACTTAAAAAGCCTCTGAGGTTGACACCTTCAAGTCCACCTCCTCTCTCTGTCAAATATTCCCCCACTCTCTATCTTTCTCTCTCTTCGTCTTTTTTTTGTATCTCTCTATTTTTCGTGAGATGTTTTGTAGTTTTTGATGTTTTCATCTTTGAATGAGATGTGCCCCTGTCATACTGAATCCCCTCAGCATGGTAGAGCCTTTGATGGCCCTGGTGGGAAAGTGGGCAAAAGGAAACTTTAAGTCTCTGTTGTAAAAGGTTACGCTAATATGATGTTGTTCTGATTCCACTGACTATTTCACTCTTTTCACACAGTGAAAAATCTCACAGTGAAAAGATAAGGCTCAGGGACAGAACCTTCAATTTACTCACATTAGTGTTTGTAGATTTTCAGAGACAGTAAGCAAGGAGTCTTGTTGTTACATAACAAAGAGATAACTAAATATTAGAAAAGTAAAAAGAAAAAGTGAATACACAGTTTTGGGGGGCTCCTGTCGGTTTAGGCACAGTGTTCTCCCCCCCCTAGTGGACAAAAGCTATAAAGCTTTGTATTCTGTTTACTGTTTGGATTTTAATCAACTGCATTTCCACATCACTGTGTCCTGTCCTTGTATCAAAAGCATTAAATTTGTTTTCATTTTAATTGAATTGAGGAACAGCTTGCAGGTTGTTTTGTTCTTGGCTCAGCCACAGTTCAAAATTTAATATCTTTAGATATTATTATTATTTCTAGATTTTAGTTTCTTTGGATTTTTCCTTTATTTTTCACACCTCAAGTAATTAAATTATGTAAAAAAAACATTTTAGGAAAATCTACAGATATTTTGAAACAATGCTGATTTTAACCCTCTAAACCTCTAATGAATGAGTTTTCACAAATATTTCAGACACTGACAAACGTGTGGAGTGAACCTTAACAACAAATGAAAGCTGTGAATGGAGCAAATTTTACTGGGTTTCCTTAAATTTTAGTTTCACCCAAATATGTTAAAAATCTCCTCAATAAAATTCACTGGACACATTTATAAAGACCTGCTCTCAAACAAAGACAGGATGGTGTCTAAATCCACGTCACTGATATGTTTGTTTTAATCAAACCTTTGTCAGTGTAGAAATTTTGATGGATGCTCACTGATTGCAAACCTCTGCCAAGGTATCTCTGCTATTACACTTACACTAAAAATCTCTTCCACAATTACTGAGAGCTTTGATAAAGATAAGCTGCATAAAAAGCAAAAAATAGCCTTCATCATTTACCACTTTTCTTTAGACTCAAACTTGATGTTTTCTTTCATATTTTCATAATGACACAATATGAGACAAATGACAAAAGCCTGATCATGTACAGAAATGTGCAAAAGTATTAGGTAGTCTATATTAGAAAATTATATGTAACCCTCCTATTATCTTTGAGGTCAATTTGACCACATTCAATGTTTAAAGTCACTAAATGAATGACTGACATTATTTTTTTGTAAAGAAACAAAGTACAATTTTAATAATCATCATTTTCTGGATGTTTAAATTGCTCGGGTCCAATTGACCCCAAGGATAAATATGTCAGGTACCAAACCTGTGTTCTTCTAACTGTATTCTTCTAACTAAAATATTAATAACTTTTCAAAATCTGAAAACACTTTTACTGTATTCAAGTTTATTGATTTTTATTTTTTTTCTTGTTTTTATTCTAATGTTCTAAAACGTGTTGCAGGAAAACACACACTTACTGCCAAGATAAATAGTACTAGTACTACTAGTAACAGTACAGTAGAATAATACTGTATTTATTAATCATTTTAATTTCACTCAGGCATTTGTAGTTTAAAACCCAACCAGTATCTCGTTGAGAATTTGCTTTTAGATGATAATTTGTAGGAATACTACATTTCCATATTGTTTTTTTTTTGGTATAAGAGAGAAAAAAACTCAGAATTATTTGAAAAATAAAGGATGGTGTATATAAAGTTATTAACAACAATATTTTATCAATCAATTGACTACACTCATCAAACATACACATTTTGTCTCTATATAGACACATCAGTGTGTTTAGTTGAAAATGACACATTTTGTGTTATTTTTTAACACAAAATATGTTGAAATATTTTCATACCCAGTTATGGATAATACATTACAGTATGATACAAATAGTGTTAAAATGGGTAACACAAGATAGTGTGTTGTTATTTAACACATCACTTTTTAGACTGTGTTGCATACTCCCTATCATCTGTGGACTGTAGTTTCAAAAGCAGTTTGGGAGTCAGTTTCCAGGAGTCAGTTTCAGACTAAACATTTTACAACTAGTCAAACAATAAATCTTTTTTCTGTGTCCTAGAAACAAGTAGTTTCATTACTCTCGAAGAATGAACTGTTAGAAGAGCACATCACTTCATGATAATCTACCCAGTTTAGCTGATTACAGGAAAGTAGGGAGGTACCTATGCATCACATCCGTGACAGTGTACATTGTGAAGATGCCTATTTTGAATTTGATGCCAGCAACACGTTTAAAAAAAGCTGGAATGGGGCAACAAAAGACCGGTAAAATGAAATGCTAAAAAACACCTGGTGGTTAATTGGCAAGTGGTCAACATGATTGGGTATAAAAAGAGCATCCCAGACAGGCTGAGTCTTTCAGAAGTAAAGTTTAAGAGGATCTCACCACTCTGCGAAAGACTGCACAGGCAAATTGTGTAACAAATAAAGAATAATATTTCTCAACGTAAAATAACAAATAACTTGGGGATTTCATCATCTACAGTACACAATATCTTTTCCTGAGAAATCTCTGTATGCAAGGGACAAGGCTAAAAATCAATTTTGGCTGGCCATGATTTTCGGCCCCTCAGGCAGCACTGCATTAAGAACAGACATGGTTCTGTAGTGCAAATCACTGCATGGGCTCAGAAACACTTCTAAAAACCACTGTGAACACCATTCGTCGCTACATCCACAAAGTTAAAACTCTACCATGCAAAGAGAAAACCATATAAACAGGATACAGAAATGCTGCTGCCTTCTCTGGGCCTGAGCTTAGTTAAGATGGACTGAGGTAAATTCTTTTTGGAAATTTCGGAAATTATGGACACTGCGTCCTCTGCACTAAAGACCATCCGGCCTGTTATCAGCACACAGGTTCTGGCTCTTTTCATCTGTGATGGTGTGGGGGTGCATTAGTGCATATGGCATGGGTGGCCTGCACATCTGTGAAGGCACCATTAATACTTTATGATATATACATGTTTTGGAGCAACATATGCTGCCATCCAGACAATGTCTTTTTCAGGGAAGGCCTTTTGGTGCATTTGGTGCGTTATGAAATGAAAAATACGACAAAGTGTTGAACAGCTGAAATCCTATGTCAAGCAAGAATGGGAAAACATTTCACTTTCAAAACTACAGCAGCTGGTCTCTTCAGTTCCCTCAGTTCCCAAATGCTTACAGAGTGTTGTTAAAAGAAGAGGTGAAGCAAACACAGTGGTAAATATGCCCCTGTCCCAACTTTTCTGAAACATATTGCTGGCATCAAACTCAAAATAGCCAAGTATTTTTCAAAAAACAATAAAATTTCTCAGTTTCAACATTTGCTATTTTGTCTTTGTACTATTTTCAGGTAAATATAGGGTTTAAATGATTTGCATATTATTGCATTCTGTTTTTATTTACATTTTGCACAGCGTCACAACTTTTTTTTTGGAAATGGGGTTGTACAACAACAGTTGTTTTTCTCTTTACTTAAAATTTGTCCCAAGTATTACTATATTCAACACAATACTATACTAAATTGTGAACCCAGTACTGAAACACGGACTGATTGTATTGTTACATCTCTACAGGAAAGCTACTCGCTGACCTTAGGACAAACAGTTACTACTGACATACTGCATTTGGCTGTAGTCATGATTCTGAACTTAGGTGCTTAGCTAAGTTTATTCACTTCTTTATTCACTTCTGAATAAAACGCCTTTTCAATGCACTTTAACATTATAGGCTTAGTTCTTTCATTCAAGTTACATTTTGACCAGCCATAGCGGTCACTATCTTCTTTTTCGTTTTTTAGCTGCTCCTCGCATAGTGAGCGGTGTGTGTGTGTGTGGGGAGTGAGTGAGGGTATAAGTGAGAAAGGTGGGTTTTGGTTCTTTGGTTACAAGATAGTGTGTGCACACCAGACAGCCACATAAACACATTTGAGTTCCAAGAAGTCAGCAGGTTACATTTACTGAAATATCGACCACAAACACACACATGCGCACCCGCACCCCTAACACCACAACACACGCACACACACCCTTAATTTATTGCCCTGTTTTGGGTTTTGGGCTGATATCTGATAGTTCTATAATTTTATGTACAGCAGCAGTGCTGCTTTATTCATACATTAAATTGGGATTAGCTCAGCTTTCAGTGATCACACATCACTGGTTATAAAATAAGCGAGTGCCTGGACATGAGAGCTCACAACAGTTCATAATGTTATCTCGGGACTTTCAGGGACGTTGGTTAGATGTGATATTAGATATGATACAATGACAGATATGCATTAGGAAAAGTTTGCATTTTTATACTGATTTGGGACCAGTTTTGCAGTTTTCTCTTATTGCTGGTTAATATCAGGTTTTGTCAATTCAAACTGAAGTTCAAAGATCAAACTGGAGTTAAATTAATAAAGCTCCTGTAAATACTTAATGCTCTAAAACAGTAATATTTTCTACTTTGTATGAACAAATGTCACATTTCATGAGAATAATTTCTCCTTTTAAGTTTTTACCTCATTTGAGAGGCAGGCAGTGAAGTTTAGGAGTTGCTGTCAATCTCATTTAATGTTGAATGTCGCTGCCAAGTCTACATATTGATATGCCCACCCATGGGTGTAATATTGGTAAGGCCACTGGAGTAGCTGTCATATACAATAGTTGTCACTGAATTTGTGTGCGTGTGTGTTTATGTGTGTGTACAGCTCAGATTGAGGTGATCCCCTGTAAGATCTGTGGAGACAAATCATCAGGCGTTCACTATGGGGTCATCACCTGTGAGGGCTGCAAGGTGAGAACAGGACCTATACTAATCACGCTCAGGCATGTAATTTAGCACATAGTGCTTAAGTTAAAATTAACATACTTGATTTGTGGTGTTTTGCTCTCTTTTTCTCACTCACTCTCTGACTCATGCTTGCCTTCTCTTTCTCTTTAGGGGTTTTTCCGGAGGAGTCAGTCTTCGAGTGTGCAGTATTCTTGCTCTAGACAGAGTAACTGCCCCATTGACCGCGCCAGCAGGAACCGCTGCCAGAGCTGCCGCCTCAAGAAATGTGTCGCCCAGGGAATGAGTCGGGATGGTGAGTATGAGAGAGAGAGACAGAGAGAGAATGAGAAAGGGGAGAGACATGTATTAATAATTTAGATAAATTCTCACAACTTATAAACTAGATAAATGTGTTCAAATTTCTCTTGCTTTTTTTAAATGAAACAGATTGACATAGTAATCAGAACAGAGACATAAAATATTAATGGTTTTCGTAAATAAACCAACAAAATCTGAGGGGGATCTCAGGGAAAAAAATAAAATACAAGAAAAATGGAGGATATGATGGGACATTTAAAGTCTTTATACAGTCATTGCGGTAAAACCAAAAGTATGAAGAATAAAGGTGAAGCATAATACATTATCCTGCAACATCCATTAGTCTATCTGATGTAATCAGAATGCTACTACCAGAACACTTATATTTAAGCAGAACACGTATATACATATATGCTCAGTTCCACATCCTTGGGCAGTGTTGTCATGACTCCCAGAATAGTCTGGGTATAAGCATGTCCTTATCTCAATCACAACATCCTTTTCAAGGAACAATCATCCCCCAAGCTCTATGGTGTTCAGAAACAAAACAAAACACAGCGTACAGAGTGCTAATCTTCTAATGTTCTCCAGCACCCAAGGTCCAATTCACTGTCACTCACAGCACTACAAAAATTTGGATCTGATCCCCATGATGAGTAAGCCTAAGGCAATAAATAAGTTGGGATAGAGGGCAAAACCTCCCAGTAATGGCAAAAGGGAAGAAACCTTGAGAAGAAGCAAGCCTAAAAATGGGACATCTTGCTCCCTGAGGCAACACCTAAGAAAATGATATGTTGTAAATTTAGGTCAAAGAAATGTGTGTGTGGGAATCAGGCAAATGATTAAAATAATTACGCAACTAAGGATGTGAACTTCCGTAAAAAAAGGCCACCCCTTATTATTTCAATGAACAATTATTGATTATACTGTAAGTAAAAAGCTGCTATGACCTAAAAGTCTTAAGACTGATTATGCCTGTTAGATATGGCTGTAATGATGTGTTTATCAATTTTAAAAAATGCATCTGTCAGTATATAATCCATACTTATGTTGAGAAGATGGGCAGCAGGCAATGAGCCCTAACCGCAGTACATTTGATCACTGCATTTTAATTCACTTTAGAGACAGATACGTTTTATGTGGGATTGAATAGGTCTCAGCCTAAAGCCTAACTAACTAGCTTAACTTTGACACCACTAACATATCCGACACCCATATTTCGCCAGATATTTAATGTCCTCTGTGGCCTTTCTCCAGACGAGCACTGTATTGTACAATACAAAATAAAAGAGTACAGATCGATTTATCACCTTAAATAAACAGTCTACACTGATAAAGCTCTCCTCTGATATACATCCATTGTCTGATATACATTTCTGCTCCGCGGTCACCATGCCAACCGCTGCATGGCTTCCTGCCGCCGTTGGCCGTGTCCGCAATGAGGTCGGAATGATGTTTTTCCGACGTAAACATGTGAACGCAGCATAATTCCGCCTTACTTTACGTTTATTATACAGACTTAGCTTAATAACAGCTTTGTAAAGCTGTTTAAATTAGCTTTGACAAAATATTTTAGGCTATTAAAACACTTTACATAGCTAGCTAGCTAACTAACTATAGTTTTAATGCTGGCAACATTTTTCTGAGAAGATGAATTAGGCTATCAAAATGTCCTACCTGTAGTTTTATATAGGGATTTAAATAGCTAAGTTAGCTAGCTACTATAAATGTACGCTAAGGTAGCTAACCTAGCTAGCAAACTAAGTTAAGATATTTCGACAACACCGTTGTTCTAACAATTTGTCCTAGCCATCGAGTGGTTTACCGAGCATGCGCATAGTATTACAACAGCGCAGTAACTTGTGTTTTTCATGTTAATTCAGGCTTACTTCAAGTCTATCGTACAGACTAATCTTAATATTGCCAGTTACTCCCTGATAAGCTGATTTATGCTATCAAAATATCCTAATTATTCTTTTAATGCTGGTGACACTTTCTGCTAAGAAGGTTTAGGCTATTAAACTATCCTAACGCTACCTGTTGTTGTAATGTTGGTAGCTTTTTCAGATTCAGTTATTTAAGCTATCAAAACATCCGTCCGTGTTTTAAGTAAAAAGTTAGCTAGTTAGCTAACTATAAATTTGCGCTATGGTAGGACGTTTCGACAAGGTAGCACAATTCGTCAGAACAGGTTCATGAATCTTTAACATAAGCACAGCACAGTGCAGCAATAAAGGCTTGAAATCGTTGTGCCGGTGGTATGGAAACAGGATCAATAATCAGACCTCCAAACAGGCTTTGCTACATGCTAGTTTACCAACCGTCATAGCACTGGACAAATGCTAAGTTAGCTAAATTAGCCGTTACCAAACAAAAACTCATTACCAACTAATTCGTTATCTGAGATTTGCTCTTTATGACACCACTCTACCTCAAACACCTAAAGAAAAACCACAGCTATTACCATTACATAGCCTGCCTTGTCATGGAGCAATCCTAGAACAGCGGGCTAGCTAGTAATCCTACTGACTAAATTCTTTAACAGACTAACGTTAGGATAAAATGAGCTGAAGTTTATCAAAATTATTTAGCTTGGATTTATTATTATAAGTCCATTGATGATAAGATGTCATAGATTTTAATTCTAAGAACAACAAGCTCTTTTTCTCACCTGCAGCACTTTAAATGGCCTTAAATTTCCGTTAAATTTTGAATTTGAAACGAGCAGCCTGCGCCCTGACTCAACCACATGAGTTCACCGTGTCCAGCATTAGGATAAAACCTTGCAAACTCTACTGAGGAAATAAAGACTTAATGTTAATATGATGGAAAACATTTTACACAATTTTAGCAGGAGATTTCTGCCATTTTTCAGATTTTTACTAACCGTTATGCATTTTTGAAATCCCCATCACTTTTTGAAATAGCCCCTATTGTAAAAGTAAAGCATGTTGCTTTGTGACTTCCCAAGTATGATTGCAAGTGTTAGAAATGTATAAGATCAATCATACTAGCTATAAGCATATTTGTATTAATTCTAATATTTCAAAATGGTTTTACAAGGAAAAACAAACTTACTCCCCATGTAATTAGTTTTAAACAATTTTCTTTGCTGGCCTGGTACAGTACTGTAGATAGCCTAGTACTTAGGAAGCATTCCTGTTTGATTAACTGCGTTCTCTCTTGCTCAGCGGTGAAGTTTGGCCGCATGTCCAAGCGTCAGAGAGACACTCTGTTTGCAGAGGTGGAGAGGCACCGGCAGCAGCAGCGTCTCCAGGCCAGCCAAGCGGAGCCCCAGCCTCTGCCAGCGTACCGGCCCAGCAAAGAGCCCAGGGGCCGCTCGCCCCATGTAATTCAACCACTGGCCCCAACCTACTCCTACACCCTGGACCAGGAGCTCCCCAGCTGCCCACCAGAAGTGCACCCCTACTTGGGCTGTGCCGCAGGTGAGGCCCAGGCTGCAGCTCTGGCCTACAGGAATTCTCAGAGAGGCGGGGACAGCAGCAGCTTTTCACCGTCAGGAAGAGGTGAAGTTAAAGAGGCTCATTGTTCTCTATCTTATCAGGGACATAATTGTGTGTTTCCTTCATGTCAGTGGGTTGTATTTTACAATTGCCAAAGAAACAAAACAAAACATATATTTAAGGTAATCAAAGTAGAGGACAGTAACAGCTTATCAACTCCATTATTAATCTGTTTTCCCCCTTTCTTCATTTTCTTCTTTCTCACTGTCTCTCTTCCTCTTTTCTAGGCTTTGAGTCCAGAAGATCCACTCCCGAGACCATCCTGAGCTTGCCTGGGAGTGAAATAGGATTACGACCTTTTGACCTCGAAGGCTCGTTCTGCCCCTACCCTACCTCAATGCACATAGGTGAGTCAGAGAGAGAAAGACAGAGAGTGTCTGTTGAATTTTTAATTCAAGTGACTTTATCAGAAGCATCTGGTGTGGCTGGATGTTGCTCACAGTAGAGCAAAGTGATGCTAAGTAGTCATGAGCAGTTCAAAGTGAAAAGAAGAGCCCTTGATGTGAGCAAAGCTGAAAAGGTTAAATTTAAAGAGGAATTTCTCCAATTTTTCAAATATTCTGCTTAATTCAGTTGTTGAGATTGTATTAAACCATAGGAAACAGTACTCTAGAAGGGAATATTTCACTTTAATGTGAAATACTCCCTTCAGGAAAAATTTACTGAGTCTGTTTTCTTTACTGTGATGGTGAGAGGAACCAGGGGTCGCAACGTCTACAACACCAATATAGCCATTTTATTTACTATCCAAAACCACAAGTGAATCTACACGTGTCTTTTAAATTTTTATGTGTACTGTTGATAATGACAAAATAGTGTTAAATAAATAACTCCAAGATCACTTTTGGGGACTATGTTGCCTTGCAGCACACTGCATGTACCTCTGAATGGAGTTTAAAAATCTTAACCTTATCTCAGACCTTTTGTACAACAATGTTTCAAGCATTAGGCAGTGTATTCATAACCATTTCATATGATAGCTTTCTTTGAAGTAGCTTTAAGAGGCATTAAACTCTTCAGACATGTAGTTCCCATCACCTCCACTGTGAACAATCCTGACTCTGTAAGTTTCTCTAGAACAGAGCATTTCACATCAAACCACTCTGAATGACTGCATTCACATCTCAGTGAATGAATTGTGCAAATATTTTGAATCTGTAGAATTCCCTTTTATGGATTCTCACCAAAGCTCTATGTGTGTGTGTGTGTGTGTGTGTGTGTAGAGGAGCTGTGTGCAAGTATAGTACGCTCTCACAGGGAGACAAGTCAGTATCGAGTGGAGGAGATACACGCTCTCAGATGGAAGATTTTCAGTAGGGAGGAGATCCATGCTTACCAGAGCAAGGTACTACACCTTTACTGTGACAATACCATCACTACTGTTCAAATTAGAGGTACCCAAGGGTTTTTTCTTGGTGGCCACATGCCAATGTTTGTGTTAGGCTAAATGTGAAATTTGGGTTTTGAACATATGTTTTATACCATTACTATATAATCATATATCCTGAAATATAAATATTTTGTATTATTATTATATAGTGTGGTTTCCATCACCTCCGTACTAGGCAACACTTTAACCATGTTACCTTCAGAAGTTGGTAGTAACTAGTTACATTTACCTGGTGACATGTACTTAACCAGTTTTGATGGATTTGTAGTTCTTTTACTTCTACTTAAGTATTTAAGAGGAAAGAATTATACTTTTAATTTATGTACACTTCAGTCATTCACAGTGAATTATTAATTCTCTTTTTGTGTTTAATTTGCATCCATTCTCTTGGTCACAGCACCTGGTCTGATTTGCTGTTCCTCAAACCTTTAATTTTTGTTTAGCATTTTGTTTCATCCCAAATCACAAAAAAAAGAGAAGAATAGTTCCTAACAAACTTAAGTTTCCTTGCTGACAGCTGCTGGATGTACTGAGACGTTCCACTGCTGTTCTATAAGTTACTTCATACTTGATTAGTTTTCTTACACTTTTGTACTCTTACTCGAGATGTTTTGATAGGTTACTTTTAATTCTTCTACAGTCATTGTTTCATGACTTTAGGCTGCTCTACGTATCTCTAGTTATCTTAAACCTATTAGTACCAAGATCTTTGCAAACTACAGCAACCATGTGAATATTTGCCTATGCTCTCTCTTTCTCTGCAGTCTGTGGATGAGATGTGGCAGCATTGTGCAGTGAGACTGACAGATGCAGTGCAGTACGTGGTGGAGTTTGCAAAGCGCATCCCAGGGTTCCGTCAGCTTGGTCAAAACGATCAAATCGCTCTGCTGAAGAGTGGTGAGACACATCTGTCAATCCAACATTTTGCAGTTGTGCTTTGTAGGGAGTTCCAGGGTTGGTACTCATTCCTCCATATGTCTTTGTGTTGTCTTCACTCTTTCTCTTATTTTCTGGTTTTCCTTTTTGTCTTCATTTGCTCTTTGCCACGTCTGCCTTTATTTTCATTCTGCTTTAATTCTGTATGTTTTTGACTCTTTTCTTGTGTGCTTGTCTGTGTGTCTCTCCTGCTCAGGTTCAATGGAGGTGGTTCTGGTCCGCATGAGTCGAATGTTCAACACTGAAAACAGCACAGTCTTCTTTGATGGAAAGTTTGCTGGAACTGAGCTTTTCAAGTCTCTTGGTAAGCTGAACATCTAAAAACTTCAATTCAGTTCAATTCAGTTCTATTTACTTAAATTTGCCGCTGGTCTTTTTGGCTTTACATTGCAATGTCATACAAAATGCATAGTTTAACCCTCAATAATTACTTTTGCTAATGTATTTTCATTTTTTTCCCTTTTAAACTGTTTGTAGGAAGACCGTAACACCATATATTTTACAGATTTTGGCTCCAAAACACAGAGCAATAATGCCAAAAGTTGTCAGACATGTTGTTTGAATTTGGCATGAATTTGGTGTGAAATTCAGAATATTAAATATTTTTTTCACCACAAATTATGTTATGCTACAGTTTAGAGTGCGCACTGTGAGAATATGTAGTTTTAGTGAAATCTAGTCTGAAGTAAGCATTAAAGTGCTTCAAAGAACTGCAGTTTTGCAGCAGAGGGTTTCTGAGGGTTAAAACCAGAAATAAAAGATTCTACCTTTTTATCTAGGATTGGCAATGTAACTCATAGTTTACGTTAGAGTTTGTGTTTTCTAAATGATTCTTTTTGTGTGCAACTGTGTTGCAGCATGTGGTGATTTTATCGCAGCCGTATTTGACTTTACTCACAGTCTTTGTGCTCTGAGGCTGACTGAGCAGCAGGTGGCGCTGTTCAGTGCTCTGGTGCTCATAAACGCAGGTTTGTGCCGTTTCCAGCACATTTCTAACACACATGTCCTCATACAAATAACTCAGACACTGTTAGTCTGTGTGTGTCTGCTGGTGCACACTACTGTTCAAAAGTTTGGAATCATATTAATATCCATATTAATAATTCAATATTATTCACCAACTTACATAGTGTAGACAGAAATGTTATAAACTACAAACTCAAGCATATAGTGATGGTTTATTCACAATTTGAAGAATTTTTGGAACAACAAAAAATTATGACATGGTAAAACTATAGTGATATTTGAATGAATTAAATAGTAAAGTGTAGTTATGTATTTAAATTAATTTCTTGTTACAAAATTGATATGAATGGCTATTTGTTTAGCAAGATTTGGTCACCTTTTCTCCAGGATGAAGGTTCTAGTTACCATACAGCTTTCTAAATTATTTTAGAATCATGTAGAGCTCCCTTCTTCATTACACAATTATCTATTGTTCGAAACCTGTATTATCGTATTTTAATCAATCAGTATCTGCAACAAAATAGTTTTATATTACTGAACACTATATATTACTGTTATTCCAAAGCTTTGACCATATGTGGGTATAAATTTGTGTTTGTATGTGTGCAGATCGTCCATGTCTGGAGGAAAGAGACAGAGTGCTGAGAGTGAGAAAAGACGTGGAACTGGCCCTCAGTCACATCCTTCACAGAGACAACCAGGACAGTCTACTGCACAAGGTGAGGAAAATGAGATTTTCCATAACATGGGCTCTTTAAGATATTTTGAAAGCAAGCAAAGAAAAGAGGAAGCAGTAGTGATAAAAATAAAGAGGAAGGAAAAGGCAAGAAGAATGAGAAGACTGAAAACGTTTTGCAAGTTTGGCATGTTTATTTCAGTAGTTTGATTTTGTTTGTTTGTTTTTTGCAGTTATATCAGAAGGTGTCTATGCTGAAGAGCCTGTGTGCACTGCATATTGAAAAGCTGCGCTGGTTCCGGCAGCTCTACCCTCTCACAGTGCATTCCCTATTCCCTCCTCTCTACAAGGAGCTGTTCGGCTCAGACACCGATATACAAGCAATGGCTACTCTCTAACACATATGAACACGCACACACTCAGACACAGTACATTTACTAATAGATTATGTAATCAGTATGTCTTAAATTTACTATTTACCTTATGAATAAGATGAATATATTTTTGTAATTCTGACAGGAACAGAAGGTAATGTCAATAGCAATATAAGTGTTTCTGAGTCTGTATTTTTGTGCAGATGCTATTTTGTAGTGTGAAGCAGAAATATTGCTACAAATATTAAGCTACTGAGCTGTGATAGTAGTTTTGATAGTCTGCACCTTTGAGCTGAATTTGTGTTTTATAGGTTGTTCACAACTGATAATATTTGTAAATGTGATCAAAAGTTTTTTATCGTGCTGACATCCTGAAAAAAAGGTTCTGATTAGCGGTAAGCCGCTTGCAGTAACAGTGAATCTTTCCAGAGAGTGGACAGTTGCATTGAAAATGAAGTACTTGAATTCAACACCACAGCAGGTTACAGACAGGGGTGGAAAATACTTTGTTACTATACCTAAGTATTACTTTGGAAGAGTGGTATTGATTTGTAATTGAGTAATATCAACATTGAATACTTGGACTTTTACTCAATTACATTTTAAACAGAAAAAACATACTTTTTACTCCTTACATTTTCATTTTGACTTTCAACATACAAAGCTGTGAGATCAGTTGAGTTTCTGTATGTTTGAATTTACTGCTTTCATTAAAACATCCAGGTAAAGTCCTATCAGTGTACAATAAAACAGCCCACAGCTATGTTAATCTGTATTTTTTACGAGGACTAATCCCACCAAAAAAATTTTTCTTTTTACTTTTATATACTTGAGTATGTTTAAATGATGATACTTTTTAAATTTTAATCTAGTATCTGTGGCTCCATACTTTTGATTGAGTAAGTGCTTCTACCTTCACTTAAGTATAATTACTCTGTACTTTTTCCACCCCTGGTTGCTGAGTTTTTGCACAATTATAATAGTATCAGGTCTCCTCTGACACATTGCTTCTCCTAATCCTACATAGGTAGAATGTGAAGTGAGGGCACTCTATCCTTATTAAATAACCATAGCACTGAAGATTATCCACTGATTACATTGGCATCAAATATTCTTTCTGTGCGAGTGGAACCAATGTTCTATATTAGTGCATTATACTTGTTTATTTCAGTTCGATCTTCTTTTCTCATGCTATGTAAAGAAGTGGAGCAACTACTGGAGGCCATTATGTTTTGAGTAATTTAATGGGAATTTCAATTATGGATACTTGCACAAACTGCATTAATTAAAATGTGTTTGACAACAAACAGTTTGACATATTACACAACTTTCATTTCTAAGGCTGGGTCCGGTATCTGTAATCCTTCCCCTAATTTGAATACAACCTGTGCTCTAAGGGACAACTGTCTTTTCTCCACTAATGCCTTTTGACACAAAGCTCATAGAGTCAAAACTGTATCCAAAAGATTCCAGACACCCCTTCTAATTAGTCAGTTCTGCTAGGGGTGGGCAGTATGACAATACTTTGTCTTATCGTGATTCATAACTCGTGATAAGCTTTTCTGAGCATATTGTCAGTACTTAAAGAATTATTATTATTATTATTATTGTTATTATTATAGTATTTATATAATATAGTATTATATAAATGTGGCACTACAGGTTCTGCTTTGTCTGTTTCAACTTGTTAAATTTTAGAAAAACTAAAAATAGTGATGTGATTTAACATTTTTTGCCATATTGCCCACCCGTAAATTCAGCTTCTTTAAGGTGCACCCAGTTGCTGATTCAGGTGTTAAATTGTGTACACAGAGCTTGTATAACCTCCATAGAAAAGCATTGCCAATAGAATGGGACGCTCTGGAGCAGCTGTGTTTAAGGTCATCATGCCCAATTCCAAGTGTTGGCTAGGGCAGGCATAAAGACCCACGGCATTGGGCTGTGGAGCACTGGAACAATGTTATCTGAAGTGATGGAGCACCATCCAGTACTTTTGGGATGAGTTGGATTGACGTTTGTGATTCAGAACTAATCATCCAGCATCAGTACCTGGACCTCACTCATGCTCTTGTGGCTGAATACAATCAAATCTGCAAAGCAATATTCCATCTAGACTTTCCAGAAAAGTAGAGACCGTGACTGCAGCAAACGTGGGACGAACGCCCTTTTAAAACCCTTGATTTCAGGAGAAACATTGGATGAGCAGGAGTCTACAAACTTTTGGATGTAAACGTCAACAGTTTCCCTACGTTCATTATTCTTGGCTTCAGTTTTGTTGCAGCCCAGTTTAATCATTAGGCTACTGAGTAATTTCATGCTACCTTTGGCTTTGTTAACAATCAGTTTCACGGTTTTGAATAAAGTCATTGGGCGTATGTTGTGAGCTTACTGGTCACACGTCCTGTGTTTAAACGCAGGTTTAAAAAGACAGTGTGTAGTCAAATGCTAGCACTGATGAGTATGATGTAAGATGACATACAACCTGTGGTAGCTTTGCCAACATTAGCATTTATGAATGTTTATGTATTGTTTATAAGAGTGTGATATATGTCTTATGAGTCTATCATCAAGTCCTGTGCTTTTGCCATTTAACTTAAGTATTGCTGTGGATTCTTTTGCTGTGATTTCCTAGCTGTTGTTTGATGAAATTTTTGTTTGTAACTTTGGTTGATTCTGGAACATTTATGCATTTTGTTTGTTTTGTTTTGAACTTTTAATCCCCCCTCAATAACTATAGCGACGTGCTATGATGAGGAAAAGGCATCAAATAAATATGTGAAAAAGTGAAAATATTTCTTTTTTTTCTCTTGACCTCAAGACAGAAAAAAGTATCTTTTTTAATTGCATTCTTGTGCTTTTCATTTTAATGTTTAGTATGCACTGGTTCCACACTGTATAAGCTGTCTGTAAGGTTTTCAAAGATAACTAGTTATTTAAGTACTAAATAACCAGCTAACATGCTAACACTAATACATATAACATGCACAGTGATCTGATTGTACTTACCTTGCAAGTGTTTGAATAATTTGTTCATACTTGGTACATATATTTGTTTTGGAGAACAGTCATATACAACAGTTACCCAGCAACTTGCCAGCGATTTGTCATCACCTCAGTCAACCAATTTTCAGCAAGAGCACATAAGTTTCTTTGACGTGGATTTGAATATGAAGGAAGCCAAAGTGACTAAATGTCTGAGCTTTACCTTTTTTATGCAACTTCACCAATGAGAGGAAAACACTGACATCAGCCCTTAAACTCATCCACAGTTTTCATTTGGCCTCAAGGACTTTTACTCCATGACTGTGTATAGAATTGCATCTGATTTCAGGGAATGTTTATTTGCTCACTTAGCTCACATCTGGATAAAAACCTTAAATGGTTTGATTGAACCATCATGACTAACTGTGACCTTTTGATTCATAATTATGTAAAATAATATGACGCTGCAGGAAATGTGGTGTAAAGCATTGCAGCAGCTGCCAAAAAGCTTTTACTGGATATAATAGTTTCATTTTTCCGTGGAGGTTTGGGACTTTGGAGTTTAATATATATATAGTGTAATGTTTTAGCTCACTGATTAAGAAAATACTAAAGGAAATGCCTTAAAATATTCACCCCACAGAAGCACCCTAAGCAATGTGTTTGACCAAAACTGACCCAAACCTTTGGGTGAAAAGCGCAATGCCCTGTGAATCACAAGCAACGTAATATACAACAAGTAATTTTCTCCAATGATTTATGAGTTCTGAGCTTAAGTGGGTAGCACAGTCAAACTATGCCTACTTTATCTAAATAGTGACTCAAGTAAGAAGAAAATGAGCCCAAGAAACAATATCTTTTACTCATGAGAAGCAGCCTTATGTCTGGTGATCTCACTTTTGATGTCTGAAGTTAGTACCAAAAAAATAGCTTATTTGCGCTCATTACTGAATAGGAAAAGCACATATAAAGCATTTTCTAATATACAGGAATATTTTGTATTCTATACCGAAATGTAATCAATTTAGAATGTTTCAGACTCCAGTCCTCACAGGCCGACGCTCAACAGACTTCAGCAGTCTGCCCCATTAAACATTCATGATTCAACTCTCAGCAGCTCACTGAACGACAACAGCAATGTCCTTGACAAGTGAAAAATCTCTCTGCATTCTTCTGCAACAATCGTTTTATTTTTAAAGTTGACCTACCAGCTAGAGGTCCAACTGGTTCTTGTCCAAAACCAGCGACGTTGGTGGCAGAATCTATGTCGTGGGACTGCTGGATATAGCAGTGACCTCCGGAGTGCATTCTGTCTCCTCTTTTCTTTAATATAGTGTGAGAGTAACTGTACATTTATATGTAAATATAAAGCAAGTCCTGTTAGCAATGTTAAAACCAGCACTATTTGGCTGTGTTTGCCCTTACACAGAATCGGCTCATGTAAACAAAGGAGATAATGGGGCACATTCTTGACGTTATAAGCCAAAAACTTTGCTTTCTCCATCTACACGACAACACTGAAAACAGAGTTTCTGAATATCTTCACTCTGTTAGGAGTTTCTCAAAAGGTCAATTTTTTAGTGACCTAAAAACAGTTTTCATGTGGGCCCAAGACCAAACACATAGAAAAAGCTATGTTTAAAAAAAAAGATACTTGTGTACGTGTAGACATGCAAGGCTTTAGTTAAAAGGATATTCTTTTCAGCACATATACATTCACCGAGCGTGTTATTAGAAACACCCGTACACATACTTATTCATGCATTCATTCATCTAATCAGCCAATCATGCGGCAGAAGTGCAGCACATAAAATTAGGCAGATACAGGCCAGCAGCTTCAGGTAATGCTCACTTCAACCATCAGAATGTGGAAAAATTTGATCCCAGTGATTTTGAACGTGGTATGATTGTTGGCGGGCTGGTTTAAGTATTAAATCTTCATGCACAACAGTCTCTAGAGTTTACCCAGAATGGAGCAATAAAGAAAAACATTGATCAGCAGTTCTGTGGATGGAAATGCCTTGTTGTTGAGAGAGGTCAATGCAGAATGACCAGAATGGTTTGAGCTGACAAAAAGGCTACAGTATCTCAGATAAGAGCTCTGTACAATTGTAGTGAGCAGAAAAGTATTTCAGAATACAGAACACGTCAAACCTTGAGGTGGCTGGGCTACAACAGCAGAAGACCACACTGGGTTCCTCTTCTGTCAGCCAAGAACAGAAAGCTGAGGCTGCAGCGGACACAGGCTCACCAAAATTGGACAATTGAAGACTGGAAAGACGTAGCCTGGTCTGATGTATCTGGATATCTGCTGAGGCACACAGATGGTAGGTTCAGAATTTGGCACCAACAGCAAGAATCTATGGAACCAACTTGCCTTGTGCCAACAGTCCAGGCTGGTGGAGGTGGTGTAATGGTGTGGGGACAGTTTTCTTGGAACATCTTGTGCCTATTAATACCTATCAATCATCTCTTGAATGCCACTGCTTATTTCAGTATTGTTGCCGACCATGTGCATCCCTTAATGGACACAGTTTACACATGTTCTAATGACTATTTCCAGCATGATAATGCACCACATCTCAAACTGGTCTCATGAACATGACAATGAGTTAATTGTTTCTCAGCGGCTTTCCTAGTCCCCAGATCTGAATCCACCTTTAGGATGTTGTAGAACGGGACATGAAAGTGCTAAAAAAATCTGCAGGAATTGCATGATGCAATCATGTCAACATGGACCAGAATCTCAAAGGAATGTTTCCAAAGTTTTGTGAAATCCATGCCACGAAGAATTGAGGCTGTTTTGAAAGCAAAGGGAGGCACTGCACAGTATTAGTAGTGGTCTTAATAAAGTGCTTGGTGAGTGTATATTCAAATGTACATAGTAGTATTATTGAGCAAAAATACTCACAGCTTTTAAAATGATTTTTTAATTTAGGTATATGCAGCATAGTAAGTGCAGTTACTTAGTGTCCAGTTCTGGTTGTGATGGAATGAATAATCATGATTACGTAGCACACTCTCATCCTCTTGGGCTAGGCTTAAACAGTGTTTGTCATGTCTGTTTGTGAGGGCAGCTTTTGGGTATGTAAGTATGGGTCCAAGACAAACACTGACTGGTTCACCTGTACCTGAGAAAAACAACAGTTTGACCACTACTTTAATGAAAAGGTTTCAAACAGCCAGATTATGTCCATGTGCGTATATGTGTGTATTAGTTTACATATATTTTCAGGAGAAAAATGCCTTTATCCAAAAAACAGAAGGAGTATCCAACATATAGCATCAAGATGAACAAAGTTTGAGTTTATAAAGTGCTTTTTTTACACTTCATTTTTTAAAAGGGACAAGGCAAACCCATTTCTTTTTGGTTACTGAGGTTAAAGGTAGGGACACATTTTGGGCTAGACTTCTTATTACAGATAGGCAGTTACACATATGTAATGCATATGGGACATGCAGTTCTGTGAAAAAGCCATAGACCACCCTTCATTTATTTCATTTCTAGTCAACGGCCAAGTTATTCATTTTTCAGCATCTGGATGAAAAGCAGAAAACAAATATTCAACAGACAATTACAAAGAAGAATCAACAAGTAAATATACATTTTTTTAGTATTTACTATTCAGGCTGAATTCTACTCAGAGGCTTGCTTTCAGGTTTTTTGAATAAATCTGCAGTAATGTTTTTCCACACCTACAAAGTTGGTGTGTAACCAGTTCACTGTTCTGAGAACACCAGCATCTTTGTTTGATTTGCAAATGTTCTTTTTTCATCTATTTTCTTTGGAACTAGACAAAAACAGCTGTGGAATTTTTCAGATTCAAAGCAAGAGTGGATCTTGATTTTTCCTCTCTCTCAAAGATGAAAGCTTTAACTTTTTATCTGTTGGTGACAGTTTGGTTGTTAAGAGACCGATTTTCTAATCTCCTCAGACAAATCTTGAAAAATAAACTCAATGGTCATTCTGACATGCTGAAATATAATAAATGAAGGGTGGTCTGTTTGTATGACCCTATGTCCTGACATACAAATGTTTGTGTGTGTGTGAGTGTGTGTGTTTGTGTGTGTTGTGGGAGTCTGACAGAAGTCATACACAGCTAAGCCCTGCAATTGACCCTCATATTTCATTCGGCCTCATAACATGTTGGAATCACTGAAACACACTACTAGAGTTTAAGTTATATAAGTTTTTTATCATTTGGCTGGTGCCTGAAATACATTCTGTCCAGACATAACTTTTCACGGACTGTTTTCTAGACAGCTAGTTCTAAGCAACAGTAACTAATTGTGTATAGCTTCTGATGTTGTTGTGTTGATGAACAAACGCCCCGTACTAAGAGTTCGCCCAGTCGAGGTTTCATGAACACTGATAACACAATGTGGTAATGACACACTTACTGCAGGGTGAATATGCTTTAGATACAGAAAATCTGCTAATAATATGCCACACTGTTAGTGCTGAGAGGCAGTAGTGTTTATTCCTCTCCACTGAGTGATTCATCTAGTAAAACTGACCTTCCTCACTCTCTTAATCTCTCCCACACAAAAAGCTTGTCTAAGGAAGATAGCACAACTTCACTGCTTTCGTAAACCTGACCTGAGTTGGCATGGACACATTCTTTTCCCACCGGTATTCCTTCCAATCCCGCCTCCTGCTTTTGGACTGGCTAGAAATTTTCTGCCGCTGTGATAGGGTTGGTAAGATGCTCCAAGGTCAATTTAATATTAAAGGACCCCCCATTCAGCGTTGTGCAGAAAGCATTGATACCTGAATTCTGAATGCATAAAAAGGTATAGTGTATGTATTTAGAATAAATTTAGAACACAAGAGTGTGTAATTAAAATGTTTAATTTAAAAATAATTTGAATGAACAAAATTCTCAACATTATTTTGGCTCTCATCTCCTGCTTCAGTCCACTGCTGCTCCCATAATCCCACTGCTGTCTCATGACCTAAAGAAACAATTGGCCAAATCCCAGTAGCAAAGCCAAGCTACTTTGACTGTAAAGTGGGTTGCTATGTGATTTTCGGTTAATTGCATGTAAATGACATGCATGAGTCCAGTACAACAACACTTCTAAGCCTATCACTCATGAAAACGTGAACATGTCCTCTATTAAGGAGACTGTTTAGTTTTATCATCTCTCAAAAGAGTTTAGTAACCCTGAGATTAATAACTGGCTCATCACAGTGATTTATCAGTCTACTCAGTTTAGCAGTGCTTAGTGATGCTGAGATTAACAACTGGCTCATCACAGTGGTTTATCAGTCTACTCAGTCTTTAGCAGAGCTCAGTAACACTGAGATTAATAAATAGCTTATCACAGTGATTTATCAGTCTCCTCAGGCTTTAACAGAGCTTCATGCTGTGATTAATAAGTGGCTCATCACAGTGTTTTATCAGTCTATGTAGGCTTTAGCAGCAACTTCAGTGTTTGTAAAGGAGGTATTTATTGAGGTCTTCTTTAGAGTATGTCTTTCTCTTTCTGCCATATGTGATTTTAAAATAATTAGTTCACAAGCATTGATGGTGTTTCTTTTAAAAATGGTACACATTTTTCAATTTTGTATATAAGTATTCAACAAGCATTCTCCTAAAAAAATTTAAGGTGACTGTATTCTGAATACTACCTTTACACAATGTAACTTGGACTGAATACAGATAACTCATTTCTGTATTCTGAATACATATTCCAAATACTTGTATTACCCAACCCTGCCCATGTCCTACATTTTTCTTGCATTTGCTTTGCTCCTTTATGGGAAGCACTTATGTCATTTGTGTGATCTATATACATAAAAAAAGTTATAATTAATTTTTCATGATTATATACTTTTGACTGTTCTACTGTGCTTTTAAGATTGTTTAAATGATATGTAAATGATATCTGCTCTGTTAGCTGCCCTCTATTCAAAAAGTGGTCCAGGCTGAAATCCTCCATATAACTTTCCTCATAACTCCTCATAACTCCTCTTAACCTTGAAATTAGCCGTTTTTGAAGGACTCTAGCATTATGTGAATTAAAACCAACTTTAAAATCAACCAGAAATAGATTGTCATGTTGATTCTCTGATATTTATTGTTGATTTTGAGTTTATTTGCTCTTCAGTATTGACAGTTTGCATATACTGTATACAAGCATAAAATTCTTATTACCAGAACACGAATTAACCAATAAAACTCACTAATCCAAAATGTCATGTTCCTGTTATTATCATAAGTGTGCACACAAACTAAACTCATTAAAGGCCAGCAAATAGGAGACATTTTCATTTACTATATGACACACTCCTCCATATTGCAATAAAACACACTATCGGTCTTTTCTATTTCAATTTCACAGTATACAAACATGCCAGAAATTAGCCTTAATAATCATAACTGGCTGTAACATGCATAACATAACTCCAGCAACAAATCTCATAGGAAAAGTTTGCTCTATCCTCAAAAATGCTCACAGCATTATAACAGTACCTGTTGATCCACACATTCATAATGGTGCACTTTTCAACTTTCATGGTGAAGTTCATCAGAAGTATTACATCATTGTTACAAAGTAATGTATTGGCCACTTTGTTTTGAAAGTACCTTGAATATATAGCCCTAGAATAAAACTGCAGTTTAAGCTTTTTAAATGCTAGCTTCCCTTTTTTTCTAGATGAAGAGCCATGGCAGACTCATAACAGGAAATATATAATCATTGGTCAGTGATTGGTGAATCATGGCCAAGCCCAGAGCACTATTACACAAGCGATTATCTGAAAATGCAGCACAAGGTCAGAAATAATGCTTAATACTGTTAATTTTGCACAAGATCAGAATTGTTTTCATAAATGTTTATAGCAAAAATAATATTTTGATTAGCTTATATTTATTTAGCATATTTGTTTTTGATTTCATATAAGCCTTCTTTTAACAACACTCTGTAAGCATTTGGGACCAGAGGAGACCAGTTGCTGTAGTTTTGAAAGTGAAATGTTTTGCCATTCCTGCTCGATACAGGATTTCAGCTACTCAACAGTTCAGGGTCTCCTTTATCATATTTTTTGTTTCATAATGTTTCATATTTTTTGTTTCATAATGAGTGTTTTCAGTGGTGACAGGTCTGGATTGCAAGCAGGTCAGTTTAGGACTCAGGCTCTTTTAGTACGAAGCCATGATGTTTTTATTATGTATGTACAGCATCCCAAGTTTTTGGAAATGGGGTTGTAGATTTAATTTCCGATAATTACTCCCCTACACAACATTAGTGGTGAAATGTAAATATTACATCAATGTTGGTTTACTATGCCTTTTTTAAGTGACACTTCAACTTGAGTTTGATCCAACATTACAATGCTAACTGACTTTCAGCATTCAATATGAATTTAATGTTATTTTTCCATCCTTAACAAAGCTTAACAAAGGTCACCATGAACTAATCTTTTAATATATGTCTGCTAACTCATATTTTGATCTAGGATTAATGGACTGCTTGTAAATATGAACAATATGAACCCAAAATAGGAAGTTAGTAACTTCAAGATATTTTTTTCATGATATACATTGTTTGGAGTGGGTTTCACATATACAAGAATATCAGTGCTATATTATAATTAATACCTCATTTATTAGAGGAATACATTTTCCATTATACATCAGCATATACAGCACTTTGGAATGAAACTCCTTAAATTTCAATTTGCTCAGTGAAATGCACAAATTTACAACCATGTATTACATAATAATAATTGTATGAAAAATTGCATATTTGAAGCATATTTGTGAGGAATTAAATAGTTTTTTACTGAGCTCCATTTAAGTCATTCACATTTAGTTTCTTTGCTGTTGCTGATCCCTCACACGTGCGAGCTAGGATTTTAGTTTTGATTGAAGAAATCCCAAAAAGAAAAGAATAGCACCTAACAAACTTCATTCCCTATACTGATAGATGAATAATGTAAGCCTAGTAAGAAGCCCCACTGCCGTTCTGCTAGAAAGTTTGTGAACATTTTAGAATTTTCTGGTTTTCTATATAAATCTCACCTACAATGTAATCAGATCTTCATCTAAGTCATAACAACAGAAAAATAGAATCCCATAAAGCACATAACACAAGCAATTGTACAGGTTTTCATGAGTTTATTGAGCAGACTGATGCAAAATTAAATGTCTTTGGTGGCAAAAGTATGTGAATCTCTAGAACAGTGGTCACCAACCTTCATCCTCGCTGTATCAGATCACTAGTTGGTTGAATGAAATGTGCTAGATGTGAATTGGGAACGCTGCCTTTAAAAAGGACCTGATCACATTTTAGTTTAGATTTATGAAGGGCTTCACAAACTTTCTAGCACCACCGTGTATAGGCCTCAGCATGTAAATCCAAATGTTTCGGTTTTATACACTTGTAACCATTTTAACCACATCACACTGTTTAGCCGAGCTAAACCCCTACTTAAGAAGAAAAGGGAAGCAGTTCAACTACAAAACGCGTATATGTTACAGAAAAATTGAGAAACAACTGGACATCCGGGAATATCTAACCTACTTCTGCGTCAGTTATTATCATGGAGACAAAAAACCTAAACAAACCGAAACGTGGGTTTGGTTAGAAGAGCCGCGCATGCGCAGAACCGAACGTGACTGTCCGAGCAATCCACAAAAAGGCAGATGAGCTGTTGAGCCTCCGATCACTCGACCTTACAGGAGTGGACGACGGGATCAGAAGCTGCGATGGGCTCTCTACAGCGATACGTGCTCCTGCTGGTGGTGTTTGTGGTGAGGGCAGAGGACGGTAAGGGATGCGCCCGTGTTTCGTATGTCCGAGTTTTCATGTTGTCTTTTGACAGAACTGGAAGGATTTAGGGGATTAAATTCAGGATCCCTGAACTCCTGTTCCGTTCTGTGTTTGGGTGGGTTACACGTGTGCTTGCGTAATCTCGTTTGTTGAAATCTGCACTGTTAACGTTCTGTTTTCCTCCAGTTGTTCATTTAAACAACTTTTTCAAAGATGTGACTAAAAGCATTGGAATGCCTCAGCTGTGCTTACTGAGAGCACTGTGGCCTGCAGGGCTTCTACTGGGAAACTCTTTGCCTTAGTGTTCCTCAGAAGTATGAACTTGGCAGCTGTTGTGCAGTCAAGTCTGTTTGTGCATTACTGATAACACATGTGTCCTGTCCCGCTTTTCCAGAGCTGTTTGTGGGCCAAAGAGAAGTTATTTTGGAATTAGACGACCTGGTGGATGGAGGTCTGTTTGACTGTACTAGAATATAAAAGTCATTTTTATGATTGCTCTTACTTTATTCACCCTCCTTTAACACAGCATGGGGTGGATTCACATATTCTGGGACATCAGGTGAAAAAGACACACTTTTTGTTTATTCCAGTTTGAGCTGGTGGTCAGTAGCGTTTTCCTTCTAAATGCTGTAAATAGGCCATTTTAGAAACATCATTTTAGTATGAAATTGAATAAAAAAATGCCAAATAACATTCTCCAGTTTAACCTGGTGTCCCAAAACACTTATAATGAGCTGGAGCTGTAAGAAACTGAAGTTTTATCATAACTTAAGCTCATTAACCTAATTTGGAGGACATAAATGATCACAAACCGAGCCACATTCTGTGTAGTGATTATGACTTAAGGCTAAACAAAATCTCTCAGATATGTTATTTCATTCATTTGAAAGTTCAACAGTTCACATAATTAACTTGCTGTACTGTCTTATTTCAGATTTCGCTGAACTCGGTGAAGACGAGCTGAAGCAGAAAGAAGTGCTCCCTGACATCTCTCTGACTCAGAGATATGTGCTGCGACCAGGTGACACAATGAGAGAAACTTTGGCACCTGACTCCTTCCTTGGAACGCCAAAATCTTTTGTTTTCACTTCATTTTTACTGTTTGTGTGTTTGTAGTAACTGAGATTTTAGTACATGATATAACGGTCAGTCAATGAACAGGTGCATACTCAGCAAGTTTCAGAGTGCAGAGTAAACTGTCTGTTGTGTTTTTTTCCCCCACATCCCATTCCTTTCCATATGTTCCTCTGTCATCACCCATTTTTTAATAGTTCATTTCTCCTTCTCTGTCTCTCTTTGTGTGCCTCCTGTTCACAGGTCCTCCTGTGTTTGGCCCCCGCTCCATGGGCCACCCACAGATTCCGTTCCCTCTTGCCCGACCTGGGCCCAACAACTTCCAAGCCATCTGTCGCTATGGTAACCAGCGTCCTCGGTATCCTAAGGAGACCCTGCCTCAGAATGGCTTTGGTTACCTAGTTCGTCAGGCTAACGCTGTCAACCAGCTGGAGTCCTGGTTCTCTGTGTGTTGCAGTCATGGGATTGAGAATGAGGAGCTGCTTCTGTGCTGCACAGAGAAAGCGGTGAGAACGTGTACTGTCTACCTGCACTGGCTGCATTATCATGAATCACAGTGTTTAGTATTAGCCCGTGAGCTATCACACCCTCAGATTAAAAGGGCTGAGTCAGGCGTGATTTGTTACCCATGGTTTGAGTCACCTGAGATTTGAACACTCATAGAGAATTCAGAAAGAATGTTCGGTTTTCTAGTGCACGCCGTTCATGAATATGGTTATGTAGCGGGTGAAAGCAATAGGCACTTGCTGCCTTTGCACTTAGCTAATTGTAGAGGGAAAATTGCATTTGTAAATAATATGGATGTTACAGCTGCTGGGGTATGGACTGGTCAGTGCTTCAGTCTGCATGGTTGCCACTGCATTTTTGTTGAAGGTGCACAGGTGATGCTTTGAGATAACAAGTAAAAAAACCTTTTTCCAGATGCACCGTAGACCCAGCCCTGGCCTTTTCTGTCTCATATGCCCTATAAACAATATCGGAGACCTTGATCTGGCTGTCTCTGGGCAAAGCGGCCTGTATAGTGTGGTCATGCACTGACCTTCTCTGTCCTGATGCTACATACAGACAGGGAAGATAAAATCAATTGCAATTACATAAATATCTCTACTTGAGTTAATAGTAGGTGATCCTGACTTACAGTGCTCAAAATCAGTCTTGGGACACTATCTAAATACAATTTATGTCTTTCTATTTATTATTTTCCAAGCTAAAGTCATCATTTATTCATTTGTATCCATCCAAAAAAGATAACAGCCTGCAATAACGACCAGGTTTACAAACTGAAAGTCAAAATTATATTGGTAATTAATTGAAAACCTAAGTAATGTAGTTAAAAACTCAAACGTTAACAGGACAATTGTTAGTGTCTATTTCATTTATGTAGACCAGTATTTAATATATATTTTCTGCATATTTTCTTTTGAATGACAACTTGAAGTCTTCTAGCAAGGAGTGCATGAGTTTGCGTGACTGATTCCCAGCCAGGCTTGTTGTATTTTTGTCTTTCGGATGGCATGAGCAGGGCAGGTGTTGAACACTGCTGGTCTCTTTAGACAATTTCAGTATTGATTTTAGAATTTTTCAATTTTTCAACAGGACAGTTTACAAAAATAACAAGAATAAAGAAAGAGTCAGTTTCTCTACCATCTTGATTAGGAACTTGATTTTCACAAACATTTAAACCACAAGATAATATTTTTTGACAGATTAAATTAACTATGTATTACTACCTATTATATACATTTTCTAAAGAAGTGTCTTTCAAAAGGTTACTGGCATTTTAAGTCAGGTGTGTTGGATGGTTGCTTTAAAGGAGTAGTATTGGAGATCTGTTTTGAACATGAAGTGTGTATGCATTTGGATAATTGTCCTAAAACTGTTTAGTAAATGGGGGTTAGGTGAAAGTTTGTAGTTTGCTGTTGTGCAGTTCAACTAAAAGTATTGATTTATAAGTTATAAATTAGCTGAAATTCTGTTTTTCTGAATATCTTAAAGCCAAATATTCATAGTACATTAACAAATAAAATGATTTTAAAAACACAAATGATGATAGGAGTGTCTCAGCACTTCTTTTGAACACCGTAACATTCACTGGCTACCTAGTATCAACTATATAGTGCATTGATAGGCCGCTCAAGCCGCATTACTTGTTTGTAGATGTGTTCTGTATTGATTCTTTCGGTTCATTTCCACCACATTATCTGAGTAGATGTGCTATTGCTGTACAAACAAAACAAACTCTACCTTATGTAAATCACAATAAACAAGCATTAAGGCTCTGTGGGGCAAAACCCTCCATAATTTTGTTTGCCTCTTATTGTTTTGGTGTGGCGCACAGATAGACATAACAGTGGGCAGCCTTGAGTGATATCATCTGTACACAGAATCCACAGGATATCAGTCTGTTGAAACACAAATGTGTGTTCTCTCTCTCTCTCTCTCTCTCTCTCTTTTCCTCTGTAGGCTATTCTTTCTCCCCATATCTCTTTTCTAGCCACCTGCCACCTTTGGTTTGCCTCCAAAATCATATATATTTTTTTATGTTGCAACATTTGTTTTTGTTGTTTTGCAGTGGAAAAACTCACTTTCTGCCTTCTGTGACGAGGAGTTCTCTGTTAAGACCAGTCACTATCACTGTTGCAAGAAGAAAGGGTCAGAAAAATGGACTTGCTTTGAGAACGCTGCTCCAAACAAATCATATGAGCCTTCCGGACAGGAGTCGTACGCTGACATCCCATCCATGACTGTGGATTTCAAATTTAACCCTGATAACTGCCAGAAAAAAAGGTAAATTTGACTACTGTAAACTCAAAGTGCACACTTAGAACTATGTTGTCAAGGAGCAATGAAGTCCACCAGAAGGTAGTGAATAGTAAAAAGCAGTAAACCAGCTCCCCCTTCGCAGGAAGCTAACTAATACTTGCATGACTAATGAATAAGTCTGCTTTGTCAGAGAATCAGAGAGAATCAGATTTAAATATTTGGTAGACTCTCTTTTCCAGAGTGACTTACAAGTATTTAGGTGTTTTTATTATTAACTCTACGCATCCACAGTGGTCCAGATTTGTTCCCTCTAAATGCTTGCGAAGATATTGGAGGAAAACTGTTTTTTCTGTACTTGCTCATAACAGATCACAGATGGTTCCCAGAGCTGTGAGAGGAAGAATGACTAGTGTCCTGAACAGCTACTTTCCCCCTGGCCGCCCTAATTCTGGCAATATTGGATCAATTTGTGCTAATCGCAAGCAACGGCGCCAGTACCTCTCCACTTGTGTTCCTCGTAATGGCTACCTCTCGCTGCCCGATGAAATAAAAGCCATCAATGAGCTGGAAAAAGGCTTTAATCAGTGCTGTAAACAGAAGAAAGGAAAACAGGCCTGTGCTGAGAGGAAGGTGTGTGTTTATCAGTGCGTGTTGCAGTAGTGACGCAAATAGAGCATGTCTAAACAGAACCATACAGACATGAGAATGCTGTGTATTTAATGGTAGGGATAGGCTGTGATTTTCCTGAATAGATGACCTTACAAAGGCTCTGGTCTAATTAACATTTGCACTGTATCTTTCTCTGTCTCTCACGGCCTCTTTCTCTCTGTCTGCTGCAGTGGAGGACGATGGTCGATGACTTCTGTATGAATAAGAAGAAGGTTGATGTGAACCAGCTTGATTGTTGTGAAAAGGATGAAAGGAAAGAGAAATATGATTGTTTTGCCACTGCTGCCCCAAATCCAGACTACATCCTCAACAATGACAGTGTGTCACGTCCCACTCTGGACATGTTCTGTGATATGTACTTTACTTATCACATGACATCGAGAAGGTATGATTGTCCTGTTAGACAGTACTACTCTTTCTTACTTTAAGCATGTTTTTATGTTCTTCTTTTAAAAGTATTTTTTCTTATTGGTAGGTTTTTGGGAGGGTGCAATTGCTTTAAGAGCATAGTGAGATATGGAGCAGAAATGACACAGGGCAAAGAGCAAAACTGCAAACTTGCCTTAATAAACACCAATATACTGTAAATGAGGTGACACATGTAGTCTGCCTGCTCCGCCTGTTTTTGAAGAGAAAGGCTGCAATTTTTCTTTAACTATCAGGATAGACTAGGTTTATACTGAAATACTTGGACATACTTATGCAGACTGTAATATGTAGTATGCGAATCTCAGTGTAATATGTAATATAATATAAATACAATATATGAATCTCAATGTAATCCGTAATGTAAGTGTAATATGTAACTGTCAATGTAATGTGGAATATAAAACCAGTGTGGCCTATGTGAATCTTAATATTTTCCCTCTAGCCATGATCTTGGTTTGGAGATGTTTGCAAGCAAATTGTCTAAGCAGTGCTGCCACCCGGTGGAAGAGAAGAATACTGCTTGTTTACACACACAGGTACGTATTGGTGCACATTTCTGCTCATCATAATCTCTGCTCCTTCATCTGTGATGTTGATAAGATAAACGATGTATTTGTGGACAGCCATGCTCTAAACTTGTTTTCTTTATCAGTAACACTAAAATAATAAGGTGAATACTAAATCCAAGTTAGGTTATTGATCCTTCAAGCATCTTGCCTGTCTGTTATTGATCAGAAACGGCCATGTTTTGTTTCAGCTCGACAATATTGTGGATGAGGTATGCGATGATCAACTCAGCAGCTCTATGATCTGTTGTAAGGAGAATCCCAAGAACCGCTCCAAGTGTGTCACCAAGCACATCTTGCGCAAGCTTGCTAATGACTTAAACTACAACATTCGGAAGAAATGCCCGCTCTCCTAAAATCCTGTGTCTGGTCATTGATTAATTGTGTTGAGCCAATGATATTCACAGGCTGGTATTCCAGGTGTGAATGTAGTGGAATTGAGTAAACACATTCAGATGGGTTACATTTCGAGTTGAGCCAAAACTGCATTTTATATCAACACCACTTGATATTTTCTGTCTTATTTACCTTTTTCCTGAAAGATTATATTAATGAATTATTTCAAATGATTATTTTTAATACATTTTCAGAGCCACATGCATGGTTCTTGTTAACTGTGTAGACACTTTTTCCACAAACTAAATGCAAATCACTATTTTCAAGTAAATGTGGTAAATAAACAAATAATTTCCTTGTTTATTATCTTCCTCGTGTGTGTATTTTTTGTTTGTTTTTGTTTTGTTTCAGATTAGGAAAGGCATTTTATCATATCCAGTTCTTCTTATGTTTGTTGCAACGATATGACATGGTAATTAAATATTGTGAAATAATCCAGTACATTTTCTGTGGGATTCTGAAGAGATATTTAATGTCAGTTTATAACAGGACAGAAAAAAGGTCCACTGCTCGTTGAAAGTCTAATGAAAAACAGAAAAAGAAAACAGCCATCAAAATCATACCCTGAAATGAACAAATCATACATGCTTTCAATACTAAAAGCATAAAAGCATTGTATAGAAAACAAACAAACAAAAAACATTTGTTCACAGACAAAAAAATACACTAGCAAGTCAAGATTTGACAGAGTACTAAATATTGAAACAATGTGTTTTTCCCTTTTTTCAGTTGAAAGCTAAAGTTATTTTAAGTTACTTCCTGCATTAACAGTGTGATACATTCCTTAGGGCTACACAAAATTTTGGCCTAGCATCCTTTTGTTGATTTTCATGAGGGAAGGGTTTCCTTATGCTGAATATACACATGTTGTTTGCCTGATGTATCAACTGATCTCAGGGTAAAGTTATCTGTTGCCTAAGAGCGTGTTGTTATTTTTATCTCCTCTATACAAAAAGGCTTGGCGTCAGAGTAGGCTCTATCTTAAACTTGTCTGAGACATTGGAAAGGCATGCAGACGGTTAGGCCTTACGTGACCACAGTTTCCCTAGTAACAGCTGGTATTAACATCCTTTTTCTATGATAACATTGCCTATACAAACAGAACCACATCCATGGGATGAACCATCCCACGTGGTGAAGACTAATACAATGCATCATTTTCTTCAATCAAGTCAAATAACCACAGAAATACTGGCAGAATTTTCCTGCCTTTCTATGTGTACAGAGAACAGAATCAACCAAACCTGTTGCAGTTTCATCTTATGTCATTGCTGAACAGCTATGACTTGGTGGCATAGGATAGGACTGTCAGTATGGATTTGTTGAACCACAACTTTAAAGTATCAATCAAAGATTTCAGAACTACAAACAGTGCTGCTATTAAATCACTAAACACATTGGCTTCCAAGAGACGTGCAAGAGAATTTTTAAATGAATTCATTTTTAAGTAATCATATATTTGATGTCAATATTAAACATACCTAGAAATCCATTGTGGCTATAAAGGTCTCGTATTACAGAAAGCATTTCCTCACTTTGAGAAAAGCAAACATTGTTAACGTTTCAAAACGTGCCATTCATTCCCCAACCCACCCTGCTGGAAAAAGACTATTAGAACCATTAGTTTTAAAGCCTGGTGGTTTTGCTTTCTAATGGGAATTGGCTGAATGGTTACCATTACAGACCCCTAGTTTCCTCTCTGGCACCTTTAGATCCCATTAGGAAACCATGAAATGCATCTGAAATAAGTACCAGAATACCTGTTAAACCATTAAAATAATTTACACTGTGATATCAGCCCATTAGATAAAACACTAAATATCACTACTGGACACCAACAGAAACTTTTAATTGAATTAATTTGTTTTGTGATGAAAAAAAAAACGCATTTAAATGTATCGAATTATACAGCCTACAACAAATTAGCCCCGCCCATTCACATTCAAGTTACGGAGTGTTTTAATTTGGGGCTGCTTTTTGAATTAACCGCAATACAGGGCAGCCAATCAGAACATCCATGTACATAGGTCATTTCTAAAGGATAGAGACAGTCTGGAAAATATTAATGTAAAAGTGAATTTTTGGTACATAAAACGACACAAGCGTCGTGGTAAAAAAACACAAGAAAGATGTGGGATATGGACCCTTTAAACATACCTATAGTTTGTCATATTAAGACAGGTTATGTTGATTCAAACTATTATTGTGCAGTGAAGTAGATTCTGACTCCTGGCGATCATACTGGCAGTAGTTTCTCAGAATGTGCAGGCTGTATCCAAAACCTCATACTTCACTCCTGAATGCACTATTAGTGGTGTATTTCTTTGCCGTCCTGTTTTGTACCGTGTTAGCTATGTGGTCTTGGACAATTACCCTGTTTGGGTCTGTAGACTTCTTAATGAATGTAAAGGGTTAATTTTAAGCAACAAGGCCTTTTCCATAGAAATGTGGGCCTGAGTGAGTGGAGGACGCCCAGAAAGAGACAGGAGCGTCAGCAGCAGAAACTCCAGCACAGCCTCGGGCTGCTGGATGAAGTCTGGGCAAAATGGCGACCGCCGGTCCCGCTGACTCGGGCTCGACTGCCCCGCCAGGTAACCAACAATAACATATTTAGCCAGTCTTTCATTATAGTTACGCAGAAAACGAGTTCTTCAGTATCGAATGCCCTCGAGTGGGTTCTTTTTGCCTATGTCTTGCCAGGTTGTCTCGCTATCTAACGTTAGTTAGCCTAGTAGGACGACTGCTAATTATAAAAGCAGTATGTGCTGATGTTTGGAAACACTGAGCTGGATCTTCACACCGGGCATTCCCGACCCGCTCAGCTAGCTAACTTAGCCTGCTAATTCCACCACTTTAACACCCGGGGGATGTAGGAATTGTTTTCGTGTTTAAGTACCGGTTATATCATCAGTGCTTTGGTAACATTGGGTCTGTGTGATCAGTTATATCGCGAGTTAAAACAAAAGCTTCCAACATCTAACTAACTATTAGCTGTTAGCCAGTACATTAAGTTAGCTGGCTAAGCCACCGTTAGCGGAGGTAGCCGAGATGCTTTATTGTAAGTTAGCTAACTAGATCATTGCTGGAGTCAGGCTGGCTGTAAGCATTTGGATACCGTGTTTATTAATCCGATGATCACCTCAAACGCGTCTCTAAACGCTTTGGGAGAGAGTGGTGCTGGTTGTACAGTACAGCTAGCAACGGGATTAAATATAACACAGTTAATTACTGTTGTATACGCTAATTTAGCTAAATAAGTAACCTTAGTTAACTAGGCTGGCCAGATAGCCAGCTACGGAGCTAGCTCAGCCATCGTGTGTTTTATGTGTTTCTTTTGTGATCTCCAGTTTAGGCTCATGTTTTCTTGTGCGTTTTACGGATCGGATTAGTTTTTCTCAAGCTTTAGTATGCACTCCTAAATAAAAACGTAGCTATGCATGTGTATGTTATTATAGGACTGGCAATGCTGTGTGGGGCTGTCTAATTTCAGCCACAACTGAAGGGACAGACATAGCACAACACACTGACCAGTGCTGGGAAACTGAACCGAGTCAGGTTCCCGTTTAGTCGTATACACGTTTAGTATATTTAATTCTTTCAGTCAGCTACGTGTTTTTGTGACGTGTCTGCAAAGCAGTTAATATGTAGTAGGTAGCTATTTCGTAATTGTCACAGGCTTCTCTTTTTCACGCACATGTTTGCTTGTATCCTATGAATCATATGGCTGGTCATTCCTTGGAAATGTAGACTTCATTTGAACTGGAATAGCTGTCCTCCTTCTGTTCCAGTGTCATGTTTCCACTCATTATTTGTGATTACTTGTTTCTCTCAGATTCTGCTGTGTGAAGTCCTTTAATTTTTAGAGAACCAGGATATAAATCTTTGGTTCCACAGTTCCACTTTAAGAGAGCAATGAGTTGGGGCTGGGGAACAAAGCTTAATCTGTATGATCAGTGTCAAATTATCTGATCATGAACTATATGACCCCTCTTTACAGTGCCACAAGGACACAAACCAAAGGAACTTGGTACAGCAAGCTGTTCTTAACCTGTTTTACTTTCAATATGTAGTTAGGGTAGTAGTTCTTACTGCTCTTTACCTATTAGCCGTTACTAAGATATCATTCCAAAAGAAGTCATTCCATTTAAACCAGCCAGTGCTACATAAACATAATTACTTTTTAGAAATGATATATACACACACATACACACACACACACACCTTCTTAGCATTTCCAAGTTAGAAAATTAGACTTACAAAAAAAATCAACAGCAGTTAAAAAGTTGTCTAACATTTAACTGTCTAGTAAATAGCTGTTTTCCTTACGAGTTATTGTTATTAAAGTCTGTCAACAGCATATATTTAAAAAAAACTGAGGTAATAGTGTTAGTTCAAAGCATCCGCTGCCCCACTCCCTTCACAGTAGGGGTGTACGATAAGTATTTTTAACGCTGTCACATGAATTTCTGTGATAAACACATTGTTAAGAGCTGCGATGACAACAGATTAGATTACCTCATACGCATCAAACGTTAAGATTGTTCTCACACCCTGTATTGTGTTCTAAGTGTGGGAGGCAGTAATGGCCACTGTCACAACAAAAGTATTTAGTAACTGAACAAATAAACAGAAATATGATGTGTTCTTGTGTGCCTGTATAAAATTATGTATTTAATTTTTATAGTCTTTATAGAAGTAGCTGTGGAATTAAGGCTGACTGTTTCTTAGCCTTTCAATGCACAAAAATGCTTGGAGTTCTGATGTAAGTAGCTGTTAGTATTTCTTTTTATTTTGCACAATAGTAAGTGGTGCTTTTGTAATTTTCTATTGTTCTGTTTGCGTAAAGGAGAGATTAGTTAGATTCGTTTACACATCCAAAAAAATCTGTATGCTTTATCAAACGTTGTATTTTATGTCAATATCATATAGCCCGACTTCACACAGTTACGAGCGAGGTTCCTAAGATCTTTAACATCTTTAAAACAGCTAGTTTTCTTCTTATCAGCCATGTCAGTCATATTAGCTTAAGTTGTTTCTGCACTAATTAAGTGAAAGTGTTCATGTGGGCTTTGCTGCTACATTTCTCTCGTGGACATAGTGGAATTTTTCACACTCTAAAACAAATGAGCAACTAAATAAACAAATAAACATACATATTCAAGAAAAAAGTAAAAATAATAAACTACATTTAATGAACACTTTAATAACTTTGAAACCACAAAAATACTGTTCCAAACTGTGTCCAATCAACATTTCACACAATCTGCTACACTAAATCCAGCTAAATGGCTTAATTATGCTAAAATATGCAGTTGGTTACTTATTTAAGTACAGATGAGATCCACAGTCAGAAAAGAATGGTACTGGTCTATGATTTGTTACGCGGTAAGAGAACCGTTTTACCCCCCACAGACCTGAGGACTCCCTTCTGGAGGATGCTGGCCATTCAGAGAAGTACATGCATGGTTTTGCTGTGGTGACAGTTGTTCTAGTGTTGTGATGAAATTGATGAAGATACAAATGTCCTCCTTTATCATCATGAAGCTAAAAAAGTAAACAAAACATATCTAACTTTATAACCTAATGTGTTGGAGGTTGGTGATTGATAATGAGGGGTATGTGCTTGGTTTTCTTTCAGACTTGGACATGAAGAAAGTATTTCAATTTTAGTAGCATGCTGCTGTTCACCACCTGCTAATTTTAATACAGGGGTTGAGTTTAGAAGTTCACCACGCAAGATTAAGGTTACAGCCAAAGTGAATGGGGAATGTTTTAGCATGCAAACAGCTTAAGATTTAAATGTGCTTTAAAGTTTTACGAAGCTTTTTATGTTAATAAAAATGTTAGGTTCCATCTTGAGACTTAAGCAAAAGGTGCATGTTCCCTTTTTTTTGGCTTTATCTGTGATTTCAGCCCTCAAAGTGTGTGAATGGATGATGATGATAACTGAAGGGGGGGAAAGACGTCTAGTTGTTTACCAGCTGTGTCTGGAATGAAAAATAGCATCTGCATGATACGGAGTTTATTGTTGGTTACATTAGCAAGTTTGTGGTCCAGCTTACCTGTTACCTACACCACTAGCCTGCTCTAGAATTGATTATTACTAGTTATAACATTTCAACATTGCATACATATATGACTAAGGTAGGTGATTGAAGTGAATTCAATTCATTTCAAATGTTTTAATAGTCAGCCAGCAAGTTACAGTAATTAGGCGTCAGTTGGGACAGATATTTATATGCCACTGTTTGAATGTGTAGTGTGAAAGTGTAATTGGTCCCCTGGCAGCCCATAATGAGAGGGTTTTTCCTGCTTACACTTAGGTGCTGGTATCAATATCGTTACAGAGGATAAAACTAAATAGGTCCAACATAACCTGTAATGACCTTTTGCTTGCTAATATGTCCATGTCCATTTTGCAGTAGGCCTGAGTGGTATCTGAAATTTATTATATATAATTATATATTATATATAATATATTATATATTAATATATTATAATTACCATAATATGTTCTTGTTTAAAAAAATCAGGATTATTGACTATTTCATGCCCCAGGACCTACTTTCTGACCTAACTTTAGCTCAGATGCTTTTCTTAGCAGTAACTGAGTAAATGAAAATCTGAGGTAGCTACCACATGTGAAGAAACACATGCAAGTAAATGACCTGATTCCTAAAGCCACATACACGTGCCTTACATAATAAAAAAGAAGGTGTTTTCTGTCTGTGTTCACCTGTGGATGATGGGGAAAACCATGAAGTATTAGATTTTCAAATTTTACAACTCCTCTGAACCATCAGGACAATTAGACTGAATGGAAATGCTTAGAATGGAAAAAAAAAAAAAACAGAAAAACATACAGAATGAAACAGTTTGAATCACTTTGATGATGAAATTAATTAATTAATTTGGGCTACAATTTCTGTGACATAAAAGAGACAGTGCTTCCAAGTATTCTACAGAGAAATAAATATCAATAACAGACAAATGTTTGAGTATACAGATTGTTTGGGCAAACAAGATTGTTGATATCTCAATCAGTTTGAAAGTTAAATTTAAGCACAGCATATTTTGAGTGTCCCAATACTTACGAATGTTCATAAACAAATTTTCCAGCACCATCCCCCCCCACCAAAAGCCAGCCAAACAAAACAGGGACAACTTGCACATATAAGACTTCAAAGGACAGTAATGAAAACAGCCTGTTTAATTATAGGGGTTAAGAGAGGTCGGGAAATGCTCTTGTAAAAATAAATTATGACTGCCTTTGGTACATGAACTACACAAACCCTAAGAAAAAACTAATGTAGGATGTGGCTTCTTTTATGTCTGAAGTATGGAGTCATGTCAGGGAACATTGTTTAACATATTTGCTTGAATTAAGCTTATTCTGTGTAGCATTATACATACTAACAAGTTGGAAAATTCCAGTTATAGTCTTGGCATTGCTTTCATTATATTAAGAATATAATGTAAGAGTTGAGTTTTAGTCCTGCAGAATTTAAAATATCCCCTCTTTCTTTTTTCTATCTTAACACATTTCTTTCCTTACTGAAGGATCTAGTGGAAGTCGAAAAATGGCCTCACCAGAGGTGAGTGTTGAACCCTGATGTTTTTGTTGCATATTTGTTGTAATGAAATGCCATAGTATCCAGTAGCCAAGTGTATAGCATCTACCAGACATTCTAATGTGGACCTTTTTTTAACTCTCTTCTTCCAGTTAATACAAGAATATTGTTTTTTCGTACTACTAAGCTGGTGTGTTCTGATCTGCACATCATTGATTAGTTAAACTAATTAGTATAGTCTTTTTTTCTAATAAACAAATCCATAAAAACGTTTTTCTCTTTTAAAATACTTTTGTAATCCTGTATACTGTATATTTTCCTCAAGTGTTTGTGGGAATGTGAGGATTTTTATACTCTCAGCTAGGGGTGGGCAATATGATGATATTTTATTATCATTAGTATTTTTTTTATATGTGGCACTACATGTTCTATTATCTTTGTTCCTTATTAAATCTCAGAAAAACTAATGATTCATATTGTGTATAGTGAAAATGTCTTAAAGCATCTTGATATAATATTTTTGCCAAATCACCCGTTCCTACTGTCAGCCCAATACTGTATTAGAGGTTTTCACTGTTTTGGGTTCTCCTCTTATCCAGGATTTTTGCTTTGTTAGTTTTGAAGCTGGCTTCAGCACATTTTGTGCAATTTTAAACCCATATTTAAAAAAAAACTATAATGGAAGAAAAACAAAGTATGAATAAAAAAAAAAGAATAGAAAAGGTATCTGAGACCAGCTTTATAAGCTGACTTGGAACAGTGAAATTTACTCTGAAAACCCTACCAATCCTCCATAACCATTCTGATGTGTGAGCTTCAAAACGAGAGCTGTGATTGCTGGCAGAGAAGATTAACAAAAGATCAGACACTTGGAAGAAATTCAGAATGAAGATGCTCTGTGGAGTCCTGTTCAGTTTCTCTTTAACAAAATTTCTTTGTGCAGCTTTGGTTTGCATTTATGCTTACCATAGAGCAATCTCTCTGAGCCATTTGGGAATGATATTTCTTAGCTTTAACCCAGTCCAGACCCTTAAAAGTCAGAAGACTGACCTTTATGGATTTAAGGCTGTACTTTTCTACTTTACTACTAATGCTTTGGCTGAACATTAATGTGAGAAGTGTTCAGTGTCTTTATTGTCCTACTGTCACTGTATTGAGTAAAATTCAAGTTTTCATGCTCATCAGCAGATATAAAATGCTTTGGGTTGGGTGGGAGTGCAGAAGGTTTTACTTTATGGGAATTAATTAAAGGCTCAGCACGGGAAACTGGTGGGTGATGAAATCTTTTGTTCCAGTAGATGAAGAAATGGGACACCACATGCCTGTTTCTGTTCCCCATTCATATTTTTCCTGGCTCTCTCTGTCACAATCACTCTCTCTATCTAGGGTCCAGGGTCATCTCAGAGTATGAAGAAGACCATTGGACACCGGGGTGTTGACCCTACAGGAGAGACCACCTACAAAAAGGTCAGCATGCAGTTACAGGTCTATGGTCAGACTAAGGCCCAATCCTTTGTTCCCCCCCAACCCTACCCCTTGTTTTTGAGTGTCACCTTGCTCCTTGGAAATGAGGCACCAAAATGTAACTGCTGGACCATTTAAGGTGGAACAGAAAATTTAGCTAGCTAGCTACTAGATTGAAACAACATTAAACTAAAATAATACAATGATTATGATAAATTTGAATGGAGAAAATACTTACATTTGTGTGTTTCTTTGGTCGCTTGTGCAGCCATCTTGCCGATTTTTCTTTTTTCTCATAACACTCCGTTTGGAGTGCGTCTCTGTTTGGAGGGCCATTTAGCCTTAATACTTCGCCCTACTCCTCTGTGTCAACAAAAATCGGGACACCCTACTCCTGGGCATGAACGCGCAAAGGAGAGGGGTAAGGGCTAATTCAGGGGTGTTCAGTCTTATCTGCAAAGGGCTGGTGTGGCCGCAGGTTTTCATTCCAAACAAGCAGAAGCACGCCTGATTCTACTTGTTTTGTCAATTGCTCAGTCTTCAAACAACTGATTATGTGAGCTCCTGCTTGGTTGGCCCTTTGCTGTTAAGATTGGGCACCCATGGGCTAAGAAGTAGGGGCAAGGGGTGAAATTGGTTTGGGCCTAATCCTACTGGAAGGGGGGTTGTGTAGAGGAAGGAAGGCACCAGAATGGAAAGAGATTTTCTTTAAATATGGTATTACTCTGAAAGCATTGCATCTCATAGCCATCTAAATTAAGGGATAACTGAGTAGCATTTCGCTCCTGTATGTCATAAGGTGAGTTATTCAAAGCATTTAAAGAACTCCTCTGATCCCTCTTCTTTGCTGAAAATGTCACAGCCTTCACCCTCTCTAGAAAAATGTCATGAACTCCTGCTTCCTCCGGAAGCTATGTCTGCCAGTTTGTTGTGAAGTCAACTGTTGGATGTTTTGCCTTGGTGTTGTTTTGAGGAAAGCTAAAAATAAGATGTTGGCACAGCAAACTGTCTGTTTTGGCTATATAGCTCCATAGCTACCAGCCTGGGAAGCTGCAGGCTAGTACTTCGTCTGTGACTGGCACTGCAGTGATTCAAATTTGGTTCTCTGTGATGGAAAATAGCAGCTGTTCAAGCTACTTGTAAACCTTTGCTTATGTCTGTTGAAAGCATCTCATGCCAGTTTATCCTTACTGAAGCAAAAGAGAAGATTTTCTTCTTCTTGTCTAAGAATTCACTTTGCGTAGTCAATTTTGTCAGTATTCCACAAGTGTGGACCAAGTATTCCATTTTTCCAATTCCAATTTCCAAGTATTCCAATTTTGTCAGTATTCCAAGTGTGGACTGCTCACAAAAGCAAAGCATTCCTTCGGGGATTTTAGGGTAGGGAACCTGGTTTACTTTACAATAGGAAGTGGCCAAATTGTGTCACGTAAAAGAACTTTTTGAGAGAGAGGTGTTTTGATCCTAATATAAATTAAAGAGTTCTACATTATGAAGCTCCTTTAAAGCTAATTAAGTTGTATTTACTATTCCAGAAGTCTCATCTTTTGTTAGGCTTTCAGATAGTACACTGTGCACTTAACTTCCTGATTTATGCCCTTTTCTCCCCACAGACAACCTCGTCTGCACTGAAAGGTGCGATCCAGCTGGGTATCACCCATACAGTGGGGAGCCTGAGCCAGAAGGCTGAGAGAGATGTCCTAATGCAGGACTTCTATGTGGTGGAGAGTATCTTCTTCCCGAGGTGTGAGCGTGTTCTTTGCTTCTTTCTGTGATTTATGGTGGGAGCTGAAATGTTGTACCTCCTCTGGTTGTGCATCATGGCCAAGTGTGCTCAGTTTGTGATGTCCACACTTTGCCACACACTAGAAATTACTCTGTACTTTTTTATTAAATTCATAAATTCAGCTTTTATCACTCATTAGCTGTATGAGCTAGTTGTCGCTCACTACCATCTGTTGTCTCACATTTCTTGCTTATTCTAGAATATTCTGGGCCCAGCTTGAAGAGACTTGCTGTAATATGTAGCTATAGATGCTGGTCTGCACTTTGACTCTCTGTGATTTAAGATACTGTCTTACAGTTCTTTTGTCACCAGTGAATGTATCTTTTTGTCTCTCTCTGTCTCTTTCTCTGTTTGTCGCTTTCAGTGAAGGCAGTAATTTGACTCCTGCACATCACCATGGTGACTTCAGGTTTAAGACTTACGCCCCCATCGCCTTCCGTTACTTCAGAGAACTCTTTGGCATTCGACCTGATGACTATCTGGTCAGCTAAAACCCCTACACACATTTGCTCACAAAAGCATTCATAGATTCTTGTCATTACCTGCATGTTTTCATACCTGGTCAATCCTGTATGGGACGTTAGAAGGCATGAGCTTTATTTTTAAGCAGTTGGTTCCAAACTGTCTAGACAAGAAGTATTTTTCTAATACCAGTCATTGTTGAAGGTTCTTTCAGGAAAAAAAGTTTTATCTCCTCCAAAAAGATTTTTTTGTAAACCCTTGTCTTTGCGTGTGTATGTGTTCATGTCTCTGCAGTACTCCCTGTGTAATGATCCCCTGATAGAACTGTCTAACCCCGGAGCGAGTGGTTCTATCTTCTACGTTTCCAGTGATGACGAATTCATCATCAAAACAGTCCAGCACAAAGAGGCTGAGTTCTTACAGAAACTACTGCCAGGATACTTCATGGTACATTTTCATTGTGATTGTGTGAGCATGTGTATACACATTCAGATTTCTGTAGAAATTGTATTTGTTGTCGATAGCGTGTGCGTATGCATGACAAAAGAGCAGGAGCAAAAGGTGGGAGAGATTGCTTCAGTTATAATGCTGTGCAGTACACAGAAGCCAAACTGAGGTGCACCTTATTAGCTCTTGCTGTCTGACTTTCCTGCATCGTCTCTTTCATGCTAGAACCTGAACCAGAACAAACGAACTCTGCTGCCCAAGTTCTATGGGCTGTACTGCGTTCAGGCCGGGGGGAAGAACATCCGCATTGTGGTGATGAACAACCTGCTGCCGCGCTCTGTCCCTATGCATCTCAAATATGACCTGAAGGGCTCCACATACAAGCGCCGGGCCTCGCCTAAAGAGAGAGAGAAAGATGTACCCACACATAAAGATCTGGACTTTATGCAGGACATGCCTGAGGGCATTCAGCTAGAGCCAGACAACTACAATGCCCTCAGCAAGACAATTCAGCGAGACTGCCTGGTGAGTGCAGTCTGCCTTACGCTAATTATTAGTGAGCAGAGAGTTTAAAATCATAACTTTTGTGATGTGTTGGCAGGACTTGGCAGTATAGTACGAAGTATATCCTAATGAGACTAGAAGACATTTTTGTGATATGAATCATGATTAGAGGTGGCATGATACCACTTTTTCTTTTCTGATACTGATATTGAAACCTTCAGATAATTACTAATCTGATATTTTGCCCTAAGCTTTAAAAAAAGTTATGTAATAGAAGCTCTTCTCTTTAGATGAGCATCTAAAAGTAGGCTATCAACTCAGATTCATTCCATTTTCAGCTATTCAACATTCAGCTTTTTTCCCTCCGATGTCCAGTACAGTATTTTCTGCTGATATTGGTCTGAGGCTTGATTGTGTTAGAATAGACACAATGTACCAGTAGTGCCACATTTTAAAAACTATCCAAAAGTGAAATTCTTATAACATTAAATCTAATTAAACAGGGTGAATGAAGCTCTGTGTACTGGACCATGCATGCAGTCAGTCAGTGTTCTTTAAATTCTGACGATATTCACAATGTTCCCAGAGATGTGGATTGTGAGTTTATCACAATAAAATAGCATGTTGTCCACTCTTATGATTAAGTTGTAATTGAATATGGGGGTTAATGCCATGCAGATTATGAACTCTTCCGTCTCTCTATAGTTTCTATCAGTGTACTGTCAATGGTATTACAATAGTTTTAATAATATACTGACATGCCAAAAGTCATGGGATAGCAGTATGTAAATTGATTTATGAAGTGGCAATAACTCGGGGGATGGCTTGGGAACGCCTACATCTGTATACGTTGTGAAGTGTTATCTTGTGAGTGAGGTTGAACGCTGGCCAGCGTGCTCATGGCAAGGCGACGTGAATTATCAGAGTTCGTACAAGACATGATGGTGGGTGCCAGATGGATGGGACATTCCATTTCCGAAGTTGTGCGGGCATTTAATGTTCCTTGATCCACAGTGTCACGTGTACTGGGAATATGTCATAAAAGGCATTAGCACCCAAAGTGGACAGCTGCTTAAAGATCGAGACCGGCAGCTAGAATTGTCTGTGCAAACGGACAAGTCACATCCACATTCAATGCAGGAGGCCCCACATGCATATCTCGCAGGTCAGTTCAGCATTCTTTAGCTTCCATGGGATATGGGCACAGAAGACCCACCAGAGTGCCTCTGTTAACACCAAACACAGCGCTTCACCTGGGCTTGTGAGGTTGCTGACTGGACCCTAGAGAACTGGCAACATTTGGCGTGGTCCGATGAGTCATGGTACCAGTTGTTTTGGGCTGATGGTAGGGTTCCTGTATGGCACAGACCCCATGAAGCCATGCACCCCATTTGTCAACAAGACACTGTGCAGGCTGGTGGTGGTTCCATACTGATGTGGGCCGTGTTCTCATGGCATGGGTTGGGTCCACTGGTCTGCTTAAACATGTCATTGACCAGTGATGGATATGTTTCACTGCTTGGTGACCATTTGCAGCCCTTTGTGGACTTCATGTAACCCCATAGTGATGAGATATTCCAGCAGAATAATGCACTCTTGCATCAGGGCCAAGCAGTCCAGAATTGTTTCAAGTGCAGGATCTCGGTTGTGAATGGACCTCTCCACCACACCCCATAAATGCTCGATTGGGCTCATGTTGGGCAAACGTGCAGTCCACACCATTTGTCAGAACTTTGCAAAATGCTCCTTACAAATAACAAGATGCCACGTTGAGTTGCACTTCGCTGGGCTAGAGGGGGTCCTACATGACTTTTGGCATATCTGTGTGTGTGTGTGTGCGTGCGTGCGTGTGTGCGTGCGTGCGTGCGTGTGTGCGTGCGTGTGTGTGTGTGTGCGTGTGTGTGTGCGTGCGTGTGTGTGCGCATGTGTGTGTGTGTGTGTGTGTGTATGTGCTTGTGGACTTTTAGAGTCATGAAATATATTCTGTGGTATTTGTATAGTGTTGATGGTTTGTGTGTATCAGCTGTTGCAGAGCTTTAAGATTATGGACTACAGTTTGCTGGTTGGAATCCATAATGTGGATCAGGCATGTCGTGAGCGTGTGGGGGCAGGGGACAGCAGAGGGGCAGAGGGCACAGTAACACCTGACCAGCGGAGGCCACAGGCCCAAAAAGCACTCTACAGCACTGCCATGGAGTCCATCCAGGGAGAAGCACGTGGGAGGGGTGCATTGGACAGCGAGGACCAGTCAGTCACCTAGTGCTTCACTATAACTGTCCTGCCCTTTCCTGTCCTTTTCTGTCCTTCTTCAAATATTGTCTCTTTACACTGAGTTTATGACCTGTATCACAGATGCAGGAGATTGGGTTCAGTCATGGTAAAACTGAGTTTCTTCCATGTCCATCTTTAGATGGGGAGGCATCCCAGCCCGGAACAGTAAAGGCGAGAGGCTGCTGCTTTACATTGGCATTATCGATATTCTGCAGTCATACAGGTAATCCAGCATCTCTTCAGTCATTCAGTCAGTTGACCTCTTTTACATTACAGAGCAGAAATTTGAGACTAGTAGGTTTAAACTGTTAGATGATAGCATCGTGATAGTTTCTGTCTATTGGGAGTGTCAATCAAGCTGGATGATTCAAATGTCAGAAAACAAGCCATATCATACATTTTCATTTTCATAGTATTTGTCATGATCTGTTTTCTTTTAAGTGTTTAGTCTGTCATAAATCAGTCCTGGTTGTCAGCTTCAAAGCGTTCTGTGGTGGTACTTTTTTTACATTTTTAAATTTTTTTTATTTTTTTATTTTTATTTTAAACCTGGCCATTATTGTTAAATTAGAAGTTGTGTGAAGCCTTCCATGATTTCCTCACAAAACAGTAAACAGAGCTTAAATGGTTTTGAAGACATGGTTACAAGAAGGTAAAAAAACAATAAGTCTACAGTTATTTTTAGAAAGAAAATATTTATAGACTACAGTTGCAGTAGCCTACTACTAGGCTACTTCACACAGATGATCTTGATTCAGAGAATCCTCCGTCTGTCGGCTTTAGTAGTAGTCTCTCAGTCGGTATTTATGGATCTGTGTTTCTGTGTGTGGGGAATGGTAAAATTTTATTTTGGTAGGGAAGTAAGAACCACTTGTCACCACTGTGACCCCCCACCCTCCAACAATAGTATCGTCAGTCGGCCACGACTCAGGGCCGTGATCGTGAGATAGTATACTGCACGTGATTTCACAAGCCTGTTTGCCATTCAGGTAACTGTAGACCAGTTAAGGTGATTCCCTTGACAAACATTGCCTACATGATTTGTTCTTTCTGTGACCGATTTCCCCAAAGTGTGTTCAAAGTCTGAGTGGGCCTGTTATGAAATTTTAGCTTGTGATTAAGTGCCATGTAAATAATTGCTATAAGCAGTTTGACTTTTTTTCCTTCATTGTATGCGGTTGTTTAAGTACAGACTGAGTAAGGCTGATTGCGTTACATCGCAAAAAATGGAGATAAATGTTTTTCATTGGGCAGCGATGATTAACTTTCCAGTGCAAACAAGCATTACTCACTGCTGCCCAAATGTTATAGCACAAAGTTAGACGTTTTGTTCTTTTTGTACAACCTATTAACGTGTCTCAATGGTTTCTGCTTTCTGTTACTTGTATTTGCCTCAACCCAACTGATGAAAACACGTTCTCTTTGTTGTGATGTAAACATATGATTGTGAAAACCAGCAACTGTGAAAATAATTGAGGTCAGCTTGATTTTTTTATTTTTGATTTTTTTATTTTTTTTTAAATCTGAGCTGGGCTGTAGCAAGTCTCATATACATTTGCTTCAGATATGATTTTTGTAAATTGATAATGATGTGGTAAGTTGTCATTACCATATTGACTGCCATGTTGCTGCTATCTTTGCCAGGGGAATGCAAGTCATTCTTTTAAGTAAATGATCTTAGAGCAAAAGGTCTTAGAGATGATGATACTTTAACATCCTATTGTGGTCCACATGTATCTTTATCACTCACTGTTTTTCTGAAAATGTGCCTTTGTAGATTCATCAAGAAGTTGGAGCATTCCTGGAAGGCACTTGTTCATGATGGGGTAAGATATTAATCAGTCTGTTCCTGTATCAGTTTAATTCACCATATTTTAGTAGCATATCCGTTGTTTTCAGGAATTAATTTAATCATTGAATTAATGGTTACTTGATAGAACTTCTCTTTGGTGAATGTTATTTGCTGGTTATTTGATGTTATTTGTCTGGGGCTGTTTCTGTTTTGCAGGATACAGTGTCTGTCCACAGACCAGGTTTCTACGCTGAGCGATTCCAACGCTTCATGTGCAACACAGTGTTTAGGAAAGCATGTAGGGCTTTTTATTCCTGCGATCATCTATTTTTCTTAAGTTACTTTCCTGACACTGTTATGACCTGTCAGCCATGTACCTCTTCAATTAGTTATTTTTTGATATTAGTTTGTGCTGCTTTCTGTCTCTAGTGAAGTCATCCCCATCGAAGAAGAGTCGGGGAGGCTGTGGTCAGAGTGTCGTCAGGAGGCTTGCCATGGGCAACGCTCCTCCAGCAGCCCAATCGAGCAGCCACATGCTCCCGGACTCTCGCCTTGTCTATCGACCGCACCTTATCCAGCCTGATGTAGACACGGAGAGCGGTAAGGGATAAAAAGGAAAATGGGACAGGAGAAATCAAGAGGTGTTAAATCATAGTAGAATAAAAAAATTGAGACAATGGTTTTTTTTTTTTTGGTTTTTTTTTCAGGCATGCAGTCAGGCAGACCTGATTTGCTTCCTAGGACCCCTCCCTTGGCTGAAACCTCCAGTGAATTTGCAACAACTAATTCTTCACTGCCCCCACTCAGGTACCCTCACACCAGGCTCACTCAGTTCCGTACCAGGGCATTTGTTATTTAGCTCTTTCAAAGTATATTTATTTGTTAGTGACTGATAGTCACATTGTATTTTTTTTTCTTTTTTACAGGTCAGTAGGGGTGGAAGTGCACAAATCTGCAAGCACAGAACCTGACAATGGCGCCCCCCACTGGTAAAATGTAACACACGCATTTATAAATTTGAATTTCTTTAGTGTTTTGCTGAATGCCTTAAGTCTGCTCTCACTCTTACAGTTTGGGAGCTGAAGCTTTGGATGAACAGTTGGGTAATGAAGATGCCATTTCTCTCAAAGACATCATTCCAGAGACCAACATTTGTTTTGTAAGTCCCATCTCAATGTCTACTGTAATGGCCATTTCCGGTGACTACATCAAAACAGAAAAAGGAAGAAAAATCTTATCCTTATTTATTATTTTTTTTTACAGTAAAAGAAAAGTAAGCCCGAAGACATGATGCATGGAAAGGAGGGAAAAGAAAATGGGGAAGAAGAGCCTCAGATCAGTTGAACGATATGCCCTATCGTCCTGTGGGAGAATACTGGAAGGAAGCCCAAACCTTTGAAGTGACTCCACAGTGGTTAAGAAGAGAAGTAGAGAAGAAGATACAGTGTGCGAGAGAGACTCTCTTCTCTCCAGCACAGGGTATGCTGCTATAACTCCAGCTGTTAACTACAAACTTCCTTCTTGGAGCTTCAGTCACCTTTCTCAGTCAGATGCTTCACCTAGCTCTTAAACACACTCATACTTCATGCCAATCCAGTATACAAACACACTTACATACAGCCCTTACATGCACAGAGAAAGCAGTCTGGTGAAAGCGTATTTGACATTTCTATAATACTAAAATATGAGTTATGTTCTGTTTTCTGATATTTTGATTTAAGGTTTTGTTGTACATTTTTATTAATATTTGACACAGTGGTGATGCTGGGTGTTAGAGATTCTTTCAAATCAGAGACTTCGTTAAATTCAGTCCTCTGATGGATTTGTTACTTAAAACCTATAACCTAGCAGATGATATGAAAAGCCAGTATCTATAGGTTGGAGAAGTGTGTTCAGGTGTGCTAGATGAAGAGTACACAATAAGTAGTTTGGTCCCTCTCTAAACTACACTGTTTTGGCTGAGACTGTTGACACTTTATACTGCAGTGTTACATAATTATAGGTAGAACAGCCCAAGAGTGCAGAATTACTTTATACTTCTGCATGTGCAGATGCTACATGTCACTAACAGAATTTCAGTTTTAGACACCCTATCATGTTTAAGACACGTTAAGCTTGGTGATGGTCTTTACTCATTTTTATATTTAAGAGTGAGTTCAATTTTGGATTTGCTTTTCTGGCCTCCCCTCTGTTGAGATCTGTGCCCTGTGAAAATGTTGGTGTGTGATGAGATGAGAATAGAAAAATGAACACAAACCCAATCTTCCAGTTACCAAAATGGTAATTTGACATACTCTATATTTGAATGTTCACAATTTCATAAGCCTTTTGTAAGAAGTACTTTTTTTCTCCTTTTAGAAAGCAAATCTGTTTTGTGTATTCTATATTCTGCTTGTGTCTTAATATGCATGTTTCTGTGCCAGTTGCTTGTTTTATTTCTTTTTGTGTGAAATTTTAAGTGTTATTCTGCTCACTGGCTTCCTTAACCTGTGTGCATTTGAATGTTGTGTGCGTGGGGTCCCCCAGTCCCTCCCTCCCTCCCTCGTTATTGGCAAATGTTTCAAAAGGACCAACCAGTAGTCTAGCTTCATACGTGAGTGGTCATGCTCTTCTTTAAATACATCCACTTATCCACTTAATGCCAATGTAATGCCAGGGCCTTCAATTAATTGATGTACTGTATCTTTGTAAATAGTTTTGTACATAATTATTCATGTTTTTTACATTTGTGTATTTGTAGGCTAAACGACTGATGTGCTCTTATGAGGCAGTAGGTATTGTCTAAGTTAGGAAACTAACAAATTAATGAATTGCTTGTTTGCTGTTACGTCTACTCAGCATGCCTTGAATACAGCTATATTTACGGTATACCTTTCTGATTTCTGTTGGATACAGAAAATATTTAGACTCTGTACATGGACCAACAGGCATTAATTATGCAATTAGTTACTTCAGTTTCATGCTGAAGTGTCATTGGTGTATTTACAGACATTTACCTCATCTAAAAGTGTTGGACTCTACATACAGTGCTTTATTGTATTTTGCTTTAGTAAAGAAAGCCTTTTTCTAGAAACACATTTTATTTCCCCTGTCGTTGTTGTCCAGTTTCACGTATTAGTTTAGTATTCTTTTGCACAAAAAGTGTGAAAGGGGTGTGTGTGTGTGTTTTCTTTTTTTTCTTTTTTTTGGATCATGGACAAAAACCCGTCGTGTGTATTAACTGTATTTTGATGTACAGTGTCTGTTTTCAAGAGAGGCAGTGTGTAGCTGTTTTTTAATCTGCACTATGGAAGTATTTTAATTTGCCCTAATTTTGTGTGTGTTTGGTCCTTTGAATAATCAGTGCACTGTGGGACCAAACGTTCATGTACTTTCTAGTAGGCTGAGCTTAACCTGCGAATAACTTGTTTTTGCAGTGCAGAACTGAGCTCTTTCACTAGCATCCAGGTGTTTGAAGGTGCATGAGAGTACAGTTGAGTGCGTGGCAGTAAAATGGGAACGGCATGGTTTACTCTCTTCACTGGACAGAAAGCCAATATGCTGGGCAATTAGTGTTGTTTTTTTTTTTTAAGCCAGCAGTGCAGAAAGATGCAAGACTTTGTCCATGGCCTTTTGTTAGTTTGAGTTTGTACTCTGGTAGAAAACTGATTATTTATTCCATCTATTTATACTTTTTGTAAACAAACAGTAAAAATATTCTGGATTACTGAAACACTTTAGAGGCCTAGACCATAGTCTAACTAACACTATAGTAAAATTATTGCTACATTGAGAAAGCCTAACTGTTTACCTTGATAAATGAAGGAGATATGGGCACCGAAGTCAACAGAGGAGTAGCTGGAAGAGTGGGGTCTACAACTACTTGAAGATTTGTAGTGGTAACCTTTTGTCCTTCAATCTGTTCAGCACTTCTGAGATATGTAGTTAAAATGCAGAGAGAATGTTGTGTTACAGGTTTGATTTATTTATTTTTTTTATTAAGAGATTTTTCATTTTCCTCCCCTGAACATAAGTGGCATTTAAAACAGTAACTATGAAGTTATTTTAAAGGTCTTAAACAAGCACTGATTGTATGAAGTGATCATTATTTTTGCACTCTCAACTGAAGAGTATTCCTGGATTTTGTCTATCCAACCATGCTATGAAATGTGGCTTAGATCTGGCCACCATATATTTGGGCATCTAAAATGACATTAATACAGGAATGGCGTTCATAAAAAAATGGCTGAGTAACACGACTGCACCAACTATAGACCTTAAAATGATTCTTAAAAGAAAAAAACTGCAGTGGATGGAAAGACTTGGACTAAACTGCAACCAAAATCAGAATTTGAGAAGATTTTAAATGCTCTAGGGAGAAACTACTGCAGAAGTTGCAAGATTTTGCAGGGATTGATGAAGTGGACCTTGAGGCTTGGGTGATATGGCCCAGAGACGAACACTGTTTGTTTTTCTTGCTATGGTTTGAGATTTTCTTTTTTTTGTGGGGAGAGGGGAAAAGAGGGTAGTTCTGGGCAGATGGCTAGCACAATTTCTTTCCGTCACATCCTGGTTCATGTTTGGGCCACAAGTAGCCATAATTTGGCACATTGCAACATGACAAAGCTTCTAGGGGCTAAAGACTTGTGCAAAGACTGTTGCGGCCTAGTCAGACTTGGAGCACAAAGTAAAATGTAAATTTTTTTTAGCTCACTAAACATAAACATTTGTGATTTGTCCGTGGACTGGTCTCAAATGTAATCAGATTCAAATTGAGAGATGACATATTTTACAAGTACATTTTAGCCATAAAATCAGGTTTATAGATTCAGTTGTTTCACATCTCAATGTTCCCTCTTCATGTTTACAGCCTACTTAAATCGCAGTATTAATTTATCTTTTCTTAGCTTTGAAATAACATATAAAACATCACTGAATATTTAACATTTTTTCATGACATTAACATTACATGTATTGCCATAATGTCCAGAATATTAACAAATGACACATTTACAAGAGACCATAACCCTTTCTGTTAACAGGCTAGGGGCAAAATGTACTGCAGCACTAAATGGTTATTTATTCTACTCTGTGATTTTTGTGCAGCAGATGACCTTTTTTAACCATATGGTGCATTCCTGGTGTCTTTAGTCTTGTTGTTTATTTTCACTGAAAGCATCTGGAGTGACTGGAAAAAATCAGGCCTTTTGAATCATGTTTGACCTCCTCACTAATTCAAACTGCAAACATGACATCTTTGTCTAAAACCTAGCCTGTGCGCAGTATAAAGCCTTACTTGTGAGTCTGCATTCAAAATCTCAGCATAAACTATCTAGCCTGTTTTTTGTAGTGGAATTTATTTGATGACTTCTTGTTTGGTTTGCATTTCTCAACAACATACAACATACTGCAGTGCTCTGATCAAATGAGCACACAGCCTCAAGAGAATTGGCTGTAGCCTTTGTGTCAGTATGGGTCATTCATTTGAATTTACTGGATTGAAATTTAACTTGGATAAATGGTGAATGCACAGTTCTTTGATACAGTACTTTACAGTACTTTGTGTGGGTCTTTTCAGTGGATTTGTTTTGTTGAACAAATTCCAGTAAGTAATGGACGAAAACTGACTAATGCACAACAGACACATCAGTCTTGCACAATTCACAGAGAATTGTATGCTGGCAACAAAGACACTACATTAAGCATATAAACTATTGCAATATGAACATTTCTGCCAACTTGAGTTTTGGTAATCATATTTATTAAGGACTTTTTTGTACCTTTTAGGATTACATGCATTTTCAATATTCTGTGTACTCTAGATGATTGTACTTATCGTAAACAGACAAAATCATTTCTGAAACTGCATTTCTGACAAAGGGTGGAGTTTGACACTGTACACTATGTTTCAGATGTTTTTAATTGTGTTTAACGTATTATACATTACAGTTCTGTAAAAGCTCTTCCTATTGTTTTTTAAACATACGAATGTCTGGCAGTTTCAGGATGACTGACTGCTGTAAATGCTTTGATGGCTATATTTTTACTTGGCCTGTGTAAAATGTGTATATGTATATAAGCAGTCACAGAAATGCCTTGTTCCCTCTTTGTGTCTGCTGCCTGTCTTTCCATACATCTTTTGTGATGTGGTGGTGGTGTTTTTTCACATTGTCTCTCTGATTGTAAATTGGCTAAAATGCATTGAAGTAATAAAAAAATATTTTCTAAATCCTGGCTGTTTTGTTATTCTTTGGACTGACTGGAAACAAAAATCTATATACAGTAGACCTGTATGAGCATGAGATTACTCTGGACTGACAAGCCATTCAGATGAGAATGTGATTTAAATTTAGATTAGAGTGATTCAAACTATGCAGTTCATGAAACTAATGTACATCCCAGTCCTTTTCCTCATTCCTTCACGATCGCTCTCTCTCTGGCAATAGTATTGTAAGTACTTCTCCTGAAGACTGTATGAATCCAAAATGACTCTCCGTTTTGAATGTAGTTATAACTGAAGTTTGGGGGGAACAGCATGGCTGAAACCCCTCCTTTCAATCTAACGCCCTATAAATTCACATCCTCACCTTCCGTTCTTGTGACGAAGTGTTCACAATCCCCATCGCTACCCCATCTCTCCCCTTTTCCTCAGTCCTGCATCAGTCCTACTACAGCTATGAGGGGGATCTGACCTTCTAGCTGCAGGCAGAAGCTGCCCAGAACTCCAACCCAAGTTCTCAGAGTTCTCACCCCTCCCTCAATCAATCTTACCTACTACCACTCCATGCTGAAGGCATGGTCTGAACTCACAAACACTGCATTAAAAGCTTACACCACGTGCGCAACACGAACAGTTGACACTATCAGCCTTTGATATTGCACATCAATGTGTAGAAGGGGTCATTTTAGATTTCAGCAAAGTTGAACAAACAATAGAGTGTTTAAATTTCACAGGCTTGTTCAGTGTGTAAGCCAGGGGTCCACAAGTCTGGTCCAGTGGTATCGGTGTCCAGCACAGTTTTGTAGCTTTCCTAATCACACACTCCCTAAACCAGGCAATTAACAGATGTCTTGAATCGGGTGCATTTAAGCACGTAAATCACCAAACTACTGGACACTGGCCCTCCAGGACCTTACAGAAGTCAGACTTCTGCTAGGGATGGGCAGATTGTTACTTCTGATCTTGATGTTTCTTTTTGAGAATCAATCCTCACATGGCAATACTGATTCTAGGTGTTTTCTTTAGGTGTTTTTCTTTTTTATGTGGCAGTGTTTGTAATATCAATACAACGTCTTTCATATATAATTTTTAATGTCCACTATTTTGCTGGTTTTCACTGTAGAAATCACAAATAATTCCCTCTTTTAAAAGTATCAGAATCAGTATTGTGCACTAGAGATTCAAGATCAGTCATTACAATTGATACAATTTAATGAACTGACAAGGCAAGAAATGTTATATGTCAAAGCCCAAGTGAGCTAAACATGGACCCACTGCTGATTCCCAGCAAGGCAGGAAAAAAACAGAAGCCCCAGCCAGCTGTCACTGTTCTGCGAATTACTGTTTTTGAGTTGTTGCAGCGATGGAGATCCAGAGCATGAAGAGGCCCAGGGTGATAGCCTCTGCAGCAGACACACTTGGAATGTAAAGGTAAAAAAAAACAAAAAACAGAAAACTAAGAATGAGTTTTCAGGAAGACCCACAACAGTTTGTAAAAAGAGCACCACTAACCAGGTAAAATTTGGTTGTGAATCATTCTTAGCACAGCTATGTTACTGTGTGTTTCATTGGTGCGAGTGTATCAGACATAACAGTGTTGCTGGAGTTTTAAGCACTGTGTACACCCACTGGACACGCCTACCTTGTCCAATCAAAATTAGCCAGATCAGGTCTGTAAGACATCTGTAATTCTTTTAGCACAGAGTACCAGTACTCAAAAACATAAGCTCCTTAACTTTATTAAAGCCAGTTTAGATATCATCAAATACTGTGATATTATGCTATTTGGAAAATACTGAAATACTGAATTTTTGCCCAGCACTAACTCACTAACTAAAGGAACAACTCTGACACAAGTCTGAGTAGGAGTCAACATTTATTCCTACCTGATGAGTTAGACTGGCTGGGCTATGATAACGAGCAAGAGCTGTCCTGTGTTATTGCTCGTACAGTATTGCCACGGTTCTTTTTTTCTAACTGTAATGTTACAGGGACAAGAAGCAAGAATTTAATGTAATGTCAGCACTTTAGCTGATCACTTGACTTGATTGATTGTTAGCTGTCTAAAAGAACTGTGCTCGCCTACTTACAGTGAGCAGCATTGAGAAAGTTACACTGAGTAAATCTTTTGAACTGAACTATTTTAACATCTTTTCTAATAAAATAGTGCAGGCACAGATGTGTTGTTCAGTGAGTTGATCTTAAATCTTAAGGCACTTACAATTGAACTTACAAGAAATGCACTGTTCCATTACACAAGTGTTTAATCAGACTCACATTGGCGCCAGATGCATAGTGTATAAGGAGTCGGACAGATGTGTTTGGGCCTAGAACTTAACATGCAAACACTTGATCCACACCTTGAATAGTCTTGAATTTTCACTTCCACAAATCTGCAGGTTCTGAAATGTCTAAATTCTCTGGCAACAGATCTGATAAATTTTCCACATTTGACACCAACTGCGATCTTTTTCAGGCACACCATGCTAAAAAAAATATATATATATATATCTCCCATTTTTACAATTGCCCCCCATCTCTGTCAGCCATTACTTTACTAACTGTTGTACAGAGATGGCACATTGAATATCAGGTATTGAGTAGCGAGCTTGGTCCTTCCTTATCTAGCCCTCTGAAAAAAATACAATATGCTGTTGCATACTTGTAAATCTGAAAATTTGCCCAATTACCCAAGAGACTGGTGGAAAGAGTGAATTGTTACTCATTTCTCAAACCGAAGATGAAAGAGCAGATGTGTAAGATCTCAGCTGATGTGTGGAAGAGCGTATTACCAAACTAGAAATGAGCATTTACAGAAGAACGATTAAACCACACATTTTTCTGCCATTAAAGCACTGCTCTGGCGAGTGAGTTAGCAGCCCACGAACGCTGGAGTAGCCAGCCAACACGAGACCCCCCAAATACCAGTGGGTATTTCGCACAGTGGGTAGGCCGAAACTTAAGTGTTCAGTATTGTTATTGGAACTGAACATGTAAAAAGTGTAATCTTGTCTTGCTGTAAAATGCTCATTAGAACTTGGCATGAATATGTTCTGCAGTGCCTGAAAACCGCCTATTTACTTTAATAAAAGTTGTATAAGTTCAAACTGAAGGTTAACCAAAATCTTATCTAATAATCAAAATAGAAAACAGATCCAAAAATGAGAGTTTCTAATCTAACATTCCCTTACGTGTAAAGTCAGCAGTTCTGGACGTGAGACCAGTGAGTGGGTGTTTACAGTGGCGATCATGTGATCACACAGCTGCTCCCTGATTGGTGGAATTGGTGCCGTTGCAGCTAACCTAATGTTAGAAACATCTCCCATCTCCTGTCCCAGTTAGCTCTGCTTCACAGCAACTGTTAGCAAACAGTTTAAATAAAGGGCTCCTTCGTAATAAGACGGTTTCATCAGAGTCGTCCGTGTGTCTGTACAGTAATGAAGAGGAGCTAAAGTCAGCAGTGAGGAGGCGGGACTGTACAGGACTGTACAGGACTATACAGGACTATGTTCTTTATGTGCAGCAAATGAGAAATTGGGTCAGGAGTTCAAGGAGCTGCCTGCTGTCTTTCGTGATGAAACTAAATGCGAGAGATTCAGTGTTAAAGAGTGCACAGAGGAGGTGTGTGTGTGTGTGTGTGTGTGTGAGAGAGAGAGAGAGAGAGAGAGAGAGAGAGAGCGAGAGAGAGAGAGAGAGAGAGAGAGAGACAGACGGAGGAAAACAGCAAAGTCAACATTCTGTGGGTCCTGCTTGGCCGGGTACCGCAGAGAGGGAGAGAGGGAGGGAAAGAGAGAGGAAAGGGAGATGGGGAGAGAGAGAGTGAGAGAGAATGCAGGGGGGCGGGGGCTTCCAGCAGCACCGCACCATCATTATAAGTCCAACTGTAGCTGCGACGCATTATTGCAGTATAGGAGAGCAGACGCACAGAAACTACTGCGCTACTCCAGAAGCCCCCCCCCGCCCCCGCCCCCCACACTGACACACACACATGCGCGCTCACACGCACTGAGCAGCAGCAGGAGAGGACGGTGCTGGCTCTAACGGCGCTGGGACCCGGGCAAACCGTCAGACGGGCCACTTACAGATTACAGTGAGGACTTCTTGGCTGAACGCGTAGCAGCTGTGTTGTTTTTGCCCTCTGAAAGAAACCGCGGAGAGTGGACCGGACAGAGCTGTGGCCGGACACCGTGTGTGTACGTGTTTTGGTGAGGGGACATTCTCGCCTTCCTAATGCGCCACTGCTGCTGAACTGCCGCTCACAGCTCCACTGCAGCTGCTGCAGCCTCCAACGCGCAAAGACATCTGTCCTACCAACACTGGCTGTCCTGACTCCCAACTCTAAGGGGTCTTTTTTCCTCCCTCTTCTTCTTCTCCTCTTTTTATCATCTTGACTTGAGACCCTTCCCCTTTTCCTCTCTCCCCCTCCTCTCTCTCTGCCCCCCTCATCTTCACTGAGGCAGCCCATCGGAAATCGCTGCGCACACGATGTGAGTACCAATGCGGATTTTTTCCCCTAACGCGTTTCCTCCGTGCGCGAGCCCTTAACAAGATGCTGATAAACGGTTTCTCGTCATCGAACTTCAATTGTCCTCACGCTCTTATGTGTTGGTTGTAACTTTTGTGCATGTTTTCTCGAGAGTTAACTTCATTTTGCGCGCAGAGTGTGTGTTACGCATTTATTGACTTGCGGGACACACTTTGGCCCACTGACAATATCGCGTTGCTGCGAGGCCCCTTAATGTCAATACCACGAACCATTAATTATTCTAATGCTTAAACAGCTCTGGTAACCTATATCTTAGACCCAGAGAGAGCACAACCATACCGGACTGATATTTATAAATGCCATTATCATTTATCATATCTGTACTTTGACCACATTTAGCCTGTGATGCTCTGCACTAGATGGAAATAAAGCATGTTCTTGCTGCACTGCATCAGAGCCTGCGCGCTACAGCCTGAGTTCAATGCAGTAATGTACTTTTGTGTGTGACTAGTGGCTGTTTTGGTGTCCTCATTAGTCATAGTCAGTCTGAACGGGTCAGTCACTTGTCACTTTAAAAGAAACTCCGCAACAAAAAGGCAACACCTCCATGCTGCGGTACATGCCTCTCCTCTCCTCGATCCCTGTTCAGGTCGGCTCCAGCTCCAGATGCTGCGGCTCCTGCAGGGGCTCCTGGGGCCCCTGGAGGAGAGGGGGGCCCAGCTGGTGGCCCCCCTGCCCCACCCCCAAACACCACCAGCAACCGCCGACTACAGCAGACTCAGGCACAAGTGGAAGAGGTGAGCACACAGAAGCAAAAAATGAGAGAATATGACAAGAGAGGCTCAGCGAGAGCATAAGTCACGAATCAGATGACACAGCAGCCAGGAACTACAGAATTGGTCATAGAATTAAAACTTTTAAGGAAACTTAGTGTCTTTTATGGACAAAAATGTTTTGATTATTTATTTTATTGTATGAAATATGCTATAATAAACACATTATATATGATAGAATACTTGGAAGTGACATTCCTTTGTTGTTTTGGCTTTTAAAATGAAACAGCTATTGGGTTAAAATGTGAACAGTTAGCATTTATTTGAGAGTATTATGTCTGTACTGGATGAAACATAAAACAATCATAGCTCTTTTTATACAAAGTCCCCAGATTTTAGGAGAACATAATTGGACAAGTAAACATAGTCTTAAATAAAATTGGGATGGGCAGATTACTCAATTAGTCAATGATTAGATGAAGTCTGCAACCAGATGCTGGCTATATGGTGATGCTCTGCCAGGTCTAATGCAGTGAATTTCAGTTTCCGCTTGTTTGAGAGACTGTTTGCTGCAGTAAACACTCTACAGTAAGTGAAATGCATGCCTAATTGGTCACCAGTCAGATGACTGACTTGGCAAGTCAAGAGCATTCAAGAGTTTTTGGGCCTGAGAAACTGTACAGTTGCTTTAGCAGTATGTTTAGGGTCACTGTCCTGCTGCAAAGTGAAGCGTGATTTACTGCATCTTGGGCTAATCAGTTGGATCTGAGCAGTTTAAATGGTTCTGTACCAATGTTCCAATGATAGACATACACACCCATGCCACCATGTTTCAAATTCACAGCTCTGTACACTTTGGATCATGAGCAGTTTACAATGGTACAAAGTGATGAAATAGAACGTTTGACTTTTTATGTGCTATTTAAGAAACTATTATAGGTAGTGTTTTTGATCAACATTTCCTCTTCACGATTTAGTCATTAACTGCTGTAGTCTTCCATGAACCGCAAGTTGTTTGCTATTGCTAAGCGCACCACACATTTATTCTATTTTTAAACATCACAATGGCCTGCTTTACTAGCATTGACACTTCTCTGGTCTTAATGTTGAGGGACAATAGCACCAGACTACAGAAAAAATGCTACATCTACAATCTAATCTAGTCTTTCTGTTCATTCTCTTATGCATTAGCTGCAGTGACACACAGGCCAAGAAACAACCTTGAAGTCAACAGTCCAAATATGTATGATCCACTGAGATAGAGGTAGTATGTGTAAAAAAGGCCATGAGGCCTATGATTGTTATGTTTCACTTAATGTAGATGGAACTACCTTTGAATTAAAGCTGACAAACAGCACGTTAACCTTATATTATTATATTTTAAATCCAATGTGCTAGAATACAGACCTACAGCTACAAAAATGTGTTACTTTTATGGACTGAACCATATTATAACATCATACACAAAAGAACTCAAGGCTGCCCAGTTAAGTCACAGCATCTTCCATCATTCTTTATTTTCCTCTATATAATACACCAAAATAACAAGTGCTGCATTCATCAAGAAATGTGACTAAGCATCACTTTGGCCTCATCTGCTCTCCTGTGCAGGTTGTGGATATTATGCGCGTGAATGTGGATAAAGTCTTGGAGAGGGACCAGAAACTGTCGGAGCTGGACGACAGGGCCGATGCACTGCAGGCTGGAGCCTCACAATTTGAGAGTTGTGCTGCCAAGCTGAAGAACAAGTACTGGTGGAAAAACTGCAAGGTGAGAGCTTAAAAAGCAACTTAAAAACAACTTAAAGTGAAGCATATTCATTACACTCGCAGAAATGTCATACATAAGTTGAAATTAACTTTTGATTTGATTGATAATCTCAGTTAATCTACAGATATGTAGGGAGATTCTTACAGTGTAAGAAGGAAAGAGAAGAGAGAAATGCAGAGGAAAAGAAAGAAAGAAACCAAAGAACAGAAGAGCAGACTGAGAAGGCTGGAGTATGGAATTGGTTAAGGGAGAATTATATGTATGTAATGGATTGAGAAATAAAAAGAAAAACACTCCTGTTGTGTAAGAAAGGGGATGCATAGGAAAGAAAAATGGGATGGAACATCTCAGGCTTATAGGCCACTGCTGATCCTGCTGCTTATTCAAAGCTCAGGAGTGCAGTGCTGCACTCTCTGTGCAGTAGCTTACTGCAAGTCTGTAGCAGGGTGGGGGAGGTTGGGCACGACACAGAAAAGAATATGCTTATGGACTAAAATCATTACAGATTCTGTTTATACTGTTTATATATTAGTTATTAATAACTTAGCTGAGCATTGTTCTAACACGAGTGATTTAGCTTATTAAATATGTCTTCTTTGGAGTACCTTAATCAGGCAAATTATTAAGCCCTTATGACAGTATTACTAAGGTATGTTACTGAGAATGCATGGAGGCAATGTTTTATTCACAAGAAGATGAGGCTTGGCACTTCCTTTTTAGCCACCCATAATTTTCATGTATCAAGGAATGTTACCTTCAACCAATAGCATAAATCCATGTGAAAATAGTCATATAGGCATGTTTTATTCAAGGATATCATCAAATCATATTACAGTCCTTAAAACAATCAGCCAAGCTATTCACAAGCTAACACTTACCAACAAGATCTGTCTGGCAGTCAGCTGCTCTTTGGGCACTGATCCATTTATGTAGTAGCCTACATTTAGCTATTAGCCTACTGTTAGATCACCAACAAGCTTAATTGAAATGTAAGTATCAATTAGTGAATGTGTGACAGTGATTCAGCTCAGATGGGGAAGCATGTTGATGCCCCATTCACAGTGAGTCTACAAGACCTTGGAAATAGAAATAGACATAGAACTTAACAATGTAGTGTTAATTAGTTACTTTGTACATTTAAGCCTTTGGGTTTGAATAATGATAGACTTTTTGATCCCTGGAATTAAACAACGTATCTAGATATACATCCAGAACACATCTAGAAGTATTTAAATACACTATTTTGCTAAAGACTATATTTCGTTTTAAGTTAATTGTTAGTATTGGCTCACTGTTCTAAGGTAAGGCCTGATTTTGTCCTTTTTGAAAAGATAGTCTCAACACCCCATCTGTCAAAATCATATACAAATGAGGGTTTTTTGTTCCAAAACACATTATATTATAAATGAAGAATGTTGACTTGATATACATTGTAGGGAGTTTACACATACAAGAAATATCAGTGCTATATTATAATTAATAACACCTTTATTAGAGAAAGAAAAATATGTTTTTGGTTTTTATGTCACATATCCAAAATTGTTACAAATGGATATACAGTATTTTGTAATGAAACTCTTCAAATATTTCAGAATTTTTATTGCATGTGAAATAGACATGCTTTAAAGTGGTTCAACTGATTACAAGTCTAAAGGTGTGCACATTTTTGTTTGCGCTTTAATCCTTTCCCTCTGCCTCTTTGAAAGTGTGACTTAGTCAGCATGAATCAGGGCCATTCTTTTTTGTCATTTCACATCTCTCTATTAATCAGTCCACCTCTTCCGCTAGCTGCGCAGTTCCAGGACATTTCTCTTGATTGAGCAGTTTTGAGTGGGGAGTTTTTTGGCTCAAGCCTTGCTTCGTGATGGATATATGGAGTGTCTTGCCTGGATTAAATGCTAAACTGGATTATTTTCCACTGTTGAGACCAGACAGGCGATCCTGCATCAGAAAATCCAGCTCCTCGTTTAATAAGCTGCTGACTCTGCAGTGAGTTTGCTTAATGCAGCCTGTCTCTCTCTGCTGCTTTTAGTGCCTCTTAATGCACGGACAAGTGAGACAGTGTGTTACATAGTTTTAAAGAGAGAAACACACACATACACAGAACAGCTGTGTGAGGTGCTGTCCTTGGCTGTTTTTTGTGTCCTCTGTTTAAAGCCGCTGTGAAACTTCAAGCTGACATTCTCACGATGGAGAAGCTCAGTGTGATGTGTATGTATGAACGCTGGCATCATCATCTTTCTTGTTTCTTTTCTTTATCTTTAGATGATGATCATGATGGGCATTATTGGAGTCATCGTGGTCGGGATAATCTTCTGTGAGTTTCACTGTAACTTTCGTTATGTAAAAGTTATGAAAAGTTTCATAACAATGACTTGACTTGTGTGGTTAGGGTTGCATGACTGCATTTGTTTAAGTATTTAATCAATATTTAAGAGTGATATGATACCTCATTAATAGAACATGGGTGAAGGACATATAAAGTATCTTTATTTGTACTGTTATCTAGTTGATAAGTAACATAATATTGATGCTGTCATATCAAAACCATGTATCTCTATTTTTACAATTTGTATTTTTCTACGTCATTTGAGCACCGCAGCTGCCCTTTACATTGTGCCAAATTTCATAATGAACAGGCCAACAGAAATGCTCTAAAATGAATAAAATATTGTTACATTAACTTACATGAAAGTTAAGAATGTTTTTGCCTCCTACTCCATTTTGGAGATACATGTTTTTGCTTATATGAAAACAGCTATGAGTACTGGTAAGAATATTAATCTATGACTCAAAAATACTTAACCACTGCACTTTGTTTTACAAGCCATAACTTCATAAAATTTCCTTAATTTCCCAAATTTTTGGACCCTAGGATTAATACTGCTTTTAAAAAATAATAAAGATTAAAAAAAATAAATGAATAATAAAAGACTTAGTCTGTATTTTCTAAAAATGATTCAAATAATTACTATAAAATCTGTCACTTATGGAGTGAGAAACTGAAGTGCGGGCCCATAAACAGGCCCTTTAGAGGCTAAGAGTTGAAACCTTCCTGATAGCAAAGGCATTTTCACAATTAAAGGAAAATAAAACACAAAGCGATGGATGACATTCTCATTTGACATTAATCTCTTATCTATTGTTGTGCTTGATATGAAATGTGCTGATACACACTATTTGGTTTTTATCTTATTTTATCTAATTTTAGACAGTTACACATTTACTGCAGTTATTTCACTGGCATGCACTGGTAACTATTCTGAAATGTGTTTGTTTTCATCAGTTCAGTTCAGATTTTAATACAGCAGTTGTTACTAAACTTAGCCAGAATGTAGTACTATAAAACTACAGTGGACTAACAAAAGAATAGTTAGGAGTAACTGCACAGTTATTAGGGATAATAAAATGTTTCTTTCAGTGAACTGACATGTTGTTTTTGAGTAGTCTCCTTATTGTGGCTTCAGGGTGTGCATGTTTATGGCCCAGACTGGACCACCTCAAAACAAGCTCAATAATTCATCACTTTGATTACTGTGAATTATTCATTTAGTGCAGCTATGCACAGCCTATGGCCACACAGAAAGGAATCCACACTGTAACAGAGCATGCTATTTGACTTTCTGTAATTATCTGTAATGCGATGACCTCTTCATTTCTTTTCTGTAGCTTTTTCCTTATCTTTTTCTGTCTCTTTTTTCATTCTGTCCTCCTTCTCTCTCTCTCTTTTTTTGTGTCTTTGTCTTTCTTGTACAGTGTATTTCTTCTCGTGAGCTGACCCAGCTTACAGGGAGGAGAAAATCAATTAAAGGAGGCGGAAGAAAGCGAAACAAATAAGACCACTCATATAAAGTCCATGCCTTGTCCTGTTCCCCCTTCTCTCTTCACTCTCGAGCCATCTGGTACTCCAGTGTGACTGTAGTCAGCAGATCAGCAGATTCATAACGAGCTAACCATTCTGCCTAGCCGGCAATGCTTTTCACCTGCTCTTTCACTATGACTTTCTCTAACTCCCTCCTGAGGCATTACACACACACACACACACATCCCGCAGAGGGGAAGCATACATGGAGTATGAGGAGAGTGAGCGAGAGGGGGAGAGACAGAGAGGTGAGGGGGGTGAGAAAGGGTGGGGGAAACAGGAGACAGTGAAGAGTGGGTGGATAGAATATGGGTGAGTGAGGCTGCATAAATAATAAGTGACATTAGAAAACTGAAAGCAGGGAGGCCTCAATCCTTTCTCTTCCTGCAATGCCAAAACATCTTCATGTGACCTTCCAAAGCCTTCAGGAATCAGTCTGTAAACTGATACCAGCATGTCTAACAACACATCAGAATCTGCTCTTTCCTACCATCATAATGCTGCGAACCTCAGCTTCTATTTACTACTGTTTACTGTAAACAAGATAAATGAGAAGAACTTTAACCTGCTTTTGTTCTCCATGCGTAATTGTGATCCGTCATTACAGAAAGAAGCTTCTATTCATATGTAGCTAAACGTCTTTTACCGCTATCCCTGTTCACTTCTTGCGCTTCAGAATACAGAAATGGCTTTTAAAATAAACCAGAAGGTGATAGCAAAAGAGACTGGAATGGAAAACAGAAAGAGAAGCGCAGTCATGTGAGAGGAAAAAAAGTCAGGGATGATTTTTAACTATTGGTTCAGAAAATACGGCAAAAAGATAAAGATATTTTCATGCATAGACTTGCACGCACAGTTACATGCATACAGTCACACGCACACACGGACATACACATACAGAGGCTGCTGCTACTGTAAGTCACTTTAAGATTGTAAGATTATACGATTTTGTCTTTAAAAATAATATATAGTTGGAAGGTAGAAAAAGAAGTGGTGTGAAAACATAGTCAGGCCACACACACACACACACACACACACACAGACACAGACTTATTAGGTGTTAGAAATTAATTTGTGTCTAATGACTTGCATGGAAGACACACTGCTAGAGTCGTATCCTGTAACGTTGATTTCCTGAACTACTGCCTAATGTACAGCTCTGTTAGAGAAACTTCACAGCCTCCATAAAACCTCATCAGTGTACAAAACATGAAACCTGTGAACTCTCCACAAAACACTTACCTGCTAAATCACTGATAAGGATATGATAAAGAAAGTAAAAAGTAATTCTTTGAAATGCCATGTAATATGCTTTTTAAACTAGATTCTTCACAGACTCAAACTTTATTATTTTTCTATTCAGTACAGCTGTTGAATATTGCAAAGATTTGTCATTTTTCATTGCTTTAACTGATTTTAAGAGATTGTATGACACAATGCTAAATGTAAATGCCATTTATGAATGATGTAGCAGTGACAAACTGGTAAACAAATCACTTAAAACCATTTAGTGAATCCAGAGAAGAATTCAGAAGCATGCTTATTTGCCCTAACACTTTTGCTGATGCCAATAAAGAAATCTACAAACTGTACATGCTATTTTTCTTATGTGAAAATGAAAAAAAAACAACAGTGGAACAGTAGAAAAGCAACAGTGTAAAAAATAATATACTATTGATGTTGGGACAAAACCTTATATATCCATGTTTGCCATTTTGTAAATTTACATAAAAAACACAAGTTGCCCTTTACAATGTGTTAATATGTCAGGATGTTTGGAACAATAGAAATGGTCCAGTATCACTTGAGAAAATGTCTTTTACTTTTAGCTTCCATTCAAAATTAAGAACATTTTTTCCTTCTCCTGTAAAGCTGGAGATATGAGGTTTTGTCTGACAGCAATTATATATATTTACAACAATCAAATTTATGCTTAATGTAGGTAAATGTACACCCATTTAGACAAAAAGAAACAAAACTCTGATAAATAGGTACAGCTCTTATCTTTTCAGTTCCTCACAGATGTGGTCTTCAGCACCTATTGATACACCAGATAAAACATTTAAGAAATACTTTACCAACTTGTTAATCTGGCAACAATGCATGGTGGTGGTACAATCTCATTTATATAACTGGGCCTTATCACACACTTTTAATGATGTTAAAGCTGATACATACATTAAAAAACATTTACATTAATATATATAACACACCTTTAAGACCTTTAGAGATTAGATAAAATTGTATAGCACTACTTTTTAAAGAAATATGAAGAATATTTTTCATTTAATAGTCCATAGGACCATAAAATACTTACCTATCTTAAAGCCTGATATAAAAACAGTACTGACAAAACCAGTGTTGCCAGGACCATCCAGTAGTAGTTGCCTGCTGAATTCATTAAGAGAAAAAACCTTAAAATCAGGCTAAATTCTAACATAAACACATGTATATCACATCTACAAAAACAAATCATCAGAATTGTTCATTAAAATAATAAGAACTGAATATTATTTTTGGACAATATTTTATATTGTGTGTAGTTTCAGGTTTAAGTACATTTGTCTGCAATGTTCTCCATTTCAAACTGTGTCCAACAGAGGACTAATTTTTTATACGTTATTAAATTAGACAGAAATATCTCTCATACACAATATTACTTCATAGAAGTCCTCGGGCTTATATGGCACTTTACAGTCTTTTTACAAAGTCAGTAATCCAGCTGATCAACAATAAACTGTACAATTCACTTCATTCATCCTAGTTAAGATTTCTCTAACCTGGCTCGGGTGTTTCTACTGTCAAGCTGACATCACTGGGTGTTTGCAGGGCAAAGTGGGAGACCCTGCAGGTAAAGGTGGTTCCAGGTGGATGTTCAGAGGGGCGGACGAAGAGGAAAGACGAGAGAGAGAAGGTTCCGTCATTGTGCTGGCGGTGGCTGGAGAGAGAGGCTTTCTCCGTCAGAGAAATGCTCTCTGTCTCAGAGGGGGGCTGAGATAACCACTCCACCTGCAGAAGCACATACACAAAAAACAGTCAGCTGATTCAGAAATAATCAAAACTTGAAACGTAGTGTTCTTTCATAAATTTATGAGGACTGCTTGACACTTTATTCAGAAGTGCTCTACTGAAAATCAAACATTAGTTTTGTGGTACACTGTGGCATGTTGGCATGTTGAAAACACGTCTATATAAACAGTAAAAAAGGGCTTAACTGTCTATTACTGTTTTCCATCTTCTCCCTACAGCACTGACAATTACAAGTACATGTGTATTTATTCTAACCAAGCACCAACACCAGATTAATGTGGCTATGTCTTTATTACAGAGGAGAATTCATTAGCATTATGCAGGTTTGAAATTACCTATAGACAGTGCAGCACCAATGCCCTGCACTTAAGAACATAATGCAGCCTTTCTATATATAGATCAGCATGTCAGACTTCAGGCCTGAAAAGCCACAGAACTGCAACGTTTAGTGTGGTCCCTCATGCAAAACATCTTATCAGATGGTTGTATCTATATATGATGGATTAGAATACACTAAACTAAGTAGTGCTGTAGCCCTGCAGGACGTTTGACATTCTTTTTCAAAGGCTTTTTCAGACTGCCTTTTAATGAAGGGCTATGTATAATAGGTCAGTTATTCTCAGAATGAAGGCAGCTCATACTAAAGAGCAGATGTGAGTGTGCACTGATGCACTGTGAATTCACTTGCTTCAGATGTGTTCATTATTTCCATATTAATAAAATAAATTACATCTTAACACAATTACTGCTAAAATTAGGTAAAGTGAATTGTTCTGATTTTATTTATTCATGTGGACTTGAACACATTTCAAGTAAATTCAATCTCAGTCACTTTTTTTCTGTATGTGTGTGAGCTGATCTGATCATCGGATTTGAGTGTAGGTTGACGTAAATGACATACATGCACATCCAGGGGGTAGTAGCGTTCACAGTGACAGCTCAGCTTCTGAGGCGACTCGTCCTGAAATACAACTTTCTTTTCGGAGAGAAAAACTCTGGGTGGCTCTTAGAGAGAGAGAGAGATGAGGTGATGACAGATCAATAGATAATCACCACTGTACAGGTATGAAAGTGCTGGCAAGATGGGGGTACTGTCACAAAACTCAACCTCAAGTTCAGAGACACATTCTCAATTAGATGGCTTGACAGACATAGACTGATAAGAGACTCACGTATGATGTGCAGCTGAACAATCTGCTGAGTCTGAAATGCTCCAGCGCTGATAGTGCAGATGTATGTGCCCTCGTCTGAAACCTTTAACGTCTTCATGGTCAGAGATGCGTTTCCATCCCTAATCAGCAGGGTTGAATCTGCACTCACCCCTTCTCGCTCCACTTGCACTGGCAGCAGAAATACAAATTAAATGTTCAAGAAAATAATATTCATAGTTGTAAAGTATGTAACTGACAACGTGACAATACACATAACAACAATAATAAGTCATACTCTGACTTGATTTAGGATGTCATTTTCTGTAAACACCTGAGCTTGATTAGTTCTTACAGAACTCTCAGCATAGACTTATGTGATTAAATGTAGCAAAGTAAGTACTTACCGAACGGAGCTGTTTAAAAAGCAATCTTTGAATTTAACAAATGCTATGAGAAACACATTCACTGTCATTTGTGAATGAACTGATGTATTACTGATCATATGAATGAGTCAAAGTTGCATTGTTCTGAATAATGACATCATTATGCCTACGTAACTTTGAAGAGTGATGATGTAAACAGCTCTCACAGAAACAACAATCTCTGTTAAGCCCTCTTTTTTATGGAAAATAAAATGACTTTACAGTAGTTTCAGCCTCAGATGCACTGGCCAATGAGATACATGAACCATCTGATATATACCGTACACTAAGATGGCCGCAGCTATTGAAATTTTGTCAGGGACACTCTCATTGGCTGTTGACACTGCTGTCTGTACACAGTTCCATGCACAATTTTTAACCAGTATTTTGGATCAAGCTACATCTAGATTGTAAAAAAAAAATCCATGCCACTGTTAAAAGTCACTCAAGAGCTTAGTTTGAAACCAGTAAGCATGATATCTTGCGTGTTTGCAGATGGGCATACCACTTTGTTTTATGTAAGCCTGTTACTGTAACACCGTTTTCATAATATGTCACACGAAAACAGGTCTGTATGGTCAATCATTTCCATATCAGAAAACTGGCTTTTTGCTGACCAAAAAGCCAACTGAGCTTTAAAACACACCAGACTCACTGGCAATTGTCAGAAGTCTGTCTTTGAAGCTAACTGTACAGAATGGTTGAATGGGCATTATAGTGCTATCATCCCAATTCCACTCTGTCCATGAACGAGACTGCACTGTTTTCAGGCAGTTGCATAGAACTAACAATGGTCAGAATTAAGACTACTTCTACAATGAATACATGCACAGTCACTCACCTTCTGTCCCTTCATCTGTCTCAACCCCCTGAGCTCTCATATCCAGAATTCTCCGCCCGTTTCCTTTGTGCTGCCACCGCCATTCAAGCCCCACACTCCGCTCTGGGGACACATCCTTCTGCCTGTAACCACAGTCTAAACGTGCATCATCTCCTATAGGAGCTGCAAGGGATGGCGAACGAGAGAACACCACAAACACAGCTATGGAAGAAAGAAAAGAGAACAAAAAAAGAGAGACAGAAAATGAGTGGAGAAGTCAGCGATGACATATTGAATAACTAACTGTCAGCATGAAAAAAATGTATGCTACATGACTGGGAACTGGGAAGAGGGCTACGTGACCAAATATTAGGATCTTCCAATGCATTAACACTTTAACGATTGAGCATTAATTACTGAATGATGCAGTGAGAAATGCACAGTTGTCTAAATGAATGGATGAATAGATAAATAATACTAGGATTAGGTGTAAATAAGCAGTACCATCTGTGAGGAGAGTTCCCCACTGGCTGAGAGGAAGCTGAAGTTTGCTCTGCATTAGTGGTGGAGTGCTTGATTCTGCTTTTTCATTGGAGATGGTCTGCAGCACTAAAGTGAGTCCAACTCCGCCCCCTTCAATCTGAATAGAGCCGATGAAATGAGCAGGTAAGGCGTCAGGCTCTGTACCTCGAGGTACGTAGCGGCTCAGTTCACAAACCACCTCCTGTTCATTACAGTCAGCATGGAGAAGAGACTCTGCTTCTGGAATCTCCACTGATGATACTGACCAGAGAAACAGAGAGAGAGAAAGGGTTAGAGTGACAGAGAGATAATGAATGGAAAGCAATAGTAGAAAAATAGAAAAAACAAGTCCTAAAATAGACCATTGTTAACACATGAATACACAGTACTACTACTACTATATAATATACTAATACTCTATGTAGCACTTTTCATACAGTAGAATGTACCTCAAAGTGCTTTACAAGAAAGACCAAATAAAGAAAACAAGCATAAGAGGAAAACAAAAAATACATTATATACAATATACAATATACAAAACATTGCTCAAAGGAGACTACACAAGCCTAGTTTTGTTGGACTGTCACGCTGGACTGTTTGCTGGACTGGCTGCATTATATTTGTGTCACACAAGTGTCTATAGCACAGGATATAAAAAGCTCTTGCATTATGAGCAGTGTGGCAAATTAATATTTTAGTTCACATACCCACAGTGTCTGGTGATAATACTACTACTAATACTACTACTACTAATAATAATAATATTAATAATAATAAATCTGATAAAATTTGGAAGAGCATTGTTGTTTTGTAAAAACAATGACATGCTTCACTCCATGTGTTTCCTGCTTTCTTTCATTATTTTCCTGTTAGCCCTATATTTGGGGTATGAGGATGCAATGCAATTAATGAACTCAATTAATTAAGTGTATACTGACAGCTACCTATGTATATAGTAATAATAACAACAGGGTGAGTATTGTAGTCAGTAAGATATAAACAAAAATCTATAAAGAAAGAAATAAAATACTTAACTAAAAATGTGTTTTAAGCTGCTTTTTAACATTGCTAACTGAAAATGCTTGAGGTTTGTTTTACACAGAAACACTAAAACCAGCTTCACCTCATTTAACAAATGGAAGACTTTTTTGACTTACCTACGACCTCAAAAATGAGGTCATCAGCCTTGGGGTCGTCAGGGGGGTTATATGGAGTTATAGTTTCTGGTGAGAGGTCAGAGGACATGGGAAGGTCTCTTAAGACCAGAGTGGCCGGAGTGCGAGTGAAGAGAGATCCGCCCATCATCCCTCCTCCCTCCTCAATGAAGGAGCAGGACAGCACCACATCAGCGCCCTGCAGGCCTGACACAGCCAGAGAGAACCGAGACAGAGACAGTTCAGTTCCTGTCCGCTACAGGAACTGAACGGCCATTCTGCTTGTTCATTCGTGAGAGGATGGATTACCAACACACGGGGAAAACAGAAATATCTGTAATGTCACTATTCTTCAATAATAATAATAATAGGAGAAAAGCAGTGTACCGAACATCCTCTCTACCATATGTCTGATATCAACGTCTGTTTGAAAGAAGTGAAGTGTAATACTCACTGTGTGCCACCGCGAGCAGACAAGCGAAAACAAGCAATTCAAGCATAGCCGCTCACAACTGTAATTCTACACAATACAGCATTGGGTCTCCTTGGATTTAACGCGTAAACCGGTGCGCTTTAGCAGTTTATTCGAGCAAAAAATGAGAAAATGGAGAGCTCGTCTATAAATGGCAGGTGAACTTTGGACATCCCCCCCGCCTGTTTACTTTCACTTTTGATTTGGAATAAAAAAAATCCTGCTAACGAAGCGCAGCCTGTACAACATGAATTTCTGGGGGGCACGATGCTGATTCAGTCATATATGAGCACCAGACATATATCTGTTTCTCTCAGCCTGTCTAGTTCCGCGTTATTTATTCATTTTAGCCATTTTAAGTCGGTCTGTCACAAAGTGAAAGCTAACCATGAAGGGGGGTTGGCGGAAGGACGTCACGCACCTTGTAATAATAATAATAATAATAATAATAATGATAATAATAATGATAATGTAGCGGGTTCAAAAGAAGTTCAGCACGTTAGGTTTGTGTTAATTGTGTTTTAGCACTTATTTTTTGGGTCATATTACAGGACTCTTATTTTTAAAGCGGGTGAGCCCGTTCCTAGCTTCTCAGGGAGAGAGAGTCGAGTCAGTCTGTTTCCGGCAGCCATAGAGCAGCACATAGTGAAGCCTACAGTGAACTGTTAGAGAAACGGTTCCATGTGTCAGGCAAGGCTGTGGGTAAATACAGCCTTTATTAAAGCCCAAAAGATGACAGGCATACCCAGAGCTTGAGGAGGAGACGTTGTGCCAAGCAGTCCCTGAGCGAGTGGCGGAGGAGCAACTGGTAAGCTTGTGGTGCAGGAAGAGGGGATGCTGTACGAATCAATGCTTGCAGAGATAACGACCCTAAGCGTTGATGCCACAGGAAGGGAGATTGGCTACTGCTGTGCACTTTGGGTCAAATGCAGCATAGACAGGAAACAGCTCACTGTCCTCACTGACACCAGCTCATTGGTGTCACTGCTACATCCAGGCGTGCTCCCCCACCCTGAGAGTGGCACACCTCACAACTGGGGCACCCGTCCAACTCAAATCCAGTCTCAGTTGTGGTGAAGGGCCTGAGCCAAGTGCACGAGTTTCAGCTTGTACCTATATCGGATGCGTGCATACCTCGGTTGGATTTCCTCAAGGTGGCTGGGGCCATTCTCGACCTCAGGAAGGAAGCACTGTGCTTGGAGATGAGACAAGTGAAGCTGTTTATGGTAGCAAGCAATGGATCCCCGAGGTCTGTCGGCAGCGTGCATGAGCAACATCCCTTGTAAGAAACAATGACGCAATGGACGACAGAGAAAACAGAAAGCAGCTGAGAAGAGTGCCACTGCTGGGCCCCTGCACAGATGTGGAGCTGTACATGCATTGTTAAGACCAGTACATGAGAAAGAAGGGACCGCCGCAGCAGTTGCATGCCCCACTTCAGTTTCCTTGCAATGGCGCACTGAAGGAGAGGGTCACCATGAACGTCCTGAGTCCCCTGAAAGAGAGACAGCACCAGGCCAGGAGGCACTCCTGCGTCAAAGACACGGCCCCAAGAGAGGACTGGGAGTGCTCACTGCCAAGCAGCGGGCACCCCACGACACATGCGCTGACTGGAACAGGCCGGGACTCTAAGTGCCTCAGGACTTTGTTTAGGCTGTTTGGGTTGCTGGGATGGCTGACCCTTGAGGAGGAGGCTGTGTGGTGTCCATCATGGTCAGTGCCGCCATGAGGAGCTTCGGGGCTGTGGCCATGCAGAGTGGCTCTGAGGATGCTTTACACTGACTTTTGAGAACCGATTGTATGTTCAGAGTGAAGATCATGTAGAAGAAACTTGTCAGTTGTCAGCCAGTGAAATACCTTCAAGTGTCCATAATGTAGATTTACTTCAGATGGAATGACAAGACACTGCTCCTAGTGTAAACTGCTGGGTGAACTGCTATATGTAAACAGTTCCTGGACCAAACTGTTAAGGAATAAGCAGTGCAAATGATGAAAATGTCAGAAGTAGCCGTTCAATGAGAGTGTTTAAAAATCTGAATCAGCAGTGTGAGGACTTTAGTTCATAAGTCTGGAGGACTTTGTAGCTCTGTATCCTTCTTCTAGATGGGAGTGGTGTAAACAGTCCGAGTGATGGATTAAGAGGGATCCTTACTGATGCTGCACACTTTCCTTTTACACTGTGTAGGTGTCCTTAATGGCAGGGAAGCTTGACCCAGTGATGGACTGGGCATTTTTACGACTCGTTGCAGTGCTTTTCTGTCCGAGGCAGAGCAGTTTCCATACCAGACAGTGATGCTGCAGCTCACAATGCTCTCTATGATGCTTCTGTAGAGGTAGTTGAAGATGCGTGTGCAGGCCAGCCCACTTCAGTTCCCTTAGAAAGTAGAGGAGCTGTTGAGCCTTCTTCACTAAGGAGATGTTCAGAGACCAGAAGAAATTGTCAGTGAGGTGAATTCCCAAGAACCTGAAACTGTGCACTGTCTCCGCATCTCTTTTGTCTTTGTCACATTCAGAGAGAGATTGTTGTCTGTGCACCAGAACCCCAGCTGCCTCAGTTCCTCTCTGTATCTCATGATTTACTCGCAGAGATGTGTTGTGAATTGGATTAGAGAGAATATTCTAAAAACTCTACAAGAAGTCGATAAGAACTGATTTTAGAATAAAAAAGAAGCACTAGAAAACTGTGGTTAAAATTGAGATTAAAATTAAGTGTGCCTCTGAAAATAAGAGAACAAATGGTTTAAGCATTTCTTTATTTGTTTTCAAGCAATAAGAGTAGACAGGCAAACATTATGGTTTAAAAAGACACTGTTTAAAACCGAATTCGTCAGATTTAAAAGAAACACTGACAGTGAATGACACAGAAAAGTTCATGTTCCTACATGTACACATATATACATACATTTAATCAATTAAATCAAACAAATGAAATACATCTGTTGGACTCCAGACGCTTTACGGTTTTGCATACAGTGACAATAAAACTGTACTAGATATGTACTGTCTTTAGTTTTCACTCATTGTCTTGTTTATCCAGTCTACATACTGCGCTACCCGGGTATATACCCCATATCTGCCTGGTTTACCACACTCATACCCCCAGCTAACAATCCCTGCAGCCCAGAACACGCCATTCTTTTTCAAAACAAATGCCCCTCCGGCGTCACCACCACATGCATCTTTTCCGCCTTTTGGGACCCCAGCACAAAACATGTTGTCTGTTAGGGGCACTGGGATCCTCAAATTATCAATAAATTTTTGGCACCTCTCCTTATCCACAAGAGGGAGGGAAGTATACCTGAGAAACCTGGATATTTTTGATCTCGCAGTCTGTCCAAAGCCAGAAACCCACCTGAGAATGGAGGAGTAATAGAATAAGTATCTTTTAATGCAGAGTAGTATGTCATGATGAAAATAAGACTAGGACTAAAATATGCCTTAAAGTATAAATGATTTACATAGGCCTTATTCAGTAGGCACACAGGGGTAGTACACTGGTGTGTGGTGTTTCTAGAAAGAACCTTACCCAGTGAGGCTGGGAGTATATTCATCTTCCACTGAAGGCAGACAGAGTGGCATAACATCAGCATTATATTGAATGGTATTCTTCAGTTTTATCAGTGCAAGATCATGGTCGAAGTTTGTGAAATCTGAATTATTGTACAAGGGATGAATGTGTACAGACTCGATCTGTAGAGGTGGCATGGAAGATAGTTGTAGTGCATCATTGCCTCCAATGTGTAGCTAAAGAAAAATGGATATAAAAGCAGAGGTCAGCAAACATGAACTGCCATTTATATCACTATTATACCACTGATGAACAGAGCTCTGCCTGGCAATTTTAGACACAAAAGAAAAATCACTTTGAATTTGTTCACACCTCAGTAAAGGGCTTTTCAAAAATGTATGAGTCATCCATTACAATTCTGCTTATCCAAAAAATGCAAAGGAGCAAAGCTGAAGGGGTTCATATTTGAAATCTCTGGATGCTGTATCTGGCAGGAGTGTTCGTTTAATAGAGCTTCAGTTTTACTTCTGCAGAGCTGTGGGAAACCTCAGTTGTGCTCTCATTTCCCTAAGCTGGCAGAAGTATTAAGGGTGGTAAAAATGAAGAGCAGGGTATTGTCTGCATAGGAAATATCTTGTATTTGAGGCTGTGTTACGTGGGGAAATTGCTGAAGGTAAAGTTTGAAAAAAATAACCTGAGGTTCTTTTATTAGTTCTGATGATCTCTTGAGGTTTGTAATGACATGCAAACATGTACAGACTCATGCACAAGAACTACTTCACTGGTTTAAATGGAACCACATAGTTTGGCCCTTCTACTTTAAAGAAACGAGCCATAATCAGGACAGTGAAGAGCATCGCTGGATGTGATCTGCTAATGCTTTAGGACATGTGTAACAGCCAGGTCATGAAAAACCAGCGGAAACATTATAGCTGACCAGTGTCATTCTAGACCTCCGTATCCCTCTGGTTAAAGATTCAGAGCCATTAAATTCAGCAGAGCTTGACATGCCAACAGTTTTTCTTTCCTCAGGGCAGTGGTCATTAACCACCATGGATATCTTGCACTTTGGATTGAACTTTGTAAATCCTGTTACTGTGGCTGTAACTCTATAGTTTCACACTATTTTGCACCATAATGTATCATTGGGATACTGCCATTCATATGCAGTGTAAGTCTTTCTTTTTTAAAGCGTTGGTCCCAGGTGGACATGTGTGTACGTTTTTAGGTTCCATTACATGAGATCCTCTGGTCTTCTGTTTTTCAACTTTCAACTTTTGTGTAGAGCAGCCATGTGATTTTCTGTCAATGAACTGTTTCTCCCTTGGTGTCTTTGATTTTGTTTCAGATCATGTGTTGTGAAAAGGACTTGAAATCCAGATAGTCAGTGAGTCTAAGCTCAGTCACTATGTATGCATGCTATGCATACACCCTTTTGGCTCCAACTGGTTCAGTGTGTACAGTGTTAAGTCATTTGGTTTTTGATTAATAACTCTAAATTGATTAAGAATTACCATGTGTCCATTTAGCAGCAGACAGAGCTCATCATGAGCTTTCATTATATATATATATATATCACCATTTCACCCAAAATGTCACTTTCACTCCTTTGGTTCTAAGCCTAGATTTTATGATCATTTATAGCCTTTCTTTATAATAAACTGAGAAACTGAACATTTTCCATGAATCAATCAAGGTCTTATTTGTCACACGTTTATGGTTATATAATGTACCTTCACTTTGTCTGGGGAAACAGGTTGGTTATTGGACATCAAATTGTTCGCTGCTGTCAAGATCCACTGTTCTGCTATTATAGCCCCACCTCCTCTAACTGGCTGGTGCATAAAGACATGCCAGGGAAAGGCCCTCTGTGGAGCAAGCTGACCTCCTAACACCCTCTTGCGGCGCGTCAGAGCAGCAGATGGACGTCCACACACTAAGATTGACATCATACAGAGGACCAGAGAAAGCTAGAATTATAACAGATATAAATACATTTGTACATATACACATACACTGTTTTTGATTCGTAGTTTACCTGGGAGACACTTGGGAAGCACAGGCATCACTTTGTTGCGATCATCTTTCCATTTCTTATCTGCATCACAGGTGAACGTTGCTGGGGAATTATATATTTAAAAAATACAAGTGGAGAAATGATGACTGAGCATCCAAATCTTTCTTTGGTTACAAAATAAATAAAATAAAATGTTCACGTCTTGCAAATGAAAAAAAGAAAATTAGCAGGAAAAAAGTGGAACTGAAAATATTTTCCCAGCTTTAACAAATTTGCCCATTCTTGTCAACAGTTCTCCAGTCTTGCTGCCATGCATCCAAGGGTGTAAAATTGGGTAGGGATGGTAGGGACATGTGTACTGAATTGTCCCTAGCAATAATTTTGATCAAAAAATTAAAGTATTATGGTCTGTCAGTGTCTAGTCAATGTATTGCGTACACAAGCGGCTAACAGATCTTGTTCTCTACTATGAGTCTGGCCTCCCTAACCCACATCGCTAAGAGGATTGGCTTTGCTGTTTCTTGCTAACACGTGAGTGGCTGCAGCTACGTCTTGCTGTAAGAAGTGCCAAAGCTCTGTCAAATAGATGTGCACGTAGGCATATGGCCGCACCCACAATTGACGTCACTGAGGTCCGGACCTCTGTATTTTGTCTGAGGTGTATGTACTAAAATTGGTGAAATAATTGCCAAAAAATAGATCTACTTTGGTGCTGCAAAGATTGGTACAACGCCAAGATAACCGACTGTCTTATTTGATCACCAGCATCATTGCTTTACCGTTGGTGGAGTGAATGATCTTCTTGTCATTACTAGGTGACATTGGATGGATGGTATTAATGTTAGCTAGTGGTCTCACTTTTTGGATAGGCTATTTGGATAGTCCACCGTAGTCCCCTATAGATTATCTACAGATGTTTAAATTGTTAGGACTAGGACTATGGTGAGGGTTGGGTTTAGGTTTGGGTTGAGGTCAAGGTTAGAATTGGAGTCAGGTTGAGAGTTAAAGAAAATTATAGTAAATTTAGTAGATATTTAGTTGAATGTAACTTATAAATTATGTAAATTATTTACAAAGCATCTAAAGTGGATTATCCAAATAAAGTGTTACCTAGCTAGCTAACTAACATTTATTCCATCCATCCAGGGTCAGACAGATAAACTTTCAACAAAAATGTAACTTATGTAAAGTGTTGAAATGCATGTTACAGTTAGGTACCTCAATGTATTCTCATTTTCTTCACAGGATTATCCTAGCAAAGGCCAGTAACATTTTTATATAAATATCAAATAATCCTTTGTTTACCTTCTTCACTAACACAGACAAAAATTGACTGCATCAATCAAAGCTCAGCTTTGGGAAGGAAAGAGATATGGGACAAAACGAGATACCAGACTGAGAGAAAAAGAAAGAGGGAAGGTGATGGAGATGAGCGAAGAAGAGTAGGTACTGCACACTGTGATATGATAGGATTAGCATTATGTCCTTGTACTGTTCAACACAAACAAAAACTGATGACCTGATCTAATTCAAATAATGTAGGCCTAATTACCACAGAGATAACACAGTGGATCCATTTTCAGTTGTTTCGTGATCATTGTAGCCTCTTCTGTATTTCCAGATTGTCGTGTGGATCATTCATTGCAACATTTAACCTGATTCTCATGAGTTACCATTTGACAGATGATTTATGCTACTGTCCACTGACACTGGGGAGCAGGGGGTGGGGGGCAGGATTGAGCGGTTGAGGGCATGCCCCCAAATCCTCCCAAAGAAAGCTCAGTTCTTGGACCTGGTTATTTCTAAAACCCTGCGCACTGCCATGCCCCCTGCAGAGCACTTTTATGTCCCTACCAATGTCAAAATCGAACCTACGCCCTTGCATGCATACATGTTTTTTAATTATAAAATTTCTATAGCCGAGTCCTCTGAGTATCAAAACAGGTCAAACTCACCATTTTGTGTGGCAGGCAAAGCATACAGCTCGTTACAGTGCAGCTTAATAACAGAGCGATACTGATTATGAGCACCAGAGATGTAGAACACTTTCCCATTCAGTAAAACTGGCAAGTCTCCACAATGTATAACTGTCAGAGAATTAAGAGAAAATTAAGAGAAGCAAAGAGGATTTAGAAATAATATCTACTGAAACTGTACATGACACACCTCTTATGATTGTTCATATACACAATGTGGATAAAATGGGAGTATTAAATAAACGGGAGAACTTACTGTGGCACTGAGGAAGGGGTAAACTCCACTGGCCGTTAATCTGACAGGTGAATTTATACATGCTGACCTCTCCGTCTTTCTGAAAGAAAAAAAACACATTAAAATGTGTCATTTATTATTATCTTTATAATTTACAAAAGGACCAAGTAACCTCAATTAGACCTTACTGTAATGATTCTGTAGCCCTCGTCACAGTGAACAGTGGTCACATTGTTGTAGTAGTACGTGGGAAGTGCTGGGGTTATTCTGCCGTTTATGTTGTTTGGAGACTCACATTGAACCTCTGGTGTATACAGCCCACAACACAAACAAAGCACTGTTACAGTGTTTGAACACACTCTTGACAAAGAGAAATAACAGCACTGAATGAACACAGAAAACAACACAGAAAGCTATACATGATGCTCAAACAAGGGAGAAATAATTAACAGATCAAAAGGTTTTTTCTTTTAAGTAGAGAATGTATGACTTCTATGTTCTGTTTTGCTACATATTTCTTATACCTTTTTTATTATAACCTGATCTCACTCTCTATTCAGAAAATAGTTTTGCCTAAAACTTACCAATGCAGGTGTGCTGGTCAGACTTCAGTCTAAAGCCATGAGGACAGGCACAAAGGTAAGAGCCCATGGTATTGAGACAGATGTGAGAGCAGTGGAGGTCTATTCTGTTCTCTAAGCATTCATCTATATCTGTGTGAGAATGTCATCATTCTCATCCACATAATGTAAGCCAGAAAAGGTAAAACAAATACAGAAAAACACAGTTCAAAAAGAGCCAGTTCAAAAAGGAACAAGAAGCATAAAAATAAATAAATAAATATACGAGTAATATACGGAGAGAAGCTTAAAAACATTATGATTCAAAAAGTAAACAAATACTTGTAAAGCAAATGAAAGAAACTTTCCTTATATAGAAATGGAAATACCCAATGCTAGAAACAAGACACATATATACGATTTCTTCAAATCATAGTGCACAATTTCTATTTATTTGCCAAGTTTAGCAGATTGGGAAGAAATAAAATAAAAACCCAAAACTTTAGCATAACATTGTTTAATGTCCCTTTAAAGGTTACTAGCATGTTAGCATGCTTGCTAGCGAACTAGCTAATATCAGCTACTGTTGGTTACAAACGTAGTTTTTCAGTCTCAGTTGTTGTGGAAAATGCTCGCTTAGATGGTTTTTCAACCATACAGTCATTTGATAAGAACAAGCCAGTCATATTATCACTATATCTGGATAAATACTGACCAAAAGAAATTCTATTTAGATTTTTTTCACAATTTTATTCATGTTTGCTAATGGAAAGTAGCATTTTGCTAACATAAAGAAATTAACTATGAATTAAAAGTACTACTAAGTTCATTATTACACAGATCTAAAGCACACTCAGTCATGGAAACCCAATTATTAAAAACAAAAATAAAACTATCCAGACCAATTTACATTATTCTAATCCAAATCTGTAAATATGTGTTTATGCTGCAGTTTACATGTAAAGTTTTTTGATTATTTTATTGGTCACCTTCAGCGTGGTAGAATGCAGAGAAGCCCACAGGTGGGTAAGGCCCTTTGTCAACTTCACTGGTCTGAAGGGACAGTCGAACATTGCTGGTAGGTATGGAAATGGATCTGATACCCAGATGACTGCCATTTCCTGAATTCCTTTCACCACAGAACTTCTCCACCGTTCCATTGTGCACTATCTACAGTGTTTCAGTAATATGTATATAGGACAAAAGAAAAGTGAAAAAATAAGGCCATTAGATTGTTTACTCTTTGTTGAATGTTCATTCATAGTCCTCTCCTCAGACACAACATGCAGCACATTGACTATAACACTATAACTGTTTACATCACATTGTTTTTTATTGTTTAGTCCCAGCTGTTTTTGGGACATCAGGCATTTTGTTTAGGAAGTAAATAAGCTTAAGCAGAGTCAATTGTGAGCCCTCTTAACTCACCTATTTTGACTACACAATTATGTTACATTTTTATATTAGTAAAACTTTAAAACAGTAAAAGGAACTGTATTACACATCTACCTTGAGAAAGTCATTCCTGCAGTCTTGTGACGGCTTGATATTAATGTAGCTGAAGTTGAGCTGAATCTGGTAGCCTTTGGGCACCTCCAGGTCCCAGTGCTCATGAAGAGGAGATGGAGAATGTTCAGGATAGTGAGGAGACTGAACTTCACCATACATCACTGGTTGGAATGCAAAACTCTGTATGTTCATATATATTGCAAGAATCCTGTGAGGGAAGAGAGTAGGAGTGTGTATATCTATGTGCTCTTGATTTTTTTATGCTTGCTCTTTACACATGCTGGCTGTAAAAAGCTGGTAGTTTAGACAATCCTACAAATGACTTTTGGGCTCATGATACTCAAGTAGAATCCAGTCCTCTCTAATGACCAAAAACAGTCCTCTCTAATGACTGAAGACAATAAAATGCACATGTAATGTCATTTAAAGCACATAGAGATGATCACATAAAGCTGATCACACACGAGTGAACTGATTTTCTGAACACATCAGTAGTGTTTTAACAACATTGGTAAATGTCCTTCAACCTTCTAATTTGTATTCATTTGTGTTTGTATCAACTATTGTACCACTTATTATTAGTCTTATTTATTAGTAAGTCTGAATTATTAGCTTCATAAATACACAGAAAGAAGAAGAGGAGTGAGACTCACCATATGAGTTTCAAACTCCAGTCCATTAGTGCAGTATTGAAAAGCAAAGTAAAGCAGGTGAATAAGAGTTTGAGAGCAGTTTGAGCATGAAGTAACAGAAAGGGCATTAGATAAACAAACAGCAGACTGAGTAAGGAGCAAATTCCAGTCACCTAAATAAATATGTCATTGAAAAAAAGCCAACCAAACTGAATCATTGGAAACACTAGAACCTCTTAACAGAAGTGCTAATTGTGAAAATATCTGCAGCTTTATCATGAAATGACAAAGAAATAATAAAAAAGAAGAATGTGATATTTTACATTCCAGTGTCAGAACTATACTTTTGTATTCTGCTCTCCTTTTTCAACGAGACTAGGCAAGCCTAGTTTTGCCAGACCGACAGGCCACACACTCGCTCCTCTGAAACCTTTGGTGAGTAACAACAAGATCGTAGCAGCCATTTTAAAAGTGAGGGGGACACAGCTGTCAGTACTTGACACCCTCAAACCCCACACCCTACACTTGTAGGTTCAGTATTAACATAAACATAAGTAGGAACATAAACATAAACAGTACTGACAAAATCATAGTTCTACTACTGGATAGTTCCAAGCAGAGTTGTCTGCTGAATTCATTAAGGGAAAAAGCCTTGAAATCAGGCTTGATTCTAACCATAACACATGCATGTCACACCTACCAAAACAAATATAGTATCATAAGAATTGTTAATTAAAATAAATAGAACTAAATATTATTTTTGTCATTACATTGTGTGATGTTTCAGTGTTAAGTACATTTGTCTGTAATGTTCTCCTTCTTAAACTGTGTCCAACAGAGGACTATTATTTTATATGTTATTAAATTTGACAGAAAAATCTCTCATACACAGTATTACTCCAAGTCCTCAGGCTTATATGGCACTTTACAGTCTTTTTGCATTTCTACTGTCAGACTGACATCACTGGGTGTTTGCAGGGCAAAATGGGAGACCCTGTTGGTGAGGGTGTTTAGAGGGGTGGATGAAGAGGAAGGACAAGAGAGAGCAGGTTCTGCCATTGTCAGAGAAATGCTCTCTGTCTCAGAGGGGGACTGAGATAACCACTCCACCTGCAGGAGCAGATACATAAAAACTAAAAATGATCGAACTTAAAACTTAACAATAACCATAGCAATAGCTTAACAATAAAGTTTAAGTTATTTTCAATGAAATATAGGGTTTTAACATCATTGCATTCTGATTTCATTTAAATTTTGCACAGCATCCCAACTCTTTTGGAAAGGGAGTTGTAGTCAGCTGATTCAGAAATCATCAAAACATCGAAATTATGCTATGTCATGCTAGCTCTTTGGCTTCAACATTATAAATAAAATTCTTTTTTTTCTATTCTAAATTAAACGATTCAATTTTAGCTGATTTCGAGTATTTAGTTGATTTTGAAGTATTTGAAACAGTTTACAGAATTTGATAATACAGATTTAGAAAGCATCAAAGTAGGTAGTCTTGCATCTACCTCCGTAAGATTCCAGAGGTTCACTCAAAAAGTAATCATCATTATCAAAACACTATCAAATTATTAAAGTATCAAAGTAATGCACTCTAAATTATTGATTTTCTCTTAGATACAAAGGCTATCATTGCAATGAAAATACTGCAAACTAACACCAACTTTTAACCATCTCAACCTCAGTGTCTAAATTCAGAAATATACTGATTACTTGCAGATTGTTTGAACTGTACAGATATGGCATGAAGCACACCAGCACTAGCAACTCCAAGTTCTGACTTTGTTCTTCATTAGTGTGAGACTAACACTGTGTTCAGAAGGGACAGAAGGAGGCCTTTCTCTTTGTCTTGGAGCTTGGAACTGGAAATTGTCAGTATTTTATTGGAATAGCAGACCATCCATAATGGCAGTTGATTTCTATTTCAAATATTTTTTGTTGTTTCAATGTGTTGATTAGTTTTTTAGTAGATTAGGAATTTGAGTAATTATTCAATTAGTATTAATAAGATAATGTCTAAACATCTTTGTATTTTATTTATTAGGCATATTATATTAAACAGTATTCATTTGTATATTATTATTATTATTATTATTATTATTATTATTATTAATATTATTCATAGATCAACTGGAGAAAACAACAACAATATCTATGGTAAACTTAACCCAGCACTGTGAAAAAAAAGACTCCAAAGTTAGTGAATTGTAACAACCCTACACAGGTTAAATAACTTACCAGAAAGCATGTGTTCCGTCCAATATTTACTCAGTGCTGGGTTGCCAAATAACCCATTTTGAGTTGTTTTCAGTGCAGCATTTTTAAAGTGCATGAACTATTACACCACAGTTGTTAACAGCCTTTTCTGAATGATCAGCTTCATAAATAGACAGATGGAAGAAGAGTACAGACATTCACTGTATCAGATTCTAACTCCAGTCCATTAGTGCAGTATTGAAAAACAAAGTAAAGCAGGTGAATAAGAGCTTGATAGCAATTTCAACACAAGGTAACACATCAGGCATTAGATAAATAAACAGCAGGCTGACTAAGGAGTAAATTCTAGTGACCTAAATAAATATGTCTTTGAAAAATACTAGGCTGTCTTAACAGAAATGCTAACTATGAAAATACTTGCAGCTGTATCAAGAAATTACAAAGAATGTGAGAGTCATGAATGTGATATCACATATATCGTATATTCTAGAAAACCTCATTCTTTCCAAGATGGACTTGGCACACTAATTTTCACTCATGACTTTGTTTATCCAGTCAAGATATCTTGATACCCGAGTGTACACTCCATACATACCTGCCCGGCCACAATCTAGACCCCAACTAACGATGCCCTTTGCCCAGTGTACATCATCCTTTTTTACAACAAAGGCAGACCCATTATCCTCTTTACAGGAGTCCTTCCCACCCTCCTTAAAACCAGCACAGAACATGTTGTCCGTAAGATGAGAAATCCAGCTCTCTTTTTCCCTCTCCTTTGCAAAGGAATTTCTACATGTTTCATTAGCCACGATGGGAAGCTCAACATAGTGTAGTTCAGCTGAATCCATGTGAAATTCTGTCAGACCAAAACCGGACACCCACCTAGAGGGCGCACATAATCAATTTTTATTGCTTTTTATTCATTTTTAGTCATGGTCTTATTTCATGGCTACAGGTGTGTCAGCATTGGCCCATTTCTTTTAATTATTCAAGAAAATCTGGGGGTCAAAGGACGGCTGTAGAAAAAGGCTCATCGCTGAGTTGCAAAAGAGCTGTTAGATGTAATTTATTATAGCTGTCAGTTACATTTTAAAACTAATAGTTATTAATAGTTAGTTACTAACAGCTTTTAATAATGCTTCTGTTTTGTTCTTAAGCATCCTCATATTTATCACTATTGAGGTAGTTTGCTAAAATATTTAGAACAACATGCAGATCTGACTAAGAGTTTTAGTGAAACAACAGAAATTAAAAAATGCCACTGAAACAGACAACAAAATCAAATCTCTAAACTCAGTATGTAGAAAATTCCTGTTAATAGTATTACTGAATTATAATGTTGACATTTAAAGCATGTTATGTCAATTTGATGTGTAATTGTAGGTGTGCTTTGTTTACACAGTTTCACATTTGTATGTGAGCTATAGCTTCCTGCCATTGGTCCCCTTGACTTCTCAGAACAAATTTGCACCTCTGTGGGTCAGTGTTGGATGGTGAGGATCACATTTCTGATACGTAAGAAACCTGAATGAATCAACTATGATCATGGACAGATGGGTAACAAAGTAAAGGAAAAAAAACATAAACTATCTTGTCTATTCAGTGATCCCTCATGCCCTGTGGATGCAGGCTTTTTCATCCTGCAACTCCCATCAGGCTAGAAATGTTTCATCATAGGACCTTCTCAGTCAAGTGAACAACATTTGTTTCTCTGTTTTCCTTAAATATCAAACTGATGCATGAGCATCAAGTTCAGTGAATATATGCTTTCATCCACAATTTCCAACCATACATATGAACATCTTTCTCATAGCTTTACAAAGCTTTATTCCTCAGCTGAGATAGTATGTGAAGTGCGAATGAAAACAGTAAGCAGTGGTTTGTAATTCAACTTTGATTTGTCTTTAAAAAGCAAGACATTTAATGTTTTTCCTTATGAGCTCCATTTTTTGTAAATATGTTCTAATTTTGAAACTGATGCCTGCAACAAGCTCTAAAAAGTTGGAATGGGGCACTTTAAGACCAGAAAATGTTGGTGAAATGTTCAAAAAACATCTTAAATACGTAATGAAATCATGCTAGGGTATAAAAGGAGCATCCAGGAATGGCCTCATCCTTTATAAGTAAGGATGGGTTGAAGCTTGACACTTTGACAAAAAACAACAACAATGATCCTCAACAAGGAATTGCAAGGATTTTACGCTATGGTACATAATATCATCAAAAAATTTGTGGAGAAAACAGCAATCTCTGAGCATAAAGGACGTGTTAGAAGCACCCCATTTGCACCCTTCATTCACTGTTCCTATTAAAACTCTAGGCAGTTGACCAATTTGTGACTGAAACTCCTGCCCTCTATGCCCCAATAATGAGCCCTCTTCCAAAGTCATTGTCTTTTCTTTCTTGCCATTTTGATCCAAAATTGAGGTCAACTGACCCGCTCAGCATTTTCAGACATACCACAGAGCATGATAGGATTTTAACTGCTTAATTGTGTCATGCAGTATCATGCAGTGCGCCTGGCTGGAAGCATCCACATCCGTTATGATCCATTACTTATTTGTTTAGGTTTTTCTTTAATTTATCACCATGTATATGTATGACCTGATTTGCTGGCATCTCTAACACTGTCTCTTCATGAGCTCACAGTGCTCAACAATGTGCAGCTAGAGCTACACCTGGTGTGTCATGCACTGGCATAAATAAATGCACAGTAACTTCAATCAACATTTTGTATGTGGATAAAAAGTGCTCACCCAGACTTGACCTCCATTTCAGCTCCTTCTGGAGGCAGACAGAGTGGCCTTACTGTGTCACTGAATGTGATCGGTGTGTTGAGCTTAATCAGAGCAATGTCATTGTCATAATTTGTATCATCAGTGTTGTTGTAATGTGGATGGACATATATTGATGATATGTTAAGAGCAATAAACTTTTCCTTTTCTTTTACTTTATTATGTCCGACATATGCCTGCAAAAAAACAAAGGCACTTAGTTACCACTGAGTGTGTTTACATGCACACCAATATTATGACCATTGTCTGATTTCAGTAATGATCTATCATGCCATCATGTTCACAGCATACTCCAGTTTCTTAGATCAGATTAAATCTATTATCAGATTTCAAGAAATCCAACAAGAGACTGGGTCAATGTTGTCAAAAGAATCTAAACTTCTAGAATTATCAGTTTGATATAAATGAGACAGGAGGTTCCCCATTAAAAAAATCAACCAGAGCCTTCACCATCAAAGTCTTCTAGTCTTTACCACACACATTTGTTAGTGCATGCTAGATCTCGGTCAGAGGAGTTTTCCAAGATCTCTCAGAAGACTGGAAGACTTCTGAGAGGTTGCAGTTCACTGATCCACTGTCAGGCAAATAGTGAACACATGAAGGAAATTCAACATCACTGTTATCTTTCCCAGGAGTCGTCTCAAAAATGACCAAAGAATAAGGTATATAATGTTCTGGGAGATCACAAAGAACCCCATTGTAGCATCTAAGGATCTTTAGGCCTCTCTTACACGGGTTAATGTCAGTGTTCATGAGTCTACAATCAGGTAAATACTGACCAAGAATAGTATATATAAAATGATGGATTGGAGAAAGCCACTTCTCCCCAGGAAGAACATTGCTACCTGTTTAAAGTTTCCTAAAGACCACCTGGATGAGCCAGAAGACTATTAAAAGAATGTTTTGTGGACAAATAAGGCAAAACAGATCTTTGTGGCATGGAAATTTTATGTTTGGCTAAATGGAATACTGCAGTCCAGCATAAGAATCTCATCTCAACGTTGAAACACGGTGGTGGCTGTTTTGTTGTAATTGGACCAGGACAACTTGCCGTGGTTTGATAGAGCTATGAATTCTACAGGACATTCTACAGGATAATGTCAGGGCATCTATCTATGAACTATAGCGCAAAAGAAGCTGCAGAAAGACAAACCAAAAAAAAAAACATTAGGTAGTCTATAGAATGTAGAAGAAATGTTGCATATTGGAATGCACTGGAAGTCCAGACCTTGATTCAATAGAAATGTTGCGCAGGACCTAAGATGTGGTGCTCATGCAAGAAAGCCAAACAACATTACATCAGTGTAGCAGTTCTGTAAGAAGGAACAGGCCACAATCCCACCATGTCAATTATCAACAGTTACAGAAACAATTTGACTGAAGTCATTGATCCTTAGGGGTGTCACACAAAGCAGAGGTCCACATACTTATGCCAACAAAGACATTTAATGTTGGATATTTTTGTTCAATTAATGAAGGAAAAACTATATAATTGTTTGTGTTATTCGTGTTATTTTTTATCAGGTTTCCTTTATCTATTGTTATGACTTAAGTTCTCATCATATAGTAGGTCATATAATGCTAAACTCAAACACAAACTTTGAACTTCTATATAAGTATGACTTAAATTATATTATACATTGGTTGTTTTGGCAGATGACCAATAAGTCTGTGGCATTTTACAGTCATTAGTCAGACAAAAGCAGGCTAGATGTCTATGTACTACATAAAAAGTGGCACAAAAGGTTCTTTGAGTGATGTATTAGAATACTTGTTTTTCTGTAAAGAATCATGTTTGAAAAAGAGATGTAAAAGTGTAAAGTTTCCATACCAATTTAAAGGTTCTTCTTAGAACAATTACATGATGCAGAGTTTCTTTAAAAACTTCTTCACACTCACAAATTTCATTTACAAGAACGGTTCTATAAAGAATCTTCCATAGAAAGGTTATTTAGAGAACCTTATGTTCATCTACAGCATGATCATATGGTTCTTAGAGTACCTTAACATTTTCTGGAGAAAGTTGATTGTGGGCTGTAGTCATTATCCATTTTTCCCCAATGATGAACGCTCCTGCTTTATGTCCTGAGGGACGGAGAAGGACCTGCCAGGGGAAAGTACCAGGACGAGCCTTCTTACCAATACCATGTAGTTTGTGGTGACCACATACTAAAACACACACAAACAGTTTTATGATATAAATTCCATAAATTATCTACAAAGTTCAAATAAAACCTATGTTTTTGCTGTCACTCTACCTGGAAGGCATGACGGAATGATGCTGGTGCCATTTTCCCTCCATTGTTGGTCAGCGCCACATGTGTAACTCCCTAAAACAGGGATGATTGAAGATAAAACAGATAAGTGTGTGCTCTGACACAAGTTGACTGAGACAATAAGTTGAACCCATTGACTGACATTACGTAACCAGTGTTTCTTACCATTCTGAATTTCATTGGAAGTGTAGAATGGTTCATTGCAGCGGTACTTAAAGACTGATAAGTATTCATTATTAGAGCCCTTAATAAATTGCACATGTCCATTCCGCAAAGGCTTAGGTTCCTCACAGACAATAGCTAGAATGAAAAGGAAGAAAAAAAGCTGCAATATTTGATCCTTGTTCAAAATATCTGCATGATTTTGTCAGTAGATTTATTTAATAAAATATTTTAATATATGTTAATCAGAACTGGATGAAATTATCTATGTAGATCTGAAATACTCTTAATTCATTTTAAGGCTTTTAAGCATCATTCTGAGGATAGGAATCTATCAGATAATTAGTGACTTAATAGTGAATTAATTAATGCTGCATGCTTAATGACAGTCTCTGCTGTTCGTTTACCATCACAAGTGTGGTTGTCAGGGTTAAGGAGATATCCATCTGGACAGCTGCAGCAGAACCCTCCAATAAAGTTGTTGCAGAAATGACTGCATATCCGATTTGCACATTCATCATCATCTAGCAGAAGTAATGGAAATGTACACAGAAAGAACAGCAGGTGCAGACAAACAACATTAAGCAACCTCTATTTCTAGACTACTGTCTCATATGGAGTCACAGCAGTTCCTAGTCTAGTGTTTCCCAACATGATCTTTGGCAAAGGTGGAAAGTAGTGAATTCCTATTCCTGTAAAGGTGTGGTATTTCAGTCTAAATATGAGATCTTTGGAAGAAGCACAAATCAGTATGTATACTGATTACAGACTTTTGAAACCATGTGTACAACTATCAATCAATCGTGGTGGAGGATCACTGCAAATTTGCAGATGTATAATAACATGTGGAGTTGGTGATTTTTGATTCCAGGGACACTGCAGAGAAGATCAAGACATGCTCATCCCAGACCTCCCATAAGAGCAAAGGGAGACCCCCAGAGCCATTTTATTTCCCTTAATAAAATATAAATTTTCTGAAAAAATAAATGTCTTCACACAAGGTGACTGTCCTCCTTTCTAAGTTTTCATTGAGTTTAAGATTAGATTACTCTGGATAAACTAAATTCGCTCAGCACAAATTCTAACTGTACAATCTAGTGTACTGAGTTACATGGCTCTTGTTTAAGATAGCAGAAGGTTAAAGCTCAAGCACATCTCAAACTGCAGAGAAACTGAGAAAAAGGTGGGCTATTAGATCTACTTGCCGTATGTTCTTGCCAGCTTTTGAAGGCAGCAATACATAGCAGATACAGTACAAGGCGTAGCTTTACCACATAGAGTGCTTTGCAGTGAGAGCGCCGACAAAACCAAATTCAAGTTAATTTTACAGCGTTTTTGTACAAATTTAGAAGAAGAATTTTTTTAAATATTTTTTTAATTTATCATATATGGTATCAGCTATGTAATTCTTCAAAAACTCCCTGTTTTTGAGTTGAAAGATATGAGGTGCCTTTCATGAGGCACTAGGTCCAGTGTGAGGTGGATTTATGAGTAAAAATAATTAATATTAATACAGATATAAAATTAGAAAATCCCATGCCTAGTAAAAGTGAAAAAATACAGGTTAAACTTCATAAAAATACATGTGAAAATATAAAGATCACCTCATCGTCAGACTTTCCGCCTGGGGACCCTCCCAGACCTGCACCACAATTCAAACCCTGGACACATCAATCCAAGAAACTGCTAGCTAGAGTCCAGGCCTCAACGTCATTGAATGTATTTGGGATTACTTGCATTGTGAGAAGCAGAAAATCAAACCAACTTGTAAGACTGAACTTTGGAGGTATTTCAAAGAAAACTAAAAGCAAGACTTCTAAAAAAATGGAAGCTGTAATAAACTAAACTGTTCTGTCTCGTATTTCTTCTTATATGTATTTATTGTCTGGTGTATTTTTTGTATATTCTGCAATTGTTTCTCACTGTTGTGTATCTGCACTCTTTGTAGTTGTTGAGGCTTCTGTGTAATTTTATGAATTTCAGTGTGATACTGTAATAGGATGCCACCATTGCAACCATTGCAACAAGTCAAATTTCTTCACTTCTAGATATTCCACAATCAATTGTGAGTACTATTATTAAAAAGTGGAAGTGTTCAGGAACCATAGCAACTCAGTCACAAAGTGTCAGATCACATAAAGTTACTGAGTAGGGTCGCTGAGAGCTGAGGTGCATAATGCATTAAACACTCTGCTCACTCAATAACTGCAGAGCTCCAAACCTCCTCTGGCTGTATGCAAGCCTTACATCACTAAGCTCAATGAGAGGCATCAGATGGAGTGGTATGTATCACGCTGCCACTGGACTCTGGAACAGTGGAAACGTATTCTGTGGAGTGACAAATCACACTTCTCTATATGACAGGACATGGACATGTTTATGTTTGGTGAATGCCAGAAGAACATTACCTACGTGACTTCACTGTGCCAAGTGTAAAGTTTGGTGGAGGAGGTTTGGTGGGGTTGTTTTTTGGGGCTTCTTCTAGTCCCTTAGTTCCAGTGAAGGAAAATCTTAATGCTTCCGGAAACAAAGACATTTTGGACAATTGCATGCTTCCGATTTCCCAACAGTTTAGGAAAGGCCCAGACTGTCCCTCAGTGCACAAACGAGGGTCCATAAAGCCATGGTTGGGTAAGTTTGGTGTGGAAGAACTTGACTGGCCTGCACACAGCCCTGACCTCAACCCCATCAAACACCTTTGAGACGAATTAGAACGGAGATTGTGAGTCAGGCCCTCTCGTCCAACATCAGTGTCTGATCTCACAAATCTCATTCACCTTGATCTCATTCATCTTCCGGATGAATGGGCAAAAATCCCCCCCAGACACACTCCAAAATCTTGTAGAAACATACTCAGAAGAGAGGAAGCTGTTATAGCTGCAAATGGGGAGGAATACTTTTGTCCATATAGTGTATACATATTTTCTTAAAAATCCTCCAGTTCTGCACCAGTCTACATTATTAAATACCTGAGTGCTCACTGATTCCTTCTTTGTATTACCTCGTGTTTGGTAGAGGGCATTGAAGCCAGCGTGGACCTGTGGGAGAGAGCCATCTGAATGGAAGTGAATGGACAAACAGCCTCCAGATGTGGAGTGTAAATGGGGATTGACAGACGACTGCATCTCCTCAAATGACATACTGCCACAAAGAGACATGTTTAGATGGTGGTCAATGAAGATCTGAGGAAAGACGACAAGTCAACAGGCAAGTAAAAAAATACTATTAACCTGTGGTTAACATGATAGAGTGAGTAGCAAAAAAGGGAAATGTCAACCTAACCCCCACCACACACACACACACACACACACACAGAGTGACTGACCATGAGAGCGTCATGTTCACACAGTGTGCTGTTCTCCAGGTCCAGATGCATGAGGGTCACAGACACTGAGAGCCCCGCTGGAGCACACTCAGACCAGTTCATGCTGAGGTGGTTTGGGTATGCTAGGGGATAACCAGGGGAGTGTACCCAGCGTAGTACCCGAGAACATACCAGAGGCAGCAACAGCAGCAGACACAGGCTGTGGTAACTCATGGGTTAAGAAAAATAAGCAATTAATTTTTTCTCAGGAATATATATAGGCACAATTGAAAAATGTAACAATGAATTAATAGCTAAAGTACATTATAAAACACTTTGGAAAATGATAAGACTGCACTGAAATGTAACAAATGCAGCACAAAGCTCTGCCCACACTTTGAACCCATAATTTGAACATGTGTCTCCTGGCACAGGCTGAGCCAACAGCCCTGGATTTAAAAACGTCTTCCAGCACAAAATTACTATTAATGTTGAAATTATTCCTGGACTATGTTTAATCTGTGTTCCAGAAACCACCCTATCAGACATTACATGTGTTAACGTTATTGGTATAAATTACAGATACATGAAGTCAAACCAATAGTTAACATTTTGAAAACATTTCTCTGCAAACAAACATCCAAATAAAAGATTCTACCTACCGGAGAGTGAACATTATGACAACTTATTCTCTTCAGTGTAGATATAAGTTTCACTTTGCTAGCAGACTACATTTCACAATATGAAATCCAATGTGTCACTAAAATTGATCGGGGCATGTTTACATTATGGTTGTGTACTCACCTAGCAGGGCAGAGAGGCAAAAAACAGTCCATTAAAAAGCCATTTGAATATCTAATAGATATTGTATGTATGAATAGATATGGGCTGCTTTAGTAAAAAAATATAGAGCACAAATGAATTTGTTACCTATTATCATCAAGTAGCAATGTCTAGAAACAAGTTAAATCTTATAATATCAGTACAACAGTACAACAGTCTCATACTGAGAAACATTACATAAATCAAGACTTGCTAATATATCACTTTTTTAGTGTGGTTACATCCAGTTTACAAATCTTCTCTCAGACGCGCACAAGCACACACACACACACACACACACACACACTCACAAATCAGGCTTAATTCTAACTTACACACACACACACACGCACACACACACACACACACACACATATATATATATATATATATATATATATATATATATATATATATATATATCATATCTTCCAAACAAATACAGCATCATCAGAATGGTTAAGTAAAATAACAAGAAATAATTAACATTTTGACATCATATTTTGTTAGTTTCACTTTGTCTGTAATGAGAGTCCATTTGTCTGTAATGTTCTCCATCTCAAACTGCATCTGATAGAGGACTAATATTTTATATGTTATTATCTCTCATACACAATATTACATTACATAAATATTATATGTTTGCAGGGCAAAGTGGGAGACCCTACAGGTGAGAGTGGTTCCGGGTGGGTGTTCAAAGGGGCGGATGAAGAGGAATGACGGAAAAACGAATGATTGAAAAAAACGCTACACACCTTGACGTGTGTGTAATCGATTGAATTACATGCAATGCTGGAAGTGATCTCCGTTTTCTGCCAGACACATGAAGGGGTATGGGGGTATGCACCCGGAAGTTGCAGACGGAGGTTAAATGTCGCGACAGCTGTCCGGCGCCTACCTCATCGCTCCGACGCACGGGCATCCCGGCTTGTTCGAAGCTCCATATACTGAGGAGCACATTGCACCTTGTTTCGTTCAGATTGTTTCGTCCTAGCGAGAGTTATTACAGAATATTTGGGCCTCTTTCGAGTGAATCTCCCTGCATAAATCATGATGTATTTTATTATTTGGCATAACAATATTTTATGATAATTTATGGATTTGATTAATTTTCTGAAATGTAAACTTGTTTGACAAAAGGGAGACTACTGGCTTTACTTATTTTCTGCCTACTGAGGTTTTATTTGATAAAAGAAGGAAACGTGAAGAAAAGGGCATCATTTTGAAATTATTCTTATTTTCACGCGTACAGCATTCAGAACCCCAACCAAGTAACCCCTGAACACCTCCAGGCCCTGATGCTCACGAAGAGGAGGTGGAGAATGTTCAACATAGTGAGGAGATTGAACTTCACCATACATCATTGGCTGGAATGCAAAACTCTGTATGTTCGTATGTATTATAATATGCTTGTGAGGGAAGAGAGTAGGAGTGTGTATATCTATATGCTCTTGTTTTTTGTTATGCTGACTTCCAATTTATGTATAATATTCCTATTTTTTTTTCCCAATTTCCAATTAAAAGTTTTCCTAAAGAGGTAAAGAATTGGTGTCACACACTGTTCTATATGTCAGATTCAGTTGTCCAGAGTGCAGTAGATGAACTAAATAACAAATAAATGTCAAATTCAGCTTTATCTTATGTTTTCAGTTGATTTTGAGTATCTACTTGATTTTGAAGGATTTGAAACAGTTGACAGAATTTGATAATACAGATTTAGAAAGTCTGAGAGTTGGTAGGTTTGCATGTGTTGTATACAATTCCAGAGGTTGTCTGGAAAAGGCTATCACTGCACTGAAGATACTGCACCAGCTTTTCCTACCACTAGTTAATCCATACTGCTGTGGAAGAAGCTACAACTCTGAAGCTAGTAAGTAAAATATCAAACTAGCACCAACTTTAAATATCTCAACCTCAGTGTCTAAGTTCAGAACTCCATACTGAGTACTTGCAGATTGTTTGTATTGTATAGCTATGGCATGAAGTGCACCTTCACCAGTAACTCCAAGTTCTGACTTTGTTCTGTTTTTTTCAGTAGCATGGGACCAACACTGTGCAGAAGTGTGTCCAGAAAGAACAGAAGAAGGCGTTCCTCTTTCCCTTGGAGCTTGGAACTGGAAATTGTCTTTATTTTTGTTGCTGTGAATGGAAAATTCAATTCAGTTCAACATTATGGTCATTATACTTATACGGGGGCACAGTAGAACGAAGCATATTTAGGCTTCTCTGGTGCATGATCACTGAGATAAGGACATGAGTGCACATGTACTAGTAGGATTATAGTATGTATGTATACCTAATAAATATTTCAAACATAATAAACAATAAATAGACAATACAGTAAATAGACAACAGACAACAAATACAGAATAAACTAGACAGCAGCTAGGAATAACATTAAAGTGCAAAGTGCCTATAGTTGAAGTTGTGTTTGTTTTCATGATCTGGTGGGTGCCATTGGTGTGACCAGTTTAATAGCTTGAGGGTAGAAACTACTGGCGGTTCTAAGATTTTTTTAGGTAGGGCCATTGTGGGGCCATAGTGGGGCCAGTCCCAAAGGGGAGCCATAGTGGGGCCAATCCCAAATAAATGCCTTCAAATTCTAAGAGCTCCATAATTACTTACATCTGTATAATGTATTTGTATCTACTATTCACATTATACACGCTTTTTACATTCGGCAGCAAACACATCATGAGGCTAATAATTTCACAGCTACCAAATACAGAAATACAAAGTTGTAAGAAGTGAAAAAAACAACTCAGCAACCAATTCCTTGTACAACTCCCTGTATGCTTCTGAAGGCATCTATTAATTAGATCAGAATAGAAAACCTTGTAGGGGTAACAGGAATAGCTCTTTCCTGGTTCAGCTCTTAACTTACTGATCGCTATCCGTTTGTAAATGTAAACGGTGAATCATCTGTTCTTGCAAAAGTAAGGGTCTGTTTTAGGACCTATATTATTCATATTATATATGCTACCGCTGGGTACCATTATCAGTAAACACGACATCAATTTCCACTGATACACAGATACACAGTTAAATATATCAAGCAGATAATAAAGTGGGTAGCGCTGTCGCCTCACAGCAAGAAGGGCCTGGGTTCGATTCCCGGCCGGGCGACTAGGGTCCTTTCTGTGTGGAGTTTGCATGTTCTCCCCGTGTCTGCGTGGGTTTTCTCCGGGTACTCCGGTTTCCTCCCACAGTCCAAAGACATGCACTCAGGCCAATTGGAAATGCTGAATTGCCCCTAGGTGTGAATGTGTGTGTGATTGTATATGTATGTCTGCCCTGCGATGGACTGGCGACCTGTCCAGGGTGTATCCTGCCTTCCGCCCAATGACGGCTGGGATAGGCTCCAGCACCCCACCAGAAGGATAAGCGGTTTAGATGATGTATGTATGTATGTATGTAAGATTGAGGACTGTATAAAAGACATAAAAGACTGGATGTCAAGTAACTTTCTCCTACTTAACTCAGACAAAACAGAGGTTCTGCTTCTTGGTCTAATTTACCACTTAAACTTAATAGTTTTTCAGTTGCGTCAGGTTCATCTGTAAAAAACCTTGGTGTCACAATAGATCCTGACCTGCCCTTCGATGCAAATATTACCAGAATAGCCTTCCTGCATCTCTGCAATATTGCAAAATTAAGAAATGCATTGTCTCTACAGCATGCAGAAAAGCTAGTTCATGGATTTATTACCTCAAGGCTAGATTACTGTAATGCCCTGCTGTCTGGATGTTCCAGCAAAAGCCTTAACAAGCTTCAGTTAGTCCAGAACGCTGCAGCCAGAGTCCTTACAAGAACAATAAAGTTTGACCATGTCAGCCCTGTTTTATCAAATCTACACTGGTTGGCAGTTAAATTTTGCATCGATTACAAAATTCTTTTACTGACATATAAAGCTCTAAACGGACTCGCCCCTCAGTACCTAAGTGAACTTCTCTCATGCTATGAACCATCACGCCTACTTAGATCACAAGGTGCTGGCTTACTATTAGTACCTAGAATTAATAAAGTTACATCAGGGGGGAGAGCCTTCTCATACAAAGTCCCCCAGCTTTGGAATAATATTCCAGTCAGTGTTCGGGACTCTAGGCTAAAAATGTACTTGTTTAGTCAAGCCTTTGATAATTAGTTTTCCCTGTCATATAAAAGGTGCAGATCTGGGGGTTCATGGACATTATTATGGTAAACTGTGAGTGTTGGTGCTGTCGTCCCGCTGCTCTCACACGTTTACCCAAGTTTGCTGACGGTGGAGCGGAGGGGCGCTGACATCACAGGGAGCCCACATGTCTCTGTTACCTTTCTGGTTTCTCCCTTTTAGATAGGCTGTAATGACTAGACCTGCCAGTCTCTGCTGCTCTCTGTTAACACTGTAATCTGTGATCAGTCATTCTTTACAGAACTAACTCTCTGTGTGTTTCCTTTGTGTTGCTTTTCTGCCTTGATCGGGTGCCTTTTGCCTTCTGGACCGGTTTGACCACCACTGAGCTTCACGCTGTACAATGCTGTGCAAACCTCAACTGCATTACCTGACCCTCCTGATGATGCTGCTGATGCTGCTGCTGCTGCATAAACTCAAACTATCTACTTAACCACCTGTTTTTCCCATTTTGTATTCTAATATTTTATACTAATGCTGTGTACTATCCGGCAACTAGAGGAGGATGGGTTCCACTTTTGAGTCTTGGTTCCTCTCGAGGTTTCTTCCTCTTGCTCTTAGGGAGTTTTTCCTTGCCACTGTCGCCACTGGCTTGCATATGTGGGGGCTTGGACCTGGATTTTTCTGTAAAGCTGCTTTGTGACAACAAGTGTTGTAAAAAGCGCTATATAAATAAACTTTGACTTGACTTGTTATATTAGGGCAGTGGCTAAACTGGGTACCCCTGAAAGATGAATATTATAGAAA